ACCGCAGACGCGCTCTTTTCCGGCGCCCAGAAATCCTGCCACGCCGTCAACGGAGGGCTCCATAGGGGGCACACCGGAAACGGCAGGCGGGAAGCGGAAAAGGAAGATGGGGGAGACCACCCAGGTTGGGGCACTGGCCGGGGGTCGGCGGCCGACACGCGGCCTGGCGAAAGCTGGGGCCGGAAAGGCGGGCCGTCCCGGAGGGGGCTCTGAGTGGGGGGCTCGGTCCTATGCGCAAGCGGCGGCGGGGGGCCTGAACTGGTGGTGGGTCGCAGAGGACAGGTCGTCCGAGGACCTACTGCGGATACGGTCGGTGAGGCTGTGGAGGAGTCACATCCTGATCGAGATGATGGATGAAGAAACCAGGGAGTGGGTTCGCAGGGAGCTGATCAACGTCAGGCCCTGGGGGCTCACAAACCTGGTGGAGGTCGGTCCGGAAGGATTCAGACTTAGAAGGGCGGCGATCTGGATTCCGGCCTGGGGGCGGGTGTCTCGAACGAGGCACTAGTCCGCTGCCTGGCAGCTCAGAATGCCTTAGAGGACGGAGGACGCAAGGGGCACAAGGTTGGTGGTGGGCGTGGACGAGAAATCGGCAAGCGCAATCACGGCTAAGAGCTCACTTCTCTTCTGCCTGGCGACTCAGGTTAAAGTGAACCTGACGGCGCCGAGGCCGCAGGGGATGAGGTGGCCGCGGGGGGCTCACACGAAGAGGGCTTGTCCATGGAGGTTGAGGGGCCTGTCGGAGAGGCGGCGCCCACGGCTTCTGTGGAGGGGACCTCCGGAGGGCCCTCCGAGGAGGAATCTCGGATGGAGGTTGACCGGGGGATCCCATCAGGGTCCACCGGTCAGGAAGCGGAAGCAGAGGGAGGTGCTATCTCTGGCTCGGATTCAGGCTGAGGCTAGCATCGTGACCCTCACGTTGTATTCCCGTAACAACGTCTTCACGGGGATATTACAAATTAACCTGCAACACAGCAGGGCTGCAACGGCCCACTTATGCAGAAAAATTTCGGAGGGCGGTATATCCATTGTACTGATCCAAGAGCCCTGGATTGTAAAATAAAGAGTTAGGGGCTTATCTCTGGGAGGGTCGATGCTGCATAGTGTCGACTCCTTAGAGGGCGGTCCCAGGGCCTGTATACTAAGCATGGGGCTCGAGGCCTTCTTCCTAAGGGCCAAGGCGTCCCGGGACCTGGTTCCAATTCTGGTCAGATCCCCACTTGGGACGGCGTGAGGGAGGTAGTAGTCGTCTCTGCGTACTTTCCAGGCGACCGCAGCTGTCCGCCGCAAGAGATCAGTGACTTGGTCTCCTACTGTGAGGAGGCGAATCTTCTTTTGATTGGCTGCGACAGCAATGCTCACCACGTTTTGTGGGGCGGCGCGGCAACTAATAGAAGGGGGGACTGGAGTTCATGGCCTCCCGGAAATAACTGGGTGGTGTGTTTGTGGGGAGGACTCTATGTCGGACCATAGATACATCACCTTTGGGTTGGAGATGGGTGTTCGGGAACCCGTTAGATTTAGGAACCCCCGGGCAACAAACTGGGAACTCTATAGGGAGGAGCTCGCTTGGCGCCTAGGGGGTTTACCAAGAAAACACCGGACATTGGAGGAGATTAACGAGACCGCCGACCGCGTCAGCTCCGCTATGATACGGGCTTTCGAGAAGAGCTGCCCTGAGACAGAGGAGCATAGGGCGGGGAGGGCTCCTTGGTGGAGCTCTTCCCTGGAGCGTCTCAGGAGGAGAGTGCAGAGGCTGTTCAATACCGCGAGGAGCAGCAGCCAAGGTGCGGACTGGGATCTCTATAGGGAGGTCCGCAGACAGTACAAAAAAGAACTACGGGCATCACAAAGGCCTGGAGGGGCTACTGCGACGGAGTAATGAATATCCCAGACGCGGCTAGCCTCCTTAGGGTACTCAGAAGTGACCCTGCGGGAAGACTGGGAGTGGTGCGCAAGACCGGCGGTGGCTACACAGCGGGACCAGCGGACACACTACAACAGTTGCTGACCACGCACTTCCCAGGGTCCGTTGATCCGGACACGGGGGAATGTTGAAGGCTGTCGGTGTGCGTGTTCGCTGACATCGAAGGAGCCTTCAATAACACGGCCCTGTATTCGATCTACAGGGCGGTGGAGCGTACTGGAGTGGGGACTGCCATTGTAAGCTGGATCCGCTCCATGCTAACCGATCGGAGGGTCGAGACAAGACTGGGTGGGGAGCAGGTCTCCATTGGTTCACGGAGTTGTCCACAGGGTGGGGTCTTGTCCCCCTTCCTGTGGTGTGTCCGAGGGAAGAACACAGAGGACGGACGTGAGGAGGATGCAGGGGCTCCTGAACAGGGCATTGGTAAGATTCTCACAATGGTGCCTGGAAACAAGTTGGCTGTCAATCCTGGCAAGGTGGAGATCGTCATCTTCACCAGAAAAATTTCGAAAACATTTCGATGGATGGGGTGCCTCTTTCTGCAAGCGGAAGTGTCAAGTACTTGGGGGTATGGTTGGACTTCAAGTAGACCTTCCAGGAATATATAAGATCAAGAACCAGGTCGGCCTTTGGACCTCTGTGGGCGTGCCGGAGAGCGGTAGGGGGCACTTGGGGCCTGGGCCCGAAGATCATGCAGTGGATCTACGGTACCATGGTGGTGCCTATGCTCGCGCATGGGGAAGTGGCATGGTGGCCGGGGACCAAAAGAACGGGAGAAAGGCTAGTTCTTGACAAACTGCAGAGATTGGCTTGCCTCTGCATAACGGGCGCCATAAGAACGGCGCCCACGAGGGCCCTAGAGGCTCTGATGCGGTTGCCCTTTCTGGCGGATCGGGTGCAGATGGAGGCGGCCAGAACAGCTGTGAGGCTGGCGAGTTGCTGGCTCTGGAGGGAGGGAACCTTCAATCGGGGTCCGTACGACATTTTAGAGGGCTGTCGCGGGGATCGCAGGGCCATGGGCATGCCGAGTGACGTCATGATCCCCGAGATGACCTTCTTTGACAAATTGACCTTTCTGTTCCCATCAAGGGAAGAGTGGAGAGTGGACAGAGTCCCCTCCTAGGATGGACTAGTCTGGTACACGGAAGGGTCCAAAATGGTAGATCTGGCCGGGGCTCGAGCGTACTGCGAGACAACGGGATCGAGCTTGTCGGTCAGTACTGCACTGTGTTACAGGCCGAAATTTTCGCTTTATTGATGGCGGTCAGGGAGGTGCTTCGGCTCAACCACAAAACCAGGAGGGTCTTCTTCTGCTCGCATAGTAGGGCTGCATTTATGGCGCTGAAGTCAGTGCTTACGAGCTCCTTGTTGATAAAGGAGTGCAAAGGGGTACTGAGGAGACGAAGGTCATGTTGGTCTGGGTCCCGGTATCCGGGGCAATGAGGCAGCGGACGCCTTAGCCAGAGAGGGCTCCTCGCATAGGCATATAGGGCCAGAGCCCCGCTTAGGGGTCGCCCATGTGTGAGGCGGGGTGCTCTCGAAGCCCGGGCGAGAGACCGGGTCGCGGTGGGCTGGAGAGTTGCTCCGGGAATGAGGCAGGCGAGGCTTATGATGGATGGGCCCGCCCTCCCTCGGACCAGGGAGATGCTTAGACTGACCAGAAGGGAGTGTAGAGCACTAACAGGGGCCTACACAGGACATTGCAGGCTTAGGAGGCATCTTTGCTGGCTAGGCATTGGAGACGACCCGGAGTGCAGGTGATGCATGGAAGGGGAGGAGACCCCGTACCATCTGCCCACCGAGTGCCCTGCCTTGACATGGGCAAGATTGGGAGTCTTCAGAACGACCCTGATCGATCCGGACTCAGTGCACGGTATTGGGCTAAAGGAGTTGCTGACCTTCTATAGGAGGGGCGGCATTCTGGACGACCTCTAGAGCGGCCTGGGGCACAATGGGCCCATCTGGTGGCCTAAGTGCTTGGACGCCCGCGAGGGCGCCCCCCTTTAATACCAATACCAATATTGGAAGATCATTTCTTTTTGAGCAAGTTTCTGTTGAACGGTAGTTGTAGGCATCTGGCCTATTTCTCTCAAACATCGACCAACATTGCTGACCAGTTTTACAAGGCATTCTAAGAGTGAGAAATCATCGACATTCATCAACTGCCACTCGTTTCCTTTACGCAGTGACCAACAAAAATAAACAAAACAAAATTAATTTTTTGACATGTACTGTCACAATACATAAGTTTCACAGTCACCTGGAGTTTCTAATATAATATTAACCGAACGTAATACCGGAGCAACTAATTCAATAAACCGGTTTCTTCTTAAATGGTCTATAAAATTTCAAATGCTTTTTAACTTGAAATCACTCCATGTTTATTAATAAACAAACTGTTCAGCACTGAAGCAATATTTATTGCTTGTTCATACTTAACATAACGACATCTAGAATAAAGTCACAATCGGTTTTTTTAGGACTAAAACGATTTTTAAAATAACGCTAGCAAACACATGAATTTATTTGCGATTTAAAGAGGGAGTAGTAAACTTTAATATAATGAACATTTATGTAACTTAACTAGAAATATGTTTGTGTCACCTTAGATGACTATCCACAATTATATCCAAATATTTTGCTGAGTCAGTCGTTAGAAATTCATTATTTTGTTCCAGTTTGATGGTTTCAAAGTGTGGTAAAGCATTAGAGTAAAACATAAAAGGAAGAAATTTCAGTACCTAAGAAATCGTTCCTTGTGGAACACCACAAATGACGTTTCTTGTTTTGCTTTTAAGTGTTCGAATTGTTTTCGGAGCGCGAGCATTGAAGATGCCAAGTTGGCGAAACGTCTGCAGGATTCCAATCGGAGTTCAACAAACGTACGGAACTTACTGATATACATGGTGTTCCGCTTGTATTTCCAATGTTGTCTGTCTGAAAAACACCGCTGTCACAGGTTAGATAATACATTTGTTTGACTGATCATCGATGGCAAGTCATACAGAGTTAGTATAAATATTTCATTTTGAGTAAAACGCTACATTTGATTAAAAAGAATTTTAATGTTTGGAACATTTGAGTTTTATAAGATTATATTCAACAGACATACACTTCAAATTACATGTAGACAACTACAAAAAAAAAGCCAAATAATATGTGCTAAAAAAATAGGCATGACTTAGGATTCCTCAGAGTTTGATAACAGCACACCTCAGAATTAGTCCGATGCAGTCAAAGTAACCATTCACATTAATACCTGAAGTTGGATTATCAACGCTAACCGAAGATGTTAGAAACAGTAAACACCCATACCATATTGAAATTTTTGGTGTACATTCTGTAGATTTTAATGGTGTAAAAAAAGTACAAATTTATATAGGAACGCACCCACGATCGTTATAAAAAGAATAAAATTAAGTTATTAGATCATCGATAATAAATAAGGGCATTTATTTTTCTTGTGTCAAATGAAAGAATTTGAACAACTAGCAACAGCGCAGTTGGTGGTGTAGGATAAAATTCGATAAAAATGCCATGCACACGAAAATTTGAGTCGGAATACTTAATATCCTACCAGAAAAGCACAATTTCTAGATCGCATTTTACAGGGCCGACTCCAATTCAAAAAGGTCACAGTATAGAGGGTGTTTCATAATAAAATGCTCACCCTTAAGGGCATGTTGATTGACAAAAAAAGATTACATCAATGTAGGTCCGCAATGGCTTTATTTTTGATATGCAGGGTGTTGCAATTTACAAAAAAAAAAAACGGTTTTCCCAATCTTGAAAGTGGCGATTAATATCTGAGTAAAAACGGTCTCTTGACTTTGCGTCGTTCAATGCAGCGTTTTCGACAAAAATATAGAAAATCATATTTAATAATTAAAAAAACATATCGGTGAATCTGTTTTAACTGTGATTTTTTATGTCTTATATTACTTAATTAATAATCTCATAATGAAATTTTTGTATTAATTAGATGATTATGAACATACTACAACATATTTTTTATATAAAATAATTTTTCATTCAGAGAGAACCTACAATGTCAGTATCGTCTCAAGCCCAATTCTAAAATTCATCTATAAATTCTTAATTTTTTATGTTGCAATAAGTGATCTAAATTTAAAAAAAATACAACTTTGTGGTTAATGTTTTAAGTTAACACTGAATTCCGGTTCAATAACTTTTGTCTTTAAAATTTAACGAATTTGAATTTACATGACTCGAGCGCCACCTACCTTGAGATTTATGAAACGTCTAGTGAAAAATGGAGTTGATGAAATAGTACAAAGATTTTATATGATTTTAGAACTCAAATTTATTTTATGACGTTCTTGACGCTTTAAAGTGATAAGAAAATCCTTTCAGGCTTTTATTTTTGGAGTAAAATAGATAAATCATATGCATAAAACAATTGAAAAAGTCTATCTTTAAAATCTTAGAAAATTTAAGCAAAAAAGTAACAGTTAGAACGGAATCCTTGAATCCTTTGAAATATTGCTATACCCTGTATATAAAAAATAAACCGGTTGCGAATTCACATTGAAATAAGTTTTTTTTTTAATCATCCTTAAGGATTATCATCTTATAATGAAACATCCTGTATAAAAGCTAGCAAAACAAGGTGACATCTAACACGCAAACTTATATACATGATGGCGACAGCACTTAACGGTTATACCGGAAGTGTCAACTTGCTTGTTTTATATTGAACCCCTACACATTATTGCTTTCTTCAAATGCAATTCAACTGAATTTATCTGTTAATTAATTTCATTCTGTTAGCTTTTTCAGAGCTTAACTCTAAACTCTTAAACTCCAAACATTTGTTAGTAACACGGATTGCTAATCAAAGTTGGTGAAAAATAGGAACAATTAAAGTAAAATTCAAAACAACTTGGATAACTGGACATAAATTTTATACTTTTTGCAAACATTGCCATTTAAACAATTTTCTTTGCAAATAAACGTTTAAATGAAGCTTTTACTTTTTTCTACTTTTAAATTTTCTACGATTTTATTTTTTTTAATTTTCTTTTTAGCGGATTATCTTCGAATTTTCAGAAATTAAAGACAAACACATTTCCAATAAATGTAGAAAAACGGTCATTATTTGGCGAAAAGCAACGTCACTAAGCACCGCCCTAATGTAGCAACGGACTGCAACCATATAGATCCTAGATATAAACGTCCTATTAGAAATTCGGAAGAACTAAATAGGTTATTTTTTTAAATTGGGTATATGGCCATGCCGCATCACCTTTTTGAAATATTTACGCACCTGCGGCGTTGCCAATTCAACTCAAAATGGATAACATTGGAAATACAAACGGAATAGTACGTATGTACGTTTTTTGATTCTGAGTAACTTTTGTTAATATGTCTACTTATGTTATCGATTTGCCTCACTTCGGAAGATTTTTTTTGGCCGACGAGCCCCGCTTTCTGTGTGAACAAGTTACCTATTTCAAAATTGCTAATACATTTACATTACATTATATAGATTTGCTAATACAGGGTGTTCCAAAAATTCCAGGTAAGATTATACTTTGGCTACTCTTCTGCAATTCTTTTTTCCGAAGTAAAGGAAATAGATATTCATAGGAACATTAACTTAGAACTTTGCGCCAAACCAGAAGACATACTTGAATCGGCAGCGCTAGAGGTGCGAAAATATTTTGTGTATGGGCCCTTTGGCCATACACCAAATTTGAAAAAAAAATACAGTTCTCCAGAACATCTAGTAAGGTTCAACAGGTAACATGGCCGCTGACATGGCGTGAATCAACAGTTACGGTCACTATATTATCTAATAACTATATGGCTGCAACTACACCACAGTCTGCTGGAAAAGCTTATTTTATACCATATATTGCGTGACTGATTTAGAGCAGTGACATCCCTGAAGGTTTCTTTACGAATATATTGACAAAACGATGGTACTGGTTCATTTTAAATTTTGATATTTACTAGAACTTGAAAAACAGCAAAATTGCCGAGAATAAATAAAAAGCACATTAAAGCATGTCCACAAGTGACATTTAAAAAAAAAGCATAATATATTTAATCATTATTTTTACGATTTATTTTAAATTACATTTCATATTGAACACTTAAAATTTGCTAGAAATTACAACTGAAAAGGTTCAAAATATTAAATATCTGGGTGTTTCTTAGATGATAATTTAAATTGGAAAAAAATCCAAATACGGTTTTTACTGGCGTGCTTGTTTGGCGATTTCTTGAATTACCTTTCCAGATAGGGACTAATACCTTTATTCATTGATCACCCTGTACATGTACATGTACATTTATCATAATTTTTTAATATTACTTGTGAACATGCATTAGAACGATTTTACTAATTTTTCTCGCGAAAATGAAGCAACATATTAAAATACTTGAATTGAAGAGGCAAAAGTTGGTAAATTCTATTTCTTTTAAAGTCAATGCTAAATCCTCCGTCGCTTGAAATTATTAAAAAGAGATAAGAAAAACTTTACCGTACTGTATTTTGAAAATGAAGGGATATCTGAAAAAAAACCGAGTTCCTATTCATCCAAATTCAATAATTCAATAAATTAAAATAATCAACATTGTTTCAGCGCAGGAAGTGTAGGCAACAAAACGCCTTTTATTTTCGGCTTATGCTGAAAAAAGCCAAGTGTGAGATGCCACACTTAACAAAAATTTAAATAAACAACTTCAGGTACCTGCGTCAGAAAAATATAGACTCGCGTGTCCATCACAATAGATATTGTAATGAGTTCGGCGTTAAAAAAAAAAATTGAGAACCGCTTTCAGGTGCCACTTGTGTATACTTTCATTTGGCAGTTGGTCAATTGCTTCAAGTATGGTGCATAAGTATGTTAAAAAAAACGAACAAAAAAAACAAATAAATAGAAAAAATATATTCAACATTTAAAAACCGTTACAATAATAGTCCAAATAATGGAAATTCATTCACATGTGTGTATCCGGTTACAAGAAAAACGAATGTTTATAAACAAATGAAAATATACACAATCTGAAAAACTATAGTATCATAACGTTATATTAATTTATCTAAATCCTAAAAAACATAAAACCGATATAATACAAAGTCACTTTCGTAAATTTTATGAAGTCGTCAGTTAGCTATACAAAACTTAAACCATTTCATCAAGCCAGTAGACACTTGTACCGTAGGGGAACAATTTTTTGTTTAATGTACACCGAGTTACTTAAAACATAAAATAATGCAAAACTGATTCAATAGTGAAACAGACCTTTTGTTACACTAAATCTTGTGATAACCTTATCACTAACAGTCGTCCGACATAAATGAATTCTGTGACTTCAGCTCTTCCAATTCTTTAATCTGCTGACGCAAGAACAATATCCTGAAACCAAATTGCTCAATAAAAATACGCTAGAATATTCGTTTACGGACGTTCAAACAACCCATCAATCGCATACCTACGCTTTATTCCTGATTCGTTGATTTTCGGTAACTTGGGTTTGGAAAGGGTTTACAGTATATCAGTTTAAAAATAACATACCAAGTTCCTAATTTTTAAAGCGGCTGGAAATCGGAAATAAATAAAGGACCTTTAAAAATAGTGGTACTTCAAACATACTCAATTTATCAAAGGTGGACAAGTTTTAACGCCCCTGCACGTACAGGTTATTATTGAAACGACACCATATAATTTAATGAATGAATCTTACGGTTGAAGGACATATGGCAAAAAGGCAAAAAGGTTTCCAAAACTGTTTCAGCGGACTAGACAGGGTACCTAAATTGTAATCTAATCTCATAAATTCAAATTCAAAAAAACTCACGAACACTTTAATTGTTGTGTCGTCACGAGCAAATTCTCTAACAAACTTTGATTTGCAACCAAAAAAATAACTTCAAGGATAGGCATCTAAACAAAGCAGACTGATGAAGTCGACCTGCGCATACGCGTAAACTTACTTCCGCGCTCTCTATGTGGCGGTGTTTTACAGTTCTTAGTTAACTTTACTTGATGATTCGCCTTTTAGAAAATAGATGGAGCGGCAAGTAGTGCTTAGAAAAATAATACGATTACATTGTGCTTCTTTACTGACATGTTATTGGGGTCCTTCTAAAGTCTCTTTTTAAATTTCACTCCTACATCACTTCATTGACATTATTTTGAATGCAACATTTTCAGTTTTTGCAAGTTCTTTCTTATCTAAAATCTAAATTAACTACGGGTTTCTTTTATTATTTAATAGAAAAAAATGTTCAAAAGAGCAATGGTGTGAATCACAACCATATAAGAAACATTATATAGCACGATATTTTTGATGATCAATTAGGTTGCAGGCATACCTTTTAATTTAGAAATAATGTTTGCTTCCTAACATGTTACTGAATTATATTCCACACAGTAGGAACTCCTAGAATCCAATAGAAAATTATAAATATAATACAAAATAATTCTGTACCTGCTTATATACTGTTTTAGGGGGGCGGAGCTAAAGGAGAAATGATCAGTTATAAATTAAAAATTATAAATGCTGAATTAAAACACTTAGCATCAGCTCTTCTTTGAAAGAATGTCCACATTACAGATATTGAGCATTCCATTACAAAATACACCTTAACAAAACTTCCCTCAAAGACAAGATTCCGTTTGAGAAATCAAAAGTTACGATACATCAACTCATTAGCAGTTGTCCAACACAATTATGAAACCGGTCCCATTTGGTCAATCTAAAATTCTTGAATGCAATTTTTCTACCAAAGTAAAATCCGAGGATGCATAGAAAACTCTAAACAACCAAACAATCTTAACCGCGAATCAGGTGTTTACCATAGGAGACAATGTTCATGTCTCTCCGTTAGCTCCGACCACTTCATAAGCTGGTACAGAGTAAAATGCGAGCTAGCTTCAGTTAAGCTCTGACCTAGTCAACAGGCAGTTTTGTAAATAGTAAATAACTAAAATAAAAATATTTAATAGATTTAATAGGTGACAGCTCAAGTACAACGAAATACATAAATAAATAATAAAAAATTAAAAATAAATATGTTTTCCTTTAATTCATAACCCAACATATTTCTTTTTTTCGAAACTTGTATTACTACTGACATTGTCGCCTGCGATTTAAACTTTGTTCCGCCGTAGGTAGCGTTTAAGTTAATTTTATTCCTTATATTCAAACTAACTGTGCCGAGAGCGATGTTATTAGGTCACGTGTTTATTACTTCTTATTCTTCCAATTTAGTGTACCCCACACTCTTGTTTGATACTTTAAGGACAACTTTAAATGATATTCGGAATGGATACATTAGAAAATTACATCGGATGAGTTGGAAAATGTGTACCCATAGAACTATCTAAAAATGTAAACGACAGCACACTGCTACTGCAGGTTTTGTACCATAACCATGTATCATGTACCAGATAAATAACCTAAATAGGTTGTACAGCGCATTTATATAAATATTTTAAGATTAATTAAATATTTTTATTTTAACTTACACTTTTTTTAACTTTCTTAAGACTTGGTTCGAACATAATTAAGTGGCGATACCGAAAAGAGGGCCTTTCCAGGTAAACCGCAGGGTTCCAAAAATGAGTAAATATCTTTTGTAACATTTTTAACCATCATCCTGCACAGAAATATTAAAAACTACCGAAAACCATCGCATTGAAGGACTTTAGAAAAACAATCATATATTAAATATAGTTCTCCGCCAATGCTTTAGAAGCCATTAGCTAAATTCAACAGAATTAAAACTCTGTTACTTTTTACATAATCGCATCCCGGGTGTTATATTTTGTCAAATGTCAAATTCCCACTGATCACACAACAAAACCAGACCCACTCCTAAGAAAGAATAACGAGAGCTCTCATTCCCCAGCACAACCCTCAGACATGCGACATCAGACTTACGTCACAGACTGTTAAACAATGTGGAACTGAAAGAACGTCAATTTGATGGTTCCAATTTCAAAAGAAAAATGTATCATTTTTTAAAGTTTTATTCTTTATTCTACCATTTAGAACCAATTTTTATGAATATTAGTTATATCTTGGGATTTGTACTATTAATAAATAATCATAAAATCTTAGACCGATTTAGGTACTCCTTTAGTCGTTAGTTTGCCTTACTGAAAACCGAAATACTTTCTAAATGACTTAAGTCTGATAAAGATGTGCTTGTCGTCTTTATCCGACTAGATCAGATATAGGATTAAATTATTTTGGGGTTTCAAAGGGTCAAAAAAGTTAAATTTAGTGTAATATTTATCTTTTTATAAGATAAGGCTTCCGTTTTTCAAATAATGAAGTTAAAAAAATTTAACTAGGTATTTTTACCGACAAGTTAAAAGTCTCGAACCGATTTATTGGACGTGTTCCATACAAATATCAAAACATTTTTTAAAGAAAACTACAAATTTTCGCCATGTAGTAGCAGCATGAAAAATTATATAAATATTATAAGTATCAGGAGGCAATAAAATCCATTGTAGGCTTTAACTTTTTTTCTTATTTGAAATATACCGTCATATACAAATTGAAATTTGCTTTAGCTGTTACTGCTTTATTTAAATCAATTGTTGCAAAGAATTAACACTATCTTATTAGCAAAAAAAACCAGAACGCTTAGTAATGTAGTCAACAATCGCGACCTCTAGAGACATTTCCGCTAAATCATACCTTTGCTCTTGTAATGTTGCCTGTATTTCGGTTAAACGGACTATCGATCTCGCCGACTTTAAATCTGCCGACACTTTTGAACACTGTATACTACCCATTATGTGTGCTTCTTCCGCCAATTTGTTAGCCTGAAAATAACACTTTGTTTAGAATTTGTCCCAAGACTACACATAATATTTCTGATAATTTGATACAACATACAATAAATGAGTACAGTAATGTAAATTGTGTAGTCTTTAAATGTAGGGACATACTCAAATTCTTTTATACATTTCTCTATTGTCAAAGAATGAATATAACTGTCTTATTTTATATGGCAAAAATAGTTGCCTATAACCTTCAAATAATGCCGGTGTTGAGCTCCTTTCAACCAATGGCGGAGATATAGGTCCATCTTAACTAAAGACCTCGCGTTTATTCTTTAGTAGATTTTGAATTCTTTCATACATAGTTTTAGTGGGTAAATTTATTTAGTACTTTAAAATGTATCAAAAATTAAAATACCCTAATCCATGTATATTCAATTAATGTTAAAAATAAATTTTCACTGTTTTTTTTACTGGAAGTGGACAACTTACCATTTTGTTTATTACTTTCATTAATATTAAAATTCAATATTAACAATATCAATATTTAAATGAATAGCTTTGAAATATTATATAGTTCTTGAATTGACCATTTCCTATTGCTCTCATTGCTATTTCAAAGTCTCTCCGTGATGTGTAAAATTATTAATAATAGAGCAAACAGTTTTTTGGTATTTAAATTTATAAAATTAACGTTCATATTGTTTGTATCTTAGACCTTTCCTATATATATTAGCGTGTTGATTTTTGAGTTTTAGGTCTGTGTATAACAAAAGTGCTCAAAAAGTTGCCAGTTCGGTCATTCATGACCTACCTCAGAATAAGGAAGGTCCAGGAGGAAATCAAGTCATTATTTTTTTTCTGGAAAATTGTCGTTGGATCATTTTTCATTTCTCTATAAGTGTTTTTGTCATTAAGTAAATTGGACATTTTTTGATCGTACTGATACTCGGCCATGGGGAAAAGAAACTATACATCTCTCATAACTCTTCCAGAATCTATGGGCTGCCCAAACTCCATGAGAAATCGATCCCCCTCAGGCCGATAGTGTCCTGTATCCAGTCACCTTTTCAAAAATTATCTAAATATTTAAAAGACATTCTTCCGAACGTTATAAACAAAAACAAATATTATATTAAAGACTCTTTCGACTTTAAAAGCAAAATTAAAAATATTTCCATTTAAAAAAATTACACCCTAATTTCACTGGATGTCATTTCCTTATATGCAAACATTCCAGTAAACACTGCCAAAGAAGTTATCGCCAAAAAATGGGACAAAATCAAAACTTTTACAGACATTTTTAGCAAAACTAAAACGTAAAGACCTTTTAATATACGACAACAACCTACTGTATTTTTAAACGTTTTAATGGCACGCGATGCTCTCCCCCCCTTTTTCGTTTTGTGGAGAACTTGTTTTGTAAGTTTGAGATTTTATATAGTTGTAAAATTGATTTTTTTATTTTAAATGTATTTGTAGACACTAATTATTCTGAGGAAGGTCATGAATGACGGAAACGCCAATAAACTGGCAACTTTTTGAGCACTTTTGTTATACACAGACCTAAAAGCCATAATAATAGGTACTCTTCTTACAAAGTCTTTTCAAATATTTAGTATTGTCATTTATTTTTTTATCTCGTTATATTTTTATTCTATATCCAATTATCACGATAGGATGTCAAAATCAAAATAAATATCAGGTGCTTTTTTTACAATACCTTCGTTGCTAATATTACGTCTCAAAACCCGTTAAAAAATAAGCTTACAGGAAGGAAAAAACCATATAAGTAAATACATTTTTATAAAAAACAAAATATTTCTTAAGTGGATTTGCTTGTATTCATCATCAAGTCGGCATGATTGAAAATTCTGACAGTTTGTACATTTTTATCAGATTATCGATTTTGTCGGGTTATCGATTTGGATTATGATCGAAAATAATCAATTTACAAATGGAGAAAAAGTTGAAATATTTCTAAAATACAGGCCCGTGCATTGTATGTAGCCCCCGCTATCCGGGACGTCGCTTTCCTACACACTCTTTCTTTAGAAAGCTGGAATTGAAAGTGAGAAATCCACAAAATAATCGACAAGTGAAGAAATAGAAATCAACGTTGTAGGATACGTCAACGTGAACCCAGCTGGTTAACATTCTTTTAAGGCTGTTAGATAAACATGACGAGAATAATAAGGCTAATTTTAGAGATGTCACTGAACATCTACGTGATGTTTATGGGGATAGACTAATCTCAACACACGGTCCAGTCAATTGATCCCCACGGTCACCTGACTCGACACAGTTAGACTTTTTTGTTTGGGCGATGTGAAAGACCGTGTTTATGTAACTCCAGTGTTCGACCTACAAGAATTACAGAGGAGAATATCGACTGCATTTGATAATATAAATCCGGAAATGTTAGAAAGGGCTACAGAGAATGTAATTTCTAGAGTCAGAGAGTGTCGTGTCGCAGCAACTAGTGACTGTTTGACTCAGGGAGGGGTGCTTATTGCTGTGAAGAGCTCTATATCCTGCCAACTTCTTAGCCCTCCCATTATTACTGTAGAGCAAATATTTATTCAGGTAACCATGGGGGTTAATAAGATTCTGGTCGGCAATACGTGTATCCCAGGTGTCTCCTCGCCCGAAGTGTATGAAAATTTTTGTCTCTCTGTAATGTATTTGATGGATGAAAAGGACTTCACAGATGTTTTACTCTTGGGAGACTTTAATTTACCCAAACTATCATGGTCCAACAGTGAAACTGGTGCTACGCCTTGCCGGAATCTCTCAAGTGAGGCAATTGTTGTTTCCGATTGTGTGGCCTATTTGGGGTTATTTAAAAACAGACAACTCCCAAATAAGTATGACAATTTTCTTGATTTATTGTTCTCTAGTTAGCCTGATATCTGTGTTACGATCTGTGAAAGGCCGCTGCGCGGATGCACCTCATCCGGTGCCGTATACAAGAAAAAGGAATTTTGAAAACATTTGATGAAAGTTTCATCTTAAAATAAATTATTTATTAAGTAAATATCTATAGCACTTATTTAATTCAAAGAAATAGAAAACTCCAGTTCCAAAATAAATAAATTTGATGTTTTCTGTCAATGGAAAACTTGTCTTACAGTAAGAGACGTTGATATACCACTTTCAAATCGATTCTGCAGACATTGTTGAGGTTTATTTCCTAACAGATTTTCAAAATAATGTATTGAATTTTCTGAAAAAGTGAAAGTGAAAAGAAAAAAAAATCTATTCTCTTGTTCTTCTGAGTTTCCGGTAAAAAGTGCTTGTCGCTTATGATGTACGTATACATACAATACCTACGTTAGTTTCTGACTAATCGTTGAATCTCAGCAGAAATTCTCCCTTTAATTTAATTTTATTATTATTTTTTAAATATTAAGCTGTTTTTTTTTCTTTTCACTGCATGAGCTTGTCGAGAGTTTCTTCTGCATTTTTAATATTACCGACTTGACAATAATGAATAGAAGCAAAGCCACATAAGTATTTTTTGTTTTAGAAAAATGTATTAACTTATCTGGTTTTTTCCTTCCTGTGACTTTAATTTTTAACGGATTCTGAAAATTTTGGTGTCAAAATGTCGGAAAAAAAAGTGCCGACTTTAAAATGTTTTTGTTCCCACTAAGGTACTATTTCAAAAAACGAGGTTATCCTAAAAAATTAATAGTTCATTACATTAAAGTTTCATTACAAGTAAAGTTTCATTTACAATTTTTCCCATGATCAGGTGACCCAGTAAATAATATTTATGATGGTCACAGCCTCCTAGATACAATTTTCAAAAATTAAATAATTTTTTTTAATGACAAAAACCGTCCTATCCTACGTTGAATGATCTCTTGAATCCAAAAATGCAAAAAATATAGGTTGTGCCAAGTACAACCATTGACTACATATTGCCCAAAAATTGGACATTCAGCCTATATTAACCCTTCCAAATTTTAAACCACTACCTCAAGCCGTATAAAAGTTACAGAGTGTTCCCACCATCTTGTGTCACCCAGTATAATATCGTTTTAATAACCTCAAAAAAACTAACCTGCTTTTCTAATATTTCCGCGGGCCAGCCCCTCACGTGGTTAACCAAATCATCCCGATAATGGTTCGCTAAAGAAGGCGTAATCGTAGGACCTTGAGGCCGCAGCGCCTGCAAGGAACTCGATACTCCCTGCAACGTGGGGATCGTGCCCCCAGGCGGACTACCCGTCGGCATAGGTACTACTGCAAAAACGAAAATGATAACGACCTTCTTCGCTCCGACCAGCACACGAAAAAGGGGCGGGGGGGGGTATTTAAGCCGAAAACCTGGTCAATAAAATCTTTGTTCCAGCCTCTTTAAAAAAATGAAGATCAAATAAAACGTATATTTTATAAGTTATTTTAAAAATAAGATGCAATAAAAGTCTGAGTGAATACGTCCGAAATTCATCCCTCTCAACATTCTTGATCAAAAAAAAGATCGCGTAAAAATTTACAATAAATAGCTGTAATTTCAACTATTCGCGTTGACGAGCACACGAAATTAGACCTTTTGCATTTTAAAGGCCTCTTCTGAACAAAACTCTGAGAATATAATTTCTTTTTTGAATTTTTCCCTAGAGAAAAAACGTTTTACTAAAAAATTTATCAATCTGAAATCTCCACATTTAGATTTGCTCTGGTTCCAAAGTTAACCCGCTTATCCCTTCACCCACACTATATGTCCGATTTGTTTATAATAGTGTATTATTACTGAACTAAATCATAATAAATCATAATTATGAGGTTACATTCTGCGATCAGAAAACATTTTTTGTTTATATTTCTATTTTGTTTTAGCTACAATAAAAACAGCTTGATAAGATTTGATATTCTACAAAAAGTTTACAAACATTTTATGACCATTTTTTTTTATTTGCCCGTACCTACAGGTATGTATTATTCTAGGTTAAAGTATAGTTTGTAATTTTCAGGCGAAAAGAACAAGATTAGTATAAATTTACATTAACAAAGCAATACACATATACGTCACAAATTAAACTTCTATTTTTGTATTTTTGACCTATATTTTATGTAAAATACCCCTCCGTCTGGCACGACCATCTTATTACTTTTAGCACAATCGAGAACTTCCGAGTGCGTGGGTGTCGGTGGTCCGTCCCCTACCGCTCCGCTATGATTAGTGTCCACGGTTAACGCTTCCACCTTCTTTGGATCTTCATTGCTAATTAATCGACTAAGGGCAACGGATATGCCTGGAATTGCTCCCTGGGATGGGGGGCAAGGCGTATTGGAGGCCGGCTGAGGCTGTGGCGGAGAGGCAACGCATAAGGTGGGCGTCGCCACCTTGACCGTAGCCGCTATGGGTAGCATCGCCGGAGGCGTGGCTTGCGGAAGCACCGCCACGGTCGCGGGATGTGATACGAGACGAGGTAAGGCATTAGCCAGCAAAACGGGACCCGCGACCGGCTGTTCCACAACTAACGACGTCTGCTGCGACGAGTTGGTGCTATAAGACACCTAACGAAAAAAAAAAGAGACACCGTTTTGAAAAAGGTAATAATTATGCCGAACGCCTACCTCCGAGGTAGGCGTACTATCGCCGGGTGAAATATCCATGTCTTGTGCCACAGATGATTGCACATTGTCCGGATTCGAATGCCTCCTAGACAAACAAGAACGAGATGACTCCTTCGACGAGGTATCACTGACCTCTCTATTACTACTGCTGCTCCAATGCCGGCCGCCGTCTTTACTACTGCTACTGCCACCATTGGGCCCTCTCGAGCTGGAATGTTTCTCGTGACCTACCAAATGCCGGCGACATATTTATTTAACATTAAACTTAACCAAGACTCTAATCACAAACATCCGGAATAAATAAAATTATTTCAGTAACACGCCCAAGACTTTATTTCACTATCTGGATTAGGCTTAAGCTGTTTTGATGTAGTTTATTTGGAATAGATTAGAAAATAATAATAAAAGCTATCTAGCATAACTTTTAAATTAAGGAATCAACCTTTAATTGTTTAAATGATGTTACTGGGCAAACACACAGTATCCTAAGAGAACAAAAATTATTGCTTATAATTGTAAACTTCGGTAATGTAATGCTGATAGTTAATATTTAAAATCAAATGAACAACAATTATTACTATTACCGGTCTGTCTTATATATACGTGAAAACGCTGACGTCCATCGAGTAACCACTAACAGGCATCACAACAATACCAGGCAAGTTGATATGATCACACCTGGTTACTCCAGATTGACATCCTCGGAATCTAATAATATCTTAAAATCTTAAAAACCTACCTTTTAAGCAATTTAAAAATAAAAATGAAAGACTTTCTAACTCAGAATGTCTTTTATAACACTAACAAACACTTGGAGCTAGTTAGTCATAATACGCTATAAGAGCTTCCATATTTTGGGTATTTTCATAATAAGTATTTATGTAATATAATAGTTATTAGTTGCTTCTCTATATTATTGTAACAATGTTTTGTTATTTGTTGCTGTATAACTTATATGAATGGTTAATAAAGTTCCAGTCTATTTTATTCTATTGTTATATACAATTCTTTCAATAGGACATTGACAAAGGTAATTATTGCCATGAAATGATAACGCAACGGTGCAATTTTGTCTCAAATTTCGTGACGGAACATTAAGTAGTTCTGAGTACATAAACATCAGTTGTGATGATTGAGTCTACGATTAGGATAGGCTTGTGTATATGGACGACCAGCTTCCAAGGAATTTCCGTTTGCGCGCCCGTACATAAAAGACATATGTATCTGCCATTTCAGCATTAGTGTAATTTACCATTATTGAATGAAAACTCTTATTATTGAACAATTAAACAAGTGGAAAGTATTTTTTTAAATTAAATTGGTAGAATTTTGTATTCAAACTAACTGAAAACATATATTTTTTGTCATTGAATAAGTTTTTCCTTAAATTTAGTTAAGAAGAATGAAAGGGGTGGCCTTATTGAACCCTCACTCGTTTTAAAACAATTCAACATATGCAGAAACTGTATTTTCATTATAATAATACTATCATAATACTTCGTTTTTTAAAATAAAAACTACTCGAAATATATTTTTACCACACACCAAGCTGCTTAACCACTTTACAATATTGCTACCTTCTATATTAGAAGTTGAATTCACCCTTTTATTTTTTATTAATTTATATTTCAAAAATTTATACGCCAGTATATTCAGGTTTTCCAGCAATACATTTTGATCATGAATGATTCTTCTAAAAAACTTTACATCATCAGCAAACAAAAATTTAGTGTCTCTAAGACAGTCAGCCATATAAAGCAGTAATGTCAACAGAACCACAATCTAAATAATATATGAGAAATATCATTTAAGGTTTTATGTCAGGTCGTCAACAGTGATTGGGTACATTCTCGTCGGCATCCTTTCTTAATAAATCAAGCACCAGTTGTTTTAATAATTTGAAAAATATTTGCAGAATTTGTGACAATGAAGTATCAACCATTAGGTTGAAATAATAGCGTTCTAAATTAGAATATCTCATCATTATTAGCTTGTTTAGCTTCTATTGTTTGTTTATTTTGCATTTGTTATATCCAGGGATAAAACATAACAAACTTGCTATTTATCTAATTTACCTTACACACAATCTAAATGGAGTTACCAAACATATGCCAATGTTACTTATGAGAGAGTTCTCTGGTGTAGGGGACATCCTCTAGAGTTCAGTAAGTAGAATATTATAGCACAAAAATAATTCCTAAATTTTCAACCTAAAATGTCAAGTTTTACGAGTTTTGCACAAAAACAAAGTTCTGAGAAGTTTTAAACCTATTGAGGAAGGAGGAAAGCCTTCTAACCAAAATTATGCACCATGATAAAATTAAATTCGCCCAGAGTAGATACAATAGCAACAAAAAAAATCATTGACTTTGCCTAGTCATTCGGAACGTGAAAACTTTTTCAGGTTTTACAGATTTCAAAAAACCTTGTATAATTGTCAAACTAAACTTACGCATGCTTGATCGACTGGAACTACTGTAGCTCCTATCATCTCTGTCCCTTTCTCGGCTTCTGAACCGATCCCTTTCCCTGTCAATCCACTCTCTTGGTTTTTCCCATTGGGACACTTCTGTCTTGCAGTTGTAATAATACTTTTTACCAGATGAACTGACGTGCTCTGACCAATCACCAACTTTAGTAACCCTATCCCTGTCATCTCTCTAAAAAGGTATTCAAACAAAACTGTAACAGTTACGTTCAATTTTTGTAATAAGTCTAATATCTAATAAGTCAAAGATTTTTTAAACAAAAAAAACCACCTGCTCACTCACTTTATCTATACAATTATTATGAATGGGCTTCCTGTCCCTGGACATCTGAGCTGATTTTATTGGATGCAAGATGCTTTTTTCATCATTCCTATCATTATTGGTTCTGTGCTCAGACTCTCGGCTCCTTTTATCTTTAGGAGATCTATTACAATCTGAAGAAAAAACAAAATGAAATGCAGAAGGCTTTGAAGTATAAAGTATCACTTGCAATTATGCATAATTGCCTCAAAGGCTTATGATTAGTATTAGTTATTATATTTTGCCCAGGCAGAGAGTTTTTTTGAAGTTATATAGTAAGCAATTTAACAGACATTAAAACCTTTAAATACTTTCTAAATATAACCAGAACACAGATTATAAGCTGTGTCTAAAAAATTTACATTGATAATCTCTGCTTAAAGACATATTACTAAAAAAAGAAACACAACCCAGAAACGAGGCAAAGTATAATATAAAACCTATTGATTTAAAACTGTACGGCTCAAACCGGCATTGTAGTTAAAAGGCGAAATTTTGGTTTTATCATTGCATTATAACCGAAACATGAACAACTCATTTATTAATTTATATGTTACGCTATTGCAATTACCCGAATATTTGTCCCTCGACACCTTATAGTCTCTATTTTCTCTCTCCTTTTCACGTATTTTCTGTAGATAGGAGCCCTTGGACTGGTATGATCGATCTCGATCCCTCGGCGACTGAGAATCAGGACTGTCTGATCGGTAATTTCCGTTTGGTGAATCGCGGAATTTGTCATACCTATCACTGCTTGGTCCATAACCCTTTGAGCCATATTTTGAATTCTATAATAGAAGAAAATAAAAATAAAATTCATGTCATTCCAATAATTTGCAACATTCAGTTGTAATTACTATTGCAAGGTAAATGAACCTCCAAATATTGCAATAGGTTTTTATGAAAAATAAAATTATTTTAAAGAATTAAACTAAATTAAACAATATTTATTGCAAAAATTATGTCTAAACGATAATATTTATCTGTCAATCTTAATGGAGTAAAAAATTAGGTTATATGCCTTGAATAGTCAGCCATGTTTATTTTGATGTAAAGAATTACTTCCACGGTTTTAATACAAAAAATAATTCGGATTTTTCAAAACAAAATTAGTCCCCACCTTTTATACTTAATCATTATAATAAAAAAAATAAAAAAAACAAATAAGATATGCTAATGTACATATTTTTTATTGTTAACTATTCTATTAAACCAAACGTTCTATTTGCCCAACGAACCTGATAAATTTGAAAAAATGTAAATACAAAAACCTAATTATAGAAAAATGTGTTTCCCAACAACTGTGTACCATTACCATCAACAGTTTTCTTTTTGCTCGTTTGTTTACCTGATATGGATGGGTTTGGTGCTTCTCGAAGTACCTATTTAAGAGAAATGAAACAAATTAGACAACCTTAACGAATCGAAAAGGCGAACTTTTTTATCTTAAAAGATTTCGCTAGGAAAACCCTGGAGAATGCATACCCATCGCTCATCCGTTGCGTTTTCCTTGCATGCATTACCATCAATGCAAGTGTCTAGAGAAAATCGGCGGCTTTTACAATAAGCCCTAACGCAAAATGATGTCATAAAATCAACAATGGCTTTTATACCCGCTTAAGAACTGACTTTCCTATCAGACGCCATGTCACATAAGGGAACAATTTTCAGCTGAAGGTAAATGCTCCTAATTTCTTCCTTCGCCTCATTGGTTGACGTAAGAATGTAAGTGTTACCAACAGCAAATTTGACAAACCCTGACTTAATGAAGCAGAGTGGGACTTACTTAATTCTTTCCAGCAGCAGCGAAAAGGAAAATCTCGAAAGATTGAAACGATATTCTCTCAATAAAAATTAAAACACGTACTGAATATTGCACTGAATCAGAAAGAGATAAAGGTCTAGGACACAAAATGGCGCTTATTACAGAATAACATGCAACAACTAAACAATCTAAAGGGCATTCCCAAAGCCGGTTCTGTCAACAAGGCAGTTATTTTAGTTACCAAGAATTTTCATAATCTGTTTAAAACATAAAACCAAGACGTTTTGGCAAATGAATTAAGCCATATTGTCGATTATGCAAAAAATATAACGTATAAGTAAAGTTTTAAAGGTTTATGGTGAAATTTTGCGCGATAGGTTGGCAATTCGCAGGTCATTAAAATCTCCCACCTTTCATAATCCACAATGGGACGTTATACAAGACACAAGATGATAGAAGGAATGTCATAGACATATAATGCAAATTATAAGGTAGCATAAAAGCATTTCGATCTAGGTATAATTATGGAAGTAGGTTGAAAAAAGTGCAGTTTTAGTTTAAGACAATAAATGTCGTCAGTGCAAAAGAGGCATTAGTGATAGTGATATCGTGATTTAACAAACGAGACACTTGGAAGTGGAAAAAAATAGGTGTTGTGTACCAAAACTTCAACAAGTTATTGCGGGTATTATGTGTCACAGAAGATATCTCTTTACGTTAGAAAGGACGTAAACTTGAAAGTTTTTAAATTGTATCGTGTCCACAAAGTTTTTAGTATCATGTAGAAAGTATTGGAACGAAATATCTGACCTTTTTTATTGTTTACTAGTTTGGAGCGTATGGTATTCCCGGACTTTTATACGATGTCGGTAGAAGCCGATACTCGATCGCTTAAAATTGTGAAGAGAATTTATGAACCTTCCAAATCAAGTAAGTATTAATTATCTCATTTGCCAGTTAACAGTGAACTCTTTGAGAGAGAGAGAGTGGTATTATCGCCACTTAACTTACAATTCAAAAAACATATTTGCTCAAGTGTCAGCATTTTAGAAATATATTTGTCCTGTAATAGGTGTATAAGGCAAAGTGGGCATGACTAATAATGTTAACACCATCTGGACTGTTGACACTTATGTCTGTTAATAAGTTGGGACTTAATTTAGAGTACAATTAATTTTTGTTGGTTTTAGATTTGAGATGGTTACACCGTTTTAGAATGTCTTTGTAAATAAATATTTGTGGTTTAGGTGTTAGGAACTTGGTCAGTCAAACCCATTATTACTGATTTTTTATATAGGCCAGAGACCATAGGAGTCAATGCTTCTAATTTAGTCAATAAATTTATATATGGTCCGCAAACATTTTTAATTGACAATTTGTTATCAGTTTGAATATATGGATTTGTATTTTTATATGTAAGAGTAATACAATACAACAAAGAATAACTAATTTTATCATATAAAGTTATTTGTATTTAATTCTCAAAGCATGCCTGCTGTGCCTTTAATTTAATTGCACATTTAAAATTTTTGGCTTTTTTTGTGTTAAAAAAGTTGTCAAAATTGCTTTTTAGAACTTAAATGCCTGTAAGTGAGCAAATTTTATATATATTATATGAAATTTTCCTTAATAAGGCATTCTTCTTTCGATGTATATGATAACATTTTCCATCGCTTCTCTATTCGTTGCGGTCTGTATTAAATATTATAAATCTTGTAGTCCTGTCCACTGCCTGACATTTTCTTCCTTCTGATTCCTCTCTTTCCTTCAATTTAACGCATTAATAAACTATAATTTCATAATGTGAGAAACAAGTAAGTAAACAACCCAAATCCCGTTTCAACTTAAATATTAATCTTTATTGTTTGCTGGACTTTTAACAGTCATTTTGAATATATTTTCTATGGACTTACGTGCAATAACAATCTACAACTAACATCATCGGTAGTAGAAAGATGATTGTCATTATTTATACAGAAAATACATTTTGCTTCAAATTGATAACTTTTTTTATAGGGACAATCCGCAGCCCTCAAGTTAGAAGAAAGTTGATACGATATCACTTGGGCAATTTAACATGGAAAATTTCGCAAGATATCGCTTTGAGCATCAAAAGGTAAGTTTTCTGTATTTTGCATTTTATTTATGTATACTTAAATTTTGCTTTTTCAATCAAGCAGTTCCCCCCCCCCCCCCCCGCCGGATAATATTTCTGTTTTTAAAAATTTTATTCAATCAAAGAATAGGATTTATGTTAATTTTTCAAAAAAAAACCCACAGGCTACTTAATACTATTTATAAATCTTCTGGAGTGGTTGATGATGAATGAAACTTGCTGACGTTTGGTTTCGCGAAAGATTTGTAAATAGGATTTATGTTTCAACATTTTCTATTGTTCTATGTTTTATTTGTTTAAATATTTCTAACATGGAAAAAGAAGGATAGAAGAAGAAGTAGAAGAAAAAAAAGAAGAATTGAAGTTGGAAACATGAAGAAGCGCACCAGGAGGTAGAATTGGATCAACGTGAATTCATTTTTTTATTGTCGCGATAACTGTTAGCAATAGATGACTTTTTATTCGTTTGATTGAAATTATTCGCCATCTGAAGAGAGAGAAGAGCGCAACGACCAAGTAGATCAAGATGCATTGCCATAAATTTTTTTTATGTTCTCTCATGTGTGCTTCCGTCTAATTCTAATAAAAATTTTAGATACATAAACGAAACTCACAAGTATGTCAGGCAGACCCCAAAATTTGTAAACCAGATACGATCCGAAATAGTTTACCTCCATAATTACAACTGTCGTGTAGCCAGGGTGAGTATGACCTATTTTTAAATTTGAATAAATGATGAAATTGTAAAAAATCTTATTACCAAATTTATTTCAACAATTTTATCGCTGTCAAATGTCCCGTCAGCCGACTGTTTCATTTTTCAATAATTTTATTTAAAGTAAATGATAAAATATACCGAGTCTGGGCTACTCGTGGTGTAAGTGAGGCGATTGTGATTGCTAATCTTGGCACCAGATTTCCTTTTCTTATATAATAGCAATAAACAGTGTATACCATCTTAAATCTTTAACCTAACCTAAAATATAAATCAAATAACTTAGAACACAACAAAAAGTGTACACTTTACTGCTTGTTAATGGGTAATTATCTCCAAGTTACCCAATAAAACACTAATTTGTTATTTGGTTTGATTGTTTATTAGTTTTTTATTTTTATTTCTATTTTACTAATAATACTATTTATCTACATTTACTTCCGAAAATATACGAACATCCCCTATGACGTTCCTTTCAGAACCAGAGTAACGAGCAAAAAAGAAAAAAAAATGAACATGCTCGTATTTAGTTTTGGTTAGTTTGTGTGTTTTAAGAATTTAACATTATTATAAATAGTTTTTATATATAACATTACAAGTCGTCTTTTTCTGTTGGAAAATTTGCAGCCTTGAATATTCCTTCGATATGTTTAAACAACTTATAGTTGTGGCATGAACCATTGGATTTACCATTTTGCTTGAAGTTTTCAACAGATAGTGTTAGGTATAATTCTCCCAATCAATAATAACTGCTTTAACACCAATCGTGACTATTTTCTCAAAAGAAAAACCAGGTACATGTATACAATTTTGTATTTATACTTATAGTAAAGTACAAAAATAATCTATTTCATTTAAGAATTACTTGTGCCTCTTCGGCATTGAAATTGGTTGACCAATTTTAAAATTATTTTAAAATGTTGCCTGCTTTTCGTCTCTGGTATAGATTTAATCAATAACTAACCCATAGAATTGTGAAATTGGTCTATTGTTTTAGAATAGCAGCGTGTACCCTCTTGGAAAAACTATGAGAAAGCTGCTCATTTGTTACGTGGAGTTAGAAATGGCTGTTCTAAGTAAACCCGAATTTAATCGGGATTCCTATATCACAATTGCTCAAGACAGAGTCGTTAGGTTATTGTGTTTGATATATGCCGAGTATAGCAAATTTAGTCCAAAAACTCCGGGGCAAAACAATTCAAATGACGTTTGGAAGCTCGTGTGCCTGTTGCTGGAAGATGTAGATCTCGATACACATAACGCCGTCGATGGGATTAGAAGGTAGGTATACAAAATATTTACCCGCATGTCAAAATTTCCAATCCTAAACTCCCCAAAATATCAAGCTTCAGTAAAATGTCACTTAAATAAAATGTTAAAGTTCACTTCTAGAAAATGTCATTTGCCATTTGTCAATGTCAGTGTTGGAATACTGCAGACTTTTGAATATGTCAGCTTGCTTTATTCTCCTTGACCTTTTAGTAGTTTCAAGGAACATGGTATGCTCCTGCAGCTAAAGGTGGGTATGTCAGGTCCTTTGCTGTTCCAATGGAATACTGGATGTTTCTCATGGGATTGAAGAACGTTTCAATGTCTTGTTTCTTTAAAGAACTACCAATCCTGTCTATGATTTTCGGAATATATATCACTCAATCATATCTATTCTGTTTTTAGTTAGCAATCATTCAAAAGAAAAAAAAAATCATTCAAAGATTCTTGCCAAGTAACAATGGTGGCTAATAATCTATATTCTGTTTCTCCAAATTTAACAATCTCAAATATCAGTTAATGTGTTAATTTATCAATTGCCCCGATTTTCGTTACTTTTTGAAAATTTTCTTCAGTAATTCTGTGGATTTTGTGTTAAACTAACTTTGCAACAAATGGGAGTGTTAACTTTCTAGCTTCTTCAGAAAATGTAGAAAATCGGCAAACAGATCTGTTTTGAGGTTATTTCCTTTCAGCGAACAGTCTTTTGGGAAAGAGGAAAGAACAAGGAATGTAAAAGTTCAGTTTTTTCAGTTAAAAGTCAGTAATTGTATGTGGGTTCAGCTCTTGGGCAGATTAAGTGTGCAGCTCGTCGTGACGGAATTTCATTCTTCTTTCGTTCTACAATAACAAATTGCCAAAGTCATTTGCGGTGTTGTTTGGTAACTATTATTGTTGAAAAACAATACGATTTTACATACCAATATTGCCATCTTTTAAAGAGTTAACAATATTGTTATTTAACCATGATCACAACAGTGTATAAAAAGATTGAAGTAATAATTTTGAACACTAATAATATCAAATATGTTATTGCACCCCGTATATGTCCAAATGAAATTCTGAATAAAAGTTTCAATCAGTCTACAATTCACAAGGAAAGATCATCAAAATCAAACGAAGTAAAAATGGGACCATTTTTGAGCCGCCCGTTTTTCATGGAGGTGAGTGTATTAAAATACATAATCTGTGTATGTTATGGAAATGAATCGAGTACACCTTTTTTACTTAGAAATCATCACACTGTCGTAATCTTTAAAAGACAATAACGGAATGGTAATAGCCAGCAATAATCTGCTATCAATGCAACGTTTTACCGACCTTGATATCTGCGTTCCATTCTTTTTACATTTCGGCGGAAACTCTCACCTTCTTCCTTACTCGCGGCACCAAGATTTTCTTGAAAGTAGTCCAGATATGAGTGTCAGTGTAGTTTTCTACTCATATTGCATACCAATTTCCCCAAATTTGTGTAACATGTTCTCTACAATGTCTTTGTAATTTGGATATTCGTTGTTTCTTAGAAAGCTTTGTATAACATTAGTAAATGAAAACCTTTTCAGATTTGATCATGGTATTCACAAGAAAATTCTCCACATAGGTATTTAACACATGCTCCATCTTTATTTAAAGCTTTAACATACTGCTTCATGGGTTCTAATTTAATATGGTGGTAAATGAATTTTTCGTGGATCAATCATCAATCAATCAATCGTGAGCAATATTTTTTAATTCTGGAGTTAAATCAACCCTTTTTGGTCAGTTGTTTTTCTCCCGATGTTGTTATCTGTTTCTACTGTCTCACTTGTACAAATCCTGACTGCTGACCTAGTAAAAGTCCCACAATTTTTAAGCCACCACAAATCATCCTCCTCGTATTTGATTCTCTCAATCAGTAGTTCCAGCATTCTTTCATTCGCACTTAACGAACGACAAGAACAAAAGCAAGAACATTTACGTTGTGCTGGGCTTTTCTTGGATGAGTCAATAAAATGCTTCCAGTCCCTAGAATTGTAGTCTCTACCAAGTTTTTTTATTAGATTAGGAATATCGGTCCAATAAACAAGTGAACCACTTTGTTCAAAATAGCCTATAAATTCTGTGTCGCGCTTCCTGAAATATGAGATTTTAAAGTCTTCTGCCAGTAAATTTTTATTTCGAATTTCGGAAAGAACCTTACGTAAACCTAAGTCTCCCACGAACTTCTGATTTTGAAAATAAATGGTTGCTGAGAAATACCCAACACAAAATCTCTGTTCGCTTGTGTTTTAGGGTGTAACTAGCGCCCGCTACATATTATGTGAAAAAATAGTATAGTATTCTCCGTCTGAAAAAATCCCGCGATTTCAAGTTTACTTGACAATTTTCCAAAAAGAGCTTAAGCCAGAAAGCAATAACAATTTGGAGAGTTAGACTTTGATACCCTGTGATTGTTTTAATCTAGAATTGAAGAGTGACCGGAATCAAAGTGGTAAATGCAAAAAAGTAATCTTTGAGATATTCACGAAAAATGTAATAAAACGAACAATATTCGTTTTAATAGTTTATTAACAAAAAACAAATTCAAAGCAAATTGAAAACTAATACTAACGTAAACTGATGTGGCTAATAAAATAAAACTGAAAATATAAATAATAAAATGAAAGAATAAAGAAATTATTGTTTTAAGAAAATGGAGTTAAAAATTATTGCTTACGTATTTTAGAGCTTGTAGCAACAATTAGGCCAACCATAAACAGGAAACAAAATGTACCATAAATGTTAAAAATACAAATATTTTTTAAGAAAAAATAAGCCTCTTTCTAATCTATGCTTGTAGCGGATTATGAAAGTCTTCACAGTTTTACCCTTCACGTTTGGGGGATTATCTTTGTCGATCTGTATTATGACTGCTGCTGATTTGAAACTTTGAAGTGTTAAGAACTAAGTCCACTTATATCTCAAATTTCAAAATTGGCCATATCCGACCCCTTCAAATAGTGGGTTGTACTTTGCTGATTGAATGAAGTTGCTATACAGAATTTCATGACTCTTGCGTTTTTCTGTCAACGCAAAATCTCTGTCATAGGGCATAAAAAGATACCCGCTAATAAAAAACGAACTGTAATCGGAAAGGTCTTGAGCTACCAAGAATATCAGAACGAACAAAATATATTTGCTTTTATTTTAACCAGCAGAGGATCTTTTATTGATAAATCCACTATTTAAACAGCGAAATCGTGTCAGCTATATTATACAGGAAAACTGCGATAAGTAAAATATGTCAGAATGCACCTGCATTACTTGTTCAAGGTTAATGGATAACCATCATTTGATGAAGCCCCACTTCCCTACTCATAGCATGATGTTTCGCCTGCTTTCTTTTTATCAATAAGTATATCCAACTATTTCCTTGTCACTGTAAAAATAGTCATAAAAGTTGCCTTACAGACTTGAACAAATTTTGCACTTTCTAATGAAATGGTGTAGCTAACTGATCATAAGCGCCACAGCCGTTCTTTCTGCGCTTATTTTTGTCAGATTCGCTCATATTCTACAATAATTTTTCAAATTAATTGTTTGATCACAAATTACACGGCACATACTGCCTTTTGTCAGAGTACAAAACATATCGTTGAAAACTTATCTCTGGGAATAACTCGATTTCAGAAATTATGGTACTCACCAACTTTGTTAATTTCATTCTTTAGTTGCTTCATTTTCATTATTATTATTAGTTAACATTGATATAAAGTTTATCATTTCAGAATGGTCTTCAGGCGGATTGATATTTCAAAGGAAAGGACGTTGTCGGCGGGTCAAGTGATATTAAATCACATGAAACTTCCCAGGCAGTATATTCTCGATTTCGAAAAAATGGAGGAAGACGACAATGAAAGCGACGATGACGAAACTTTTCCGTTCGACTTGCAAAAATTGGGAGTAACCCAAACAGAACGTTTAAAACAAAAAAGGGAGACGTTTCAAATACCGAAACCGACGCCAGTGTCACTCGAAATTGGCGAGGGGATCAAAATAGAATTGACTTTGGGGCCACAACAATCATCGAGAATGGAAGACTCGACCGAGCTGGTTCCTACCATTGATCTCACAGGTGGTAGTGCCATCGAGATATTTTTACCGGAGAAAAGAGTACAGGACAGTGCGCGAAGAAGGGCACAGTTAGAAAGGATGGCGATGATTGAAGAGGAAAAGCGTGTTGCGCGTGACAAAATTATCGCCGAGTCGTGGTTGAAACATAGGCCCAAGGACATAAACTTCCAAGAAAATAACTTTAAACCATTATTGGCTAATACCATTATAGACTTACTAGATAGTGATGATGACGACACCCCTCCCCCTTGTAACGCAATATGTGCTTCCTCGACAACCATTAAAAACGAAGATGTCAGTTTACCTGCTGTTCTCGAAACTGAAACCACTCACCAAACATTCTCTGTGAATAATACTTCCAAGGGGGTCTTTACCATCCGAAATGAGTCTGGCAGTCAAAATGCTGACGTCATTATATCTGAAAAATCTGAAAGAAAAAAAGAGGAAATAATTCAAGAAAAGAAAAGCGAAGAAAATGAAACCACTGTGGAAAATGCAGCTGATACGAATTTGGGTAATCATGGTGCTCAGTCTATTGAAAAAGGAATCAGCGAATTCTCCTCACATAATAATGAGAAAAAGTTTATTGCAATAGACATTCAACGAGAAAGTGAAGATAAGGAAACTGCCACGGAAAACGGGGCCTATCCGAATTTGGATAATGGCGGTCCTCAAACTAAAGTAATTGAAGTTGCGTCCTCTGAAAAACCATACATTTTTCAAGAAGTGAATGTTACTCTAAAGGAAATTCAAGGGAAAAGGGAAGAGAAAGAAACCGCCATGGGAAATGCAGCTGACCCGAATTTGAATAATGATGATACCGTGACTCGAGACATTAAATTGGAATTCCCTTCAAATAGTCACAAGAAAAGAGTCACTGAAAAAGACATTCAAAGAAAAAGTGAAGGGATATTAACCTTGGAAAATGAAGCTGATACGAAGTTGGAAGATTTTCAGAATATTGCAATTGAAGGAGTGTCCTCTGATAAAAAACTAGAAATAATTGATGTATGCAGTGTGACTCAGAACACTAAATTGGAATTCCCGTCAAATAATAACAAAAAAAAACTTGCTGACAAAGACATTCAAGGAAAAATTGAAGATAAAGAATCAACCATAAAAAATGAAGCTGATACGAATTTAGTTGATTTTCAATACATTGAAATTGAAGGCGTGTCTTCTGATGAAAAACTAAAGATAATTGAAGGAGAGAGTGTGAGTCAAAACATTGAATTTGTTACTCTAAAAGACATTGAAGGGAAAAGCGAAAAAAATGAGACCGCCATGGGAAATGCAACTGATCCAAATTTGGATAATGATCGTTCTCAAAATATTAAAATTGAGGGAGCGTCCTCTGGTGAAAAATTGGGAATAATTGAAGGTATGACTAAAAATATTGAATTGGAATTCCTTACAAATAATAACCAGAACAAAGTTGTTGAAAAAGATATTGAAAGAAAAAGTGAAGAAAAGGCATCTACCATGGAAAATGTACCTTGTCCAAATTTGTATAATGATGGTTCTCAAAATATTGAAATTGAAAGAGTATCCTTTAATGAAAAACTAGAAATAATTGACGAAATCAGTGTCACTCAAAATATTCAGTCGGAGAATAACAAGAAAAATGTTACTGGGGAAGATCTTCAAAGAAATGCTGAAGAAAATGAATCTACCATGACAAATGCAACTGATCGGAATGCGGACGATGATGTTTCTCAAAATATCGAAATAGCAAAACTGTCCTTTGATAAAGAATTTGAAGTATGTGTGACTCAAAATATTGAAATCACGTTACCTTCAAATAAAAACAATAAAGATGTCACACTAATGGGCATTCGAGGAGAAAGCAAAATTACTTTTGAAAATGAAACTGATTTGAATATGTGTAATGAAGCATCTCAAATCAATGAAACTGTATCTCTAACCTCTGCCGATGTTGGACCATCCAAATTAGATGTAGGAGGTGATGTTTATCCGGAAAATTTCAGACACAGATATCAGCTTGGCGAAGAACAAAACAAAAAGGTCAATATTGTTAAAAAAAATATTTACAGCATGGAGCACATCTTAAAAACTTCGAATGTTTCGGAAAATGTCAGCATTCCCCACGAAATAGCAAGCTGTCTTTCCAATATACAAGACGGGGATGTTGCTATTGATCTTTCTACAGATAGTCGTAAAAATGTCGAAGAGCTGTTGGTTTCTACCAAAATCGAAACAAATCAGCACGCTATAGGAAAAGGAATCGGAAACGAATCTGAACTTTTGAACGTTAGCAAATGTTCGGTTGATAATAAAGGTGTTGATAGTAGTTGTCATGTTGAAGCAAAATTGGATGGGGATGATGGAATAATTTATGAGTTATGTTATAAAAATGCCAATTCTTCAGCTATAACTGAAAGTGAATCATGTTTAGATCTTGTTGGTGACAGGTTAATTAGACCTATATATTCAAGTTGCTTTCCCGTCTCACCTAGCGAGGATTTTCCAAAGGATGAGACTGAAAATACAGCCAAAAACGAAACTACCAATCATGGTCTAAATGGTGGTTTTGATACTCAACTGTTCAATAACGTCAAGGTCACCAGTGAGGATCTACTCTTGAGATTATCCCAAAAAAATGAAGTTATCAATAATGAAATTCCAGATTGTAAGAATGATGATGGAATTTGTAATGAAGATAATGATTACTTTATATTTGGTACAAGATCAGATATCGATCGCAGAACATTGAGTATTAATATTTGTAGCGATTTAGAACACTGTGAAACTAATCAAGAACGGATGCCAGAGAAAAGTGGAACTACCAAGAACAAGTGCAAACAATCACCAGATCTTATAGGACCACAAACTGAAATCACGCTAAAGGATAATCTTGAGAATGTTAAAAGCAAAGTTGTTGGCCAGGAAGTTAGTGACCTTTCAGAATTTAAACAATCCTCAAGATATATTGCAACAACAGCCGGTGTCCTTAATACTTCGATCGAAACAATTGAAAATCCATGCATCAACAAGGAGATTAATCCTGAAGAGAATGATAGCCAAGGAGAATCATTGATTGATCCAAAATTATCTATTAGTACTCCCGAAATTGCAGTAGAGGTTGAAACTTTATGCAGTAATGATAGCAATGAACTAGTAGATGCAACCGGTGAGGCTATAGAAGTTAATGATGATAATGATACCTCAATAAAAAGCATTCATGCACAGGAAACTGACTGTCCACAGTCATCAGAACTCTTTAATAATGCTGGAAGGGTACTAAATGAAACTGTAGAGAAGAGTGTTGGTGAGGAAATGAATTCTGATTGTAATGACACGTGTAAACAACTAGTCGCAACATATACTGAAGAAGTGCCGAATGAAGACACAAATTATCCTACTGGTGATTCCCATGAAGAACCATTATCATTAGACATAACAGAGTTCGAACTTTACGATAACGAAAATATTGTAACAAGCAATGCAAAAATTGTTGTAAATGAAGTTATATTTGATGATAACGATGCCAATGATAGCATTTTCATTCCCCTTCCTGGTGTCAATTCCGAAAATGAAATGGAGAAACATGACTCGGGTAATATTACGTTGTTAGCAACAGCAGCGTCGTTACAGGAAAAAATACCAATCAAATATAGATCCGCTATGAAGACAATAAAAAATGATGTATATAAACAGATACAGTGCAACGGCGGCATTGAGGATGATCGCGATAATAACGACAGCGATAATCTCCACATTGATGAAGAACTAGAGAGCAAGGTGACCACGAGTTGTTTTGACTCATACACGTTTTTCGGCGATCAGTTAGTAGGTGAGTCTAAGAAACAGAGTTCTCCTAAAAAAACTTTCAATACTCGACACAAACGTCGACAATTGAAGACTTCACCTAAGGAGAGACAAAAAGAAAAGTCAGTCAGTCCGGTTAAAATTGTATCGAGAAAGGAGGGCTCTACCGAAAGCCAATTAAGTTGTAGTCCCAGATTGCTTGTAACAAAGGCATCCGTGAAATCATTTAAATATACTTGTAATACGACTGTTCAAAGTAGTGACACAGACGATGATGATACTCCACTATCGAAAAGAATCGAAAAAAAAACGAATTGTTCTGTCGGCAATGGATTAGGCAAAAGCAATGAGAAAAGTAAAACACCTGCCAGACCGCGAGGCAGACCCAGAAAGGTGCCTTTGGAAAAAAATTGCAAACCAGTAGCAGAAAGAACCGAATGTTCTCCGAGATTGAGAAAGAAGTCATATGACGGCCATGCAGATGTAGACACGATCGGAAAGTGTCCACAACAGAATAACCAAATCATGATATCCCCTACAATTACCGATATGGCGAGTCAGTTTAGTCCTCGGGGTAAAAAACTAAGCAAAGAGGGGCCACTGAAACTTAATCCTGAAACGAACGAAGGCGTACAAGTATCGTCAAAAACTAAAACAAAAGTGGAGTTGACGACGTTCAACCCTTCTCTTACTCCCAAGGAAAAATATAAACTCGCGCTGCGAGCTCAACTGAATCAACTGAGCGAAACCTCGGAGGCGAAACCTGTGGTGCCACCGGCCAAACTTCGTAGGAAGTCAGAAAATATAAACTTTAAGCAAGGTGCTATTGTCCAGAAAGAGGCGACGGACTTACCAACTGTAAATGTACACATCGATTTGCTCTCTAACTGTAAAAACACTTTAAAGGCGACAGCTGATAAGTTGAAAAGAAAACTTGCAGGCGAAGATAATTTTTTCGCAGAAAGTGTGCCTAAGAGGGAGAAAGCAAAGGCCGTAATGCTAAACTCTGATGAGAATTTATCAAATGATATGGTGTTACGTGACATCAGGGAGGAAGTGTCAAAGGTTGTGAGCAAATTGGAAAATACGTCTTTATTTAATGATACTTCTAATTCCATCGAGTCAAACAATCAAGTATTAGGCCAGCATGATGTTCAGGTAAACGGAACTATCAATCGTAATGGGGAACGAGAAAATGAAAATACAAGTCCATTTTATTCAATGGACAAAAGGCAATCAGCATCATGCAACCGACGAAATTCTGCATTTGGTGATGTCAAACTCATTGATACTGACAAAGCAACAAAGCCTGTTGACAGTACCGTCGGTGATCTTTCAATAAACGTGATAAGTATTAAGTCTGCGCTTTCATCTATGAAAAGTAATTCGGAAGCCGCTGACCGTGCAAATCCAAAAAAAATGCAACTTGAACCATCAGAAAACAAAGGGACTAAAGAATCCAAAACTAAAAACTTCGACACTATAAAAAAGAACCAAAAACACAAACGATCACGTTCTAATGCAGAGTATAAGAAATCCGAAGATTCGAGTAAGAGTCGTCCAGATGATAAACACATATTAGATGTTAATGAAACATCATCGGATTGTAGAAGGAAAAAAAAGTCTAATAAACTGTCAAATTCATATGAAAAGAGCAAAAAAGAGGAGACGCTCAAAACTGAGAAAAAGCAAAGCAAAGCAGGTCTGTCTCACGTAATGAATGAAAAGCAAAAATGCCGAAGTAAAGGTGATAACACAGACAGGTACAGCAAAAAAGTAGAGGAGAAGCGCGAGTCAAAGGAACGAGTGAAACGTGGTAAAGAAGAAAAGGTAAATAAAAACAAAATTAAAACACTTAATAATACAAGAGAGGATAGTAATAAAAATACGAACCAGAACGGCAAATATGTGAAAGAAAATCCAATTTCTCATCACTTGATAAGTTGGATCGATGATAAATTGGAATCTTCCCATTTCAGTCAGTTAGGCAAAAATAACTACAAATTTGGTTGCGCTTCTAGGGAGCACCAAATTATAACTGAAAAAGGTGTCGATCTACTACAGTCAGGTTTTAAAGAATCCGTGAAACATGATGACAAACCTATAAACACAATTTCCATAAAGGAATCGAATCCAAAAACTGCGAAGACTAGTCCTGTCGCAGATGTCACATATTTCGATGAAGCAAAAGCAAATTGTTGTAAAAAGAAGACCTCAAAAGTTGTGATCGGAAATTTTGATAATAACATAACTCCTATGGGCAACGCCATGGGTATGGATGAAAAGGAGTCAAGTGCGCGTGTTTCTACAGAGAACTCAAACGAAGATGTGAAAACAGATCTCTACAAATTGAATGTGACGAAATTTGATGTAACTGATACAGAAGGATCAGCACTGCATTATAGCGGGAACATTTCAAAGGGTGTGAATGGAAGTTTAACTGATAACGTCACTGATACGACCGCACTTGGTATGAACCCTAAAACGGTACGGCAAACAGAAAATATTCCAAACCAATACATCAATAGTGTTTCTGCAGAAAACTCTAGTGAAGATGCAAAAACCAATCTCTGCAAATTTATCGTAACGAAATCGGATGAAACGGACCCAAAAGAATCATCATTGCATTATGGGAAGGACATGCTAAAGGGTATTATTGGAAGTTTGCCTATTAACGCCACTGATATGACCGCGCCAGATACGGACAACAATGCAACACAGCAAACAAACGATATTCCAAACCATAATGTGAATAGGCTTGTTTCTACAGAAAACTCTAGGGAAAATGTAAAAACAGATCTTTGCAAATTCGGTGTAACGAAATCTGATGCAACTGGCCCAGAAGTATCATCAGACGTTGTTGGATGCTTGGCTATTAATGTCACTGATATGACCGCACTTAGTGCGGACCACAGACTAACACAGCAAACAAAAAATATTCTAAACGAAAATAACAGTATACATATCTCTAGAGAAAACTCAACCAAACATATAAAAACAGATCTTTGCAAATTCATTGTGAACAAATCTGATGTAACTGACCCAGAAGAATCAGCAGGCGTGGTTGGAAGTTTGGCTATTAACTTCACTGATATGACCGCACTTGGTGCGGACACCGGACTAACACAGCAAACAAAACATATTCTAAACGAAAATAATGGTATACATGTCTCTGGAGAAAACTCAAGGGACCATATAAAAACAGATCTTTGCAAATTCATTGTGAACAAATCTGATGTAACTGACCCAGAAGAATCAGCAGGCATGGTTGGAAGTTTGGCTATTAACGACACTGATATGACCGCACTTGGTGCGGACAACAGACTAACACAACAAACAACAAATATTCTAAACGAAAATAATGGTATACATGTCTCTAGAGAAAACTCAGGCAAATATATAAAACCAGATCTTTGCAAATTCATTGTGACCAAATCTGATGTAACTGACCCAGAAGAATCAGCAGGCGTGGTTGGAAGTTTGGCTATTAACGTCACTGATATGACCGCACTTGGTGCGGACAACAGACTAACACAACAAACAACAAATATTCTAAACGAAAATAATGGTATACATGTCTCTAGAGAAAACTCAGGCAAACATATAAAAACAGATCTTTGCAAATTCTTTGTGACCAAATCTGATGTAACTGACCCAGAAGAATCAGCAGGCGTGGTTGGAAGTTTGGCTATTAACGTCACTGATATGACCCCACTTGATGCGGACAACAGACTAACACAGCAAACAAAAAATATTCCAAACGAAAATACCAATATACATGTCTCTAGAGAAAACTCAAGCGAACATATAAAAACAGATCTTTGCAAATTCATTGTGACCAAATCTGATGTAACTGACCCAGAAGAATCAGCAGGCGTGGTTGGAAGTTTGGCTATTAACGTCACTGATATGACCGCACTTGGTGCGGACAACAGACTAACACAACAAACAACAAATATTCTAAACGAAAATAATGGTATACATGTCTCTAGAGAAAACTCAGGCAAACATATAAAAACAGATCTTTGCAAATTCATTGTGACCAAATCTGATGTAACTGACCCAGAAGAATCAGCAGGCGTGGTTGGAAGTTTGGCTATTAACGTCACTGATATGACCGCACTTGGTGCGGACAACAGACTAACACAACAAACAACAAATATTCTAAACGAAAATAATGGTATACATGTCTCTAGAGAAAACTCAAGCGAGCATATAAAAACAGATCTTTGCAAATTCATTGTGACCAAATCTGATGTAACTGACCCAGAAGAATCAGCAGGCGTGGTTGGAAGTTTGGCTATTAACGTCACTGATATGACCCCACCTGATGCGGACAACAGACTAACACAGCAAACAAAAAATATTCCAAACGAAAATACCAATATACATGTCTCTAGAGAAAACTCAAGCGAACATATAAAAACAGATCTTTGCAAATTCATTGTGACCAAATCTGATGTAACTGACCCAGAAGAATCAGGAGGCGTGGTTGGAAGTTTGGCTATTAACGTCACTGATATGACCCCACCTGATGCGGACAACAGACTAACACAGCAAACAAAAAATATTCCAAACGAAAATACCAATATACATGTCTCTAGAGAAAACTCAAGCGAACATATAAAAACAGATCTTTGCAAATTCATTGTGACCAAATCTGATGTAACTGACCCAGAAGAATCAGGAGGCGTGGTTGGAAGTTTGGCTATTAACGTCAAAGATATGAACGCACTTAGTGCGGACAACAGACTAACACAGCAAACAGAAAATATTCCATGCGAAAGAACAGAAAACTTAAGCGAAAAAGTAAAAACAGATATCTGTGAACTACGTGTGTCTAAATTTGATTACATAGCTCAGGAAACTACACATTATTGGAAGGATGCGCCAAATAATTTGCTTATTGACGGCGATGATTTGAGCACAGATTATACGGAGAACATACATCTAAATAGCGCAAATAAGAATGAAATTATAAGCGAAAATGTGAAAAGGGATGAATGTATAACCAAATATGAGACAATTTATCAAAATACAGCAGCGACACATTCTGATAAGGACACCACAAAGAGTGTGATTAAAAATTTGGTTATAAATGTTACCAATGTGAACACAGAACATGCGATTCAATTAAATGTAGAAAATAAAGATTTGATCGAAAATACTCCTCCCCCAGCCAAGAAACAAAAATTAAATGCAAGTTACTGCAGTAGTTCGTACAGCCGCAGCCATGCAACAGATTTGGATGTAGCTGAAAGCAGCAAGGTAAAAATGGATCTCAAGTCAAATGTATCTGATGATACCGAGCAGTATGAATTCTCTAATCAAGTAATCTTCGACTTGATAAATGATTTGGTCGATAGAGTAGCTAGTTCAGTTAGCATTTTAAAGTCGGAATGTGTGCCGTCATTTGAGGACTATTTCAGCGCTGAAGTGAAAACGCCCAAGGAGACATCTATCGTCCAATTTTCAATTTCCACAAAAACAGATTCTGGATTAACATTACTGAAAGAGGAATTTAAAGGCGAACGGATAGAAAATTCTGCTATTTTCGCGCATACCCGGAAAGAAAGTATTTGTGGCGATGCATGTCAGTCAAATGTCCCACAAAATTCCGGTGAAGTTTACAATGTTACCGCTTCAAAGTTCGAAAATCATTATGAACCCATCAACGGGTTTAATACTCTGTCAGAAAATATTTTGGATAACATTATTTGCGCAGAAGGCTCGGAAAATGCTAGTACCAGCGAAATCAAAACTGAACCAAGCGATACTCCAACAGGAGGGGATCATACGTATACCAGAGATCCTTTGGTTAGAGGGAGGCATGAGGAAAAAGAGGTGCTTTCAACTTCACAATTTACCGACAGCAATGTTAGTTTGGAATATGCTTTAGATGAAATCTTGGACTTTATTCAAATAAATAATGACCCTGTGAACAGTATATTAGGAAGTCAGTTTAGTTTGACCTTAGAAGATGGAAACACTACCGTTCCAATTGATGCGTCAAATATAGAAATTTGCGATCAGCCAAGCGGCTCGAGCTGGGATTCTTGGCAGAATTCCGCAAAGGGTAATATAGGAGAGAACCCTTGCCCGGGTAACACTTCAAATCTCGAAAAAGAAAGTTCGGCGCCGGGTATAAACCAGAATATAGAAGCGACTTGGTCTTCGGAAAGTCCGAAAGTCGTAGTTGAACCGCAGCCCAACTTTAATGAGGTAATGGATTTCTCCTATCTGACATATCCTTCGACACCATCCATCGAGAAGCCTTTCGCGTACGATGATGTAGAAAATGAAGATATATCCAAATGTCCTGTCGAGTCGTCAATAGACCAACTCCTTAAGCTTTCCGATCATCTTGTCAATCAAATGAAGGACGATGAAGCGGCAACCGTGGACAAGAAAAAATCCAAAAAACCAGAGGAGGATAAGTCTCAAATTCCAAAGGACAAAAACAAAAAATCTAATTCAAGGCAACCTGTGAAAAGCGAAGTGCCGATTACGCCACAACGGAGATTAGGCCGACGTGAAAAGCCGCCACACGCTATTACTAGAAAAAAGGAGACCTCTTACTCTGCTAACGAAAATTCTAGAATAGTGGAAAACGAAAAAAACATTTCTGAGGAGCAGAAAAAAAATCATTGTCATCAAAAAGGAAACTTGCCAGATCTGGGAACTGATTCAAAATCCAATCTTAAATTCTCAGAATATTCAAAGGCAAAGAAAAAACCCGTTGCAGAAACTACAATTTGCCCCGAAAGAGGTTCTCGTACGGTAAGGTCTCCAATGTATGTGACAGATGTAAAAGAACCAGTAGAAAATGTTGATTCAGTATTTTCGGTGCAAGAGACGAGCCCTTTGTTATTAAATATTACCAAAAGGGACTCAAAAAGCTTAATTGATCTCGGTTTAAGCACCTGTCAAAGCTTTAAATCCAAATATTCGTGTAACGAGAAAAATAGGTTTGCTGATAACAGATCAACAAATCATATGCCAATGAAGAGGAATAGTGAAGAAAATATACAAGCAACAAGAATAAAAAGACAAAAGACTGTCGACATAAATTACAGAGATAGTCGGAGTCACAGAAGAGAATCAACGGCAAATGCGTCTGAAACAAGGTGGGTGGTTTAACATTCTTTGTCTTTGTAAGTGATGCGGTCAGAATATTTTGCTTTCAATTGACATGTGATTGTTGAATGTGGCTAGGTGTTATATGTTCCTATATTGTCGGCATAGTCAGGGCCTGTGGACAAGATGTTGAAAAATTCAGTATAGCGATGCACAAAATAGCCTGTATACGGCGAGTGGCAATAAGTGTTCCTGAAAAACGAAAAAAGTTACTTTTTCTTATCTTTGTTAATTTTGGGTTATATCTCTCTCCACTAAAATCCATAATGTGTATAATGTATAATAATTTAGTTTGTTAAGGGTATTGTCATTTTCTTACAGTCCCGATACATCATGGTACGAGAACGTTGAAAAGCAATGTGGTACCGAAATTTGGATCGCAACTACTCCCAAGTGCACTTCCCGGAAAATTAGAAGAAAAAGTAAGTATATTTCTTATAATACAGTTGATACAATATTTAATAAGAATAATAACAATAATATAACACTTTTTGGTAGCTTTATTGACAATGTTTTAATGGTGTTGTAGATCAGCATTAGTAGGACATGATTACTTCAGAAATGATATGATGATGTGCTCTGAAACTGCGACCCACACAACAAATTAATTACAGCACAATCAAATATCAGTTGGTTTATGAGTATTTAGGACATATTTCATCTTCCCCACCTATTGTCCACAGAGGTACTTTTTGGATTAAATAAATCTAGTCATTTTTATTTTACATCTACGAAGCAGTGAGGGTTATCTACATGATCAGGTATAACTTTATTTTGTTATGTACATTTTAATTAGGAAGTGTTGATGCTCTATGCTTAGATAATGGTATAATGTCTTGAGTGACTAGAACCTTAGGAATGAATCGTTTTAACCACATTTTTTTTTTTGAGTTATCTCTTTGTAAATAAATTGTACTTTGTATATTTTGTAATCTTGCGCATAGTTTAAAATTGTATTTAGTTTCATGAGTAAATGAATTTTATTTCATACTTATGTGTTTTAATCGACTGTTAATATTATTAAATAACACTGCAAATTTATTCAAATAAATTTGCAGCTTCAATTGCAAATTTATTCAAATAAAGTTGCAGCTTCAACTGCAAATTTATTTGAAACATTTGAAATCGTCAATTCCGCAGGTACATTTTTTTGATTTCGGGATCTACAGAAGAGAAAATGGAGTGAACACTTGTTTTTTGAGAAAATAGGGTTTAAATGAGGTGTGAGAGGTGTTGTTCCCCGCAGACAAATCTCAATAAAAAATGCAAAATTACCACATATACCAAATTTTATTATATTTAACGATACAAATTCTATAAACTAATTGGTACGGCATATGCCGACGGTAATGTGACCTTCAACCATCGTAGCTTGCATATCTATGGGTTCGTTATTCAAAGAGACATCTTTGATGCAACCCACGAATGGAGTTCGCGACACTATACCCCTGACCTTCTTGATAAGTCTGTGACCCCCCAGGAACAAGGCGCTTCCGGTGTCAGTCGACGTGGCAGTGTGGTGTCCTATTTTGGGATCCGTGAATATTCGATCTACGGAGATAGTCACGACGTTCCGCGACTTCACAACTGCAAATAAAACAGGGATACGTGCAGTATGGCAAAGACGCAATTTTTACGACTACACGCGTTAGATACAGCTGGATAAAGTAACGACGAGGAGGTCATTCTTCACTGGATTGAGTCAAAGAGGAGGGGATATATATCTCTGGGACTAATAGATAATCGCAGCGGTTTTGGAAAACTAACCTTAAACGTTCAGATTGTACTTTTATTGTATACATTAGGGTCAGATTTAGTAGAAAACAATGTCACCTACAGACGGCCGGACCGTTCATTTTTATCGCGTTTCGAAAGAAATCAAATGCTTTGGGTTAAGATAAAAAAGTACATAATGGAAGCCTCGGAAAAAGTTTTATTTGGGATTGATTTTCAATTTACTTGTTTGAAGGCGCAACGCGGTTTGAATTATGGGTCTCTGCAGTAGACCCAATAAATGTTATGTGCTTGCAAGGTTAGGAGATATGGAGGAGGTTCGACGAATACTGCTTTAATGAGCAGTGAGCAAGAATAGTGTAAGATTTATGTCCTAGTAGCGAAATAAGTTTAATTTTATAGGACCAATGCAATTTTGCAAAAAATGCCTAAATGACCTTTACTACTTCACACTCTATGGAGACAGACTATTTAGTTGCAACTTACCCTGTATTTCGTGCCAGTTTCCGTCACATAAGGAAAACGTATTGTTGCCGGGTGGCAAAAAGGAGGTGGTCAAAGGACCTTTTCCATTTTCTACAACCAGCCTGAGCGTACCGTTTACCATTTCTAGTACCAGGTAGTCTTTCTTGCCGTGTACGGCTACGAGAACTCCAGAGTTAACCCTCGGCTTGATGTCCATTTTGATGTTGAACATTTGACCGACCTTCAAACGGTCTTTCAGTTTCATGTATGTATTTAATCCTCCGCCGAAGAATGTGCCGACCTGAAAGAAAGAGATCGACTTTGCAATAGTACCCCAAAGCACAACAATAGTCTACCTACCTCTACGTGATCGGAACAAGGAATAACACCGAAATCCTTCGGATTTTCCATCGGTTTCGTATTCATATTGAAATTTCGGACGCATCCCGTGAATTGCGTCGTCATATTCTGAAACCGTATTTAAGGGTTATCTATTCAATTCAAGATTATATTTTCCCTTACAAGATTGCTCTGGACATAATTGTAATCATCGGGGTGCAAACCGCCGAGATAGAACGGAATGTGGAGACCCAACGACGTAGTTTTCTGAAGAATTTTTCCGGTGAGGGCGCCACCTTCGATTACCAACTTCCCATCCGATCCGTCCCTGCTTATCTCCACCAGATGCCATTCGTTGTCGTTGTACGTTAACTGAGACCTTAGGAGCAAAGGCGGTCCCTGTTCGCCTTTAAACGTAAATATCACCTAAAAGCAATGTGTGTTGAAATACGTTGTTTGATGTCGGGGTCTATTAACAAATAAGGTTGCCCTACGCACCGCGAACGCGACTTACAAGCTGGAACCAGTTGAAACCCAACTAAAAACTGCAGGTTAAAATGTCCGTTAGATCGTAATAGTCTTAATTTCTTTCTTCAAAGCAATGCACAGGAGGGCCAATATAACGTAACCCTCTCAAAATATACAGGGTGTACGAAAAACCTTAAATACAAAAATCATCTGGTTTGAAACGAAGTTTTATTGTATTATATTTTTGCATATCAAGTTTGTAGAAAAAATTCATATTTAATGTTCTATACCTATGTCTATGGTTTTTGACATATTTAAGTTTTTATCTCAAATATGTCATTTGCAGGCCTTAAGAAAAATACCAATTTTTCCTGAAAGGAAATCTTTATTTTTTATTGACAAGAATCAACTTTAATAGAATTTTTATATTTTAATTACTAATAATACAGGGTGTTCAGAAAGTAAGATTAAATACTAAATTAAGAAAACGAAGGGACAAAGCTGGACCTTTATTATGCACTCATGTAACTGTAAGCGCTCTTCAACGGTGTATGGAGTCATATTTTTGACAGTAATAAAATTAAAACGATGAAATTACATTTTACCGAGGGCCTGTGACATTCTTGGCTTTTTTGTTTATCATGGCCTTCATTTTTATCCGTTGTCAAGTAGAACAAAGCTTGAAATTGTCATATAGGAATATTAATTTGTCGATCTTTCGACAACTAACCATTTTCAGCATAGGCAACCTTATACAAACTTAGCTTTATTTTTAATGGTAAATGAGATAAAATTATGAAATTTAAGAGTTTCCATTTAAATTTTTGGAAGTTTACTTAATTTACTTTTTAATCTTACTTTTTGAACACCCTGTTTTATTAGTTATGAAAATATTATACAAATTCGATTAAAGTCGACTTGTCAACAAGGTATTAAACCCAAATTAAAAAATAAAGATTTCCTTTTAGGAAAAATTGGTATTTTTCTTAGGGCCTGCAAAATGACATATTTGAGAGAAAAACTTAAATTTGCCAAAAACCATTAGACATAGATATAGAACATTATATATGAAATTTTCTTAAAAACTTCACTAGAATCCAAAAATGTAATAATATATCGAATGTTCCATTTTGAAAAAATGAAGATGTGTTTACCCAAGCAACAATGAATGAAATGCAAAAATATAATAAAACAAAAGTTCGTTTCAAACCAGACGACTTTTGTATTAAGGTTTTTTCGTACCTGTGTATTCGGAGTTATAGGGTTACGTTATATTGGCCACCCTGCACCTAACCACAGTGTACACCAAAACTTAATAAAATTAATTTTGAAAACATTTCAATACACTCAAGAGGTCAGTTAGTTCTCAAGATACTAGTGACGAGCAGTGTAACATTCGTTTACTGAATTATAGTAGAGTGCTTTTTGAGAATGATGATCTGACAGTTAAAATAGCTTACAGAACAATAGAAATTTCATTAAAGCAAACTTTAACTAAGACTGAAAAGGTCATTACTTGGGGTGCAATGCATTACGCATCAAGTATTTTAGTAACAATTTTAAAATCTATTGTTTACCAGGCACATCTTCCTTGTGTTTTTCCATTACTCTGTAAATAAAATATTGATGATTGAAGCAATGGCACGTAATAGGCCGCAAAATTGCCCATTGTTAAATAATAAAAACCTAATGTACTGCAATGTGAACAAGAACTTTGCCATAAGCATTGACAGATGCTGCAAAAAAGCGTTTGACATGCGTTTTGGAATCAGCGTCGCCAAGTGGTGTCACTCCCTAGTAGTTGGGGGGACTGAAATGAGGGCGCAGAGCTCCAATCTAACGAGAGGCGACAGCGGCCAACCCAGTAATTATTAAGTTGAACTGAGGTGGTTTTACTTGATGAAAATCCATTTATCAAAATAAATAAGAACTAAAAGTTCAGATTCGCACGAAATTATATATTATGACAAGACAATTGTTTCGACAACACTGTGTCTTTATTCGCCACTGCCAAGATCCCATCAATACACCCAATAGTTTCTTTTCTCTCAGTTTATAACGGGTATAAACGTCAAACGGAGCGAAGCAAAGTTTCGAAAAATGAACCTTCCCACCATCAAAGGTGCTTACGGCCATCTGTCATTGGATTGGAGACCTCTCGGTAGGGAAAATCGTAAGGTAAGCTATTGGATTTTTGGATCTTAGTTTGGTGTATCTGCCGCCACTTACGAAGCCACCCTCCAAGTACAGCGCCGCGTAGTCCCTATGAGTTTTACTGTCGGATACGTAAAACAATATGCCATTTGGTTCAGTCGTTTTGAACTCCATGCTGAAGTCGAAACTCTTCCTAAACTTGCCCCTGGGCGTGTTAAACTCTAATCGGCTCGAAGGTTGCGATCCGAATCTGTACCCACTCGATTTGAGGTCCTCCGGAGCGGGCTCCACGGGCAACGCGCATCCCTCGTAAATGGGTTTGGGAGTGGTGGGCGGTACTCTGCCGATGGGACCTCTCGGTATAGCTGCTGGTGGAACGGTGAATATTTCGGCTTCTTCTGGTGTTTTTTCCGTTTTAACTTCCTTCTCCTTTGGTAAGAAGTCGAAACCTCCGTCACCGCCTCGGATATTTGCTGTTGTTGATAAGGTACAGTTTAAATTTATCCACATGAAAAAGTAAGTACTAAGTTAAACCGTTCACATTCCACATTCCTAATTAAGAATGGAACAAATAAGAGATGATGCTAGCAACACCACAATTGAAAAGGAGCCAAAGATGGCAGTAGGACGAACCAAAAGTGCTCTCGTTGTTGAAATGTACGGGTCGTTGACATTTCCAAGTTAGTTTTTGACAGTGGAAGAAATTTACGTAAAATACAATGATATCCTGTTGCAAAAAGGAGAGGATTTAAACTAACAGCAGTTCCCTGCCTACTTAGCTCACTAGAGTTTTTACATTATGTTAGTGTTATTTTACTAAAGGAATTAAATTATTTAATATTTGGAATCAAAATATTATAATTACAATACGTCCCTACTATGCTTATGCTCATACTATACTCATCATTGTCATTTTTTAAGTATATAGGGAGGCATAGTAGAAGGAAAGGCAGGCATATTAGGAAAACGGTGAGTTTTTTCCATGGCCTACTAAATTCGGTACATATTCGAAAGTTTCTAAGGTGCTTATTAAATACACAACTTCAGTTTGAATATCAAAAATTTTTGACTTTCAGAAGAAAACTGATAACGCCACTGGATCATATTTAAAAAATGTTATTCAGACCAGTTTTCTCTTATTTGAAAAACTATCAAAATTCAACGTGGCCCTGATATTTCTGTTTGTACCGCCTTCCTTTTTATTTTCATTTTGGGTCCCGAAAGTCGCAACAGCAAAGACCAAAAAATGAACACTGTACCGTGCGTTCAATTTATCTTGATAAAATTTTACTTGGATGTAACTTTTGTTTTTAGAGATATCAAGGTAAATAAAAAAAAACAAAATGTAGGATTAGCAGCCAAGTGACAATAAAAACAAAACACTATCAATTTTTTGACAGGTAAGCCTAGATCGTATGTTTTTAAATGGAACACCCTGTATATTATATATGTGTTTAATAGAATATCTTATTCCGATTACAATGATCTCCAGTTAATTGCCCATCCATATCATACATTCATTGATTGTTACCTCTGGGTTTTTATTTCTTGTATTTGTCTAGGATTATTTAAAGACGAATATCTCGTATTTGTCTATTACAACCCTTTCTTAGTGAACGAACTTTCATCAATCCGTAAAATGTTTTTCAAAAAAATATTATTCTCATTACGTGTATTTAAAAAATCCAAACAAAACTGCGCCCTCCTTTGACATTGTTCTGTACTTAGTTTTTGAGCTTTAGAAATTTAAATGCATTATATTTATATTCTTTCAAAACTGAGTGGATTGATCCCCGAGAACTACCTGCCTCTTCATATACTCTAGTCATAGAGGAAACTGGATGTGCTTCATAGAATCCTAATATGTTTGCCATATTTTCTTCATTTGCAACATTATGATTCTGGCATACCTTTTTAGCATTTAATACGTTACCGTTTTCTGCAAATTTCTTTGCTAGCCTTGGAAATATGTTTTCAAGGTGCTCGGTGCTCTGGATAAAGTCTAATATACTGACGACGAGCCGCGGTTGCACTTTTATTATTCAGAAAGTATACTTGAAGCATATCAGTCCTTTCGCGGATGGTAAATTCGCGAAAAACCATCTTAACAATAATTCAATCATCAACATTGTTTACTAATATGTCAAGCATAAACATATCTTTGTCAGTCAGGGTACTCTTTGAAATTATATAAAAAATTCCTATTTTTGCCGATTTGTCAAAAACGAATTGACTAAAATATAAAGTGTGTTACATCATTGTAATCAAAATAAGATATTCTATTAAACACATATATAATATACAGGGTCAGAAAATTGATTGTGTTTTATTTTATACGTACACTTGGAAAAAAATTTGTTTTCCTCGATATCGGTGCATGGTGTAAGGATTGACCAGAACTGCGGATCTAACCTCACATCTTTAGGGGTCTTGAAGTTTGAATTGCGCATATAATAAGAAATTATATAATATACAGGGTGTAATGGGTCTATAAATATGTCACCAGGCTATTTGCGTCTATTTCTTTTATTATTTAGAAAAGTTTATTGGAGGAGCACACCTGCTGCGTTTCTGTCGATCTTAATAATTCATTCTCTGAAAAGAATTCAAGCCCTATACAAACATTCCGAACTCGAAGAATATCCCCACCGTACCTTCAAAAATCCCTCTCATGTCATCACCGAAATTGTTATAAAACAAACAATGCAACTATGAGAACAACAATAACAACGATACCATAGAATCAATAGATGAAATAGTTTAGGTTAGTTGGACAATAGGGAACTTGAACTTTTTTTAAATTTCTTTAATACATTTATTTATGTATAGAAATAACGCACACCAAATATTTGGGTTGAAATAAATAACTCGAGTTGTGACACCCGGCCTTTCCTTTTAAACGACACCAAATGCGCGGGAATGATCGTGACGTCATACCGCTGCTTCTCGGTCGATACGGCGACATATTATAGTGTTATTCTCAGGTTATAGGCCGAGAATTATATTATTTACGTTTATTTTTGTATCGTGTAAAGTGTGTGAAGTATTTAATTTACGACAGTTTGTATTTGTGCTCAGTGTGCTTTATATGACAATAATGGAAGCAACACTAAAACAATATTACAAATCGTGTCACGCTGTTTGAGTACAACCCGTAAAAAGCCAAGTAAACTTTTTATTCGTCTACCAGAAAATAAAAGCCGTCCTTGTTTGTTAACATTATATTCAGGTGTCACTTTAGCCTTAAGAGTGCAAACATTTTAACTCTTTGAATTTGCACCCATCCTATTGCATTCTCTACATAGAACAACGAAATTATCTTTTTGTGAACTTATAAGCAAAATTATTGAAATTAAAAATTTGTTCAAGTTCCCTACTTCCAGCAGCTGCTCAATGACGGTATTATTAATTGAAATATTTAAAAAAACATATCAAGTGGACTTGAACAGGTCATCGAAAAAGAGTTTATGATGTTTCGTTTTTGCTTACAATTTAAAATTCTTACTTGATAGAATGTTCAATTTTATCATAATCAGTCCTATGTAGTAAGTACCTTGACTTGATCTTAATGTTGAAATTATAACGTCAATAAATATAACTACAAGAAAACGTTAAAAGTATAATCAGTAACATTAAGACCCAATTGGTACGACCACAACCCCGGCGAATTAGATAAATATGATTATGTGCTATCAGAACTGAACAATAAATATAACATACTTAATTTTCTGCACTTATCTTGGGAACCTTTAGATTTATTATTTGTTTAATTACAAAATAAAACCGTCATTAATTATGTACGGCCGGTTAGGGTGCAGAAAACCGCACATAACCTTAATCCCCTCAACCCCTCGCAGGGGGCCACCGTCGCGTTGTGCTCCTCCCCCGTCCTAGTATGCCTCCTTGCGACCAGAGTGTGCGGTTTTCTGAACCTTAACCGGTGGTACATAACAACTAACGTCAATCACATTACATAAAACAAACATAAATGATTAACAACAAATTATAGGTTAAGTTTAATGTTACCAAACGCAAACTTGATGTTAATTTCAACATTTTTTTATTTAAATATTCGTAGCTCAAGGCTCATTACACCATACCAATATTGAAATGAAAGTTGATATTTATTGAAATAATTTCAACATTGACATTAAATTCTGTGTGATTAATGCATAGCTCCTGATGAAAACTTACATTGTTCATAAGGATTTTCGGTGACTATGGTCGGAACTGTCGTCGGTGGTAATGTAACTTCCGGGAATGGTTCTAGATCGGGTACTGAAATCGGAAATTTTGATTACGATGTTCTTTTAGCATTAAATGTTCGACTTACGAAGGTGAACTGAGGGATCAGTCGGTAAGTAGTCTCGATCGAGGATACATTTGTCCAAGATTTCCTGCGATCTTATCGACGTGTTGGCGAAATTCTTGACGTTTCCGTTCACCGTCAAATCGGCTATGCATCCGTGGAAAGGTTCGGTGGTGCCCGAGGTGCCTGGAGGCGGTTGAACGCCCCGTGGCAATCCTCCGACATACATTTTGCCGTATAGTATATGGAGCGGCGGAGGCGTATTGTCGGTCCTGTGGAAATTTCGGGCAAGTCATGAACAAAAATCAAAAATGGCAGTCTGAGAATTTCAGGCGCACCACATTAGCGAAAACGTTTTACTACATTTCATTTATTAACATGTTATAATTCGCCTAACGATATACCGGTTTTACGAAATAATCCGATCAATTTTTATGTAGGTCTAACCGCAGGCCTACCTCGCTTGTAACCCTTAATAAACAGATTTGCAATTAAACAATGACGTTGCAGAACAGTACTTCGGTACTTCGTGCATACGAATGCTGAAAGCTGACGGATTTGAGTAGAGTTTCATCTTTCATTTCTTCTCTACTTAAGTTTGGTTGCGGTGTTTTTGACTGTCTTAAGACTCTGGCGACATCTTGCCTAATTAACTCCACATCTTGTTCGTCTATGGTGGAAAGACTTGCTTGGACGTTGGAAACGATCTCTTCACGGGTAATCTTTTTGGAGCTATTGCATAGTTAAACCCTTTATTCAGTACGCTGACCTCTGCATCGGAAAGATGGTATGCTGAAATATTATGAACTGTTTGTATTTGGAACTTGTCCTGATTTTTTGGAATTTGAAGGATTTCTAATTTCTTCCACAGTTTTTTTGACGTGATGTCCTTGTCTTTCTCAGTGCGCCATGATGTTAATAATTCTATGCGGTCCCACAGCAACTGATGGATCTTGTTGCTCAGTTTCAGGTGGAGTAGTTCAGTTCAGGAGCAGTAGTTGTAGCTCAGTCTCACTAATTTCGTACCGGGTCCGCCTGATCTGGTCTTGGAGTAGGGCCTTGCTAGCTTTGTCCAGGATAGCTTGTGTCTTTCTAGTGCGTGTGTGATAAGACAACCTTGTAAATGTTGGCAGAAAGTTCTGGTTGCGGCAATTTATAAGAAAATTCAATTGGTTAAGGCTTTCGCGGCCCGTTGATAAGCTATTATCTTGGTTCGGGTTTAAAGGCCGTCGTCGATTGGAATTACTTCCTAACGTTTCGCTAGCACGAGTGGCGAGCTTCTTCAGAGCGAAACGTTAGGAAGTAATTCCAATCGACGACGGCCTTTAAACCCGAACCAAGATAATAGCTTAGAAAATTCAAGTTGCATAGCGTTAGGAGGGTTATTTCACTATGCAACTTGAATTTTAATAGCGATAGGAGGGTTATATATATATATATATATATATATATATATATATATATATATATATATATATATATATATATATATATATATATATATATATATATATATGCTGTTTGTTCTTTAACTGGGTTTCAGCTGTCCGCAAGATGGACAACTTTATTATACTTCTTATCCCACGTTTCCGTCTTACGAACTTCCAATAACAGCTTCTTTGTGTAGCAATTTTCAAAATACTGATCATTTTCAAGCAAAAAATTTTGAATGACTTCTTTAGTCGATGATGATTTTTTTCGCTTGGGCGGAATGGCAGCTGGCGGTGTGCATCACAACAACACTGTTTGGTGGAATACTGTCATGTTTTAGTGGAAGTCCCTTTGCTTCTTTGACATCTTTTGCAGAAAGCAACAAAACGTTATCTACCCAACCAGCTTCAGAGCCCGCATGTAGAGATAATTCGTCTGCCCCGCAAAACTGGCAAATCCATCGAACATTTCCTGCTGTGACCATCAGTCCATTGTGGCTATCATCTAAATATATGAACGAATGAGACGAAGATTTCTATCAAATATCTTGCCCTCCACTCCGAAATTCTTCTTAATTCCATCAAAACTTGTCTCTTATAGATGGTTTTGTAATAAAAACCAATTCTTCTTACGAACGCACGCCTTGGCAACAGTCAATATTCAAAATACTACGCAACTTTTCATCTAAAGTTGTAATTGTTGAAACAATATTCTTCTGATACGCATCATATATCAACCGTCTCACTATTCCGGCCTGGTGTATGTCAAAAAGACTTTTTAGAACTCCACGATCTTCCCGCGTTTTCCATGTCACGCATTCGGTGTTTTAGTCATCTCGGACGTTAATTTTATTTGATTTTTTCCCCAGATGTCGATTTCAGAAACAAACGGCCAACGGTTATTACGTCATCGACTACAATCTCGACTTCTTCGTCGCTAGACATCGCAAGTAACTAGCAAAATTGAATAATGTTAGTTTTTGGCATGAAATAGATTGTAATAAAATGTATGTTATCTCAACAAAAATGGCACAATGAGTTTTGAAAAACAATTGAATAACAGTAAGTTACAAGTTACAAGCACAAGACGGAATAGAAAGAACTTCAAAACCTCGAAGGCTAAGAAAATACTCTTTCATAAAACTGACACCATACTCCAATCAATCAAATCAACCAATAGCAAACTGGGAAAACATCCACTATAAGTTAAGTTAAATTAAGTTAAGGTATTATGTTAAACCCTTCAATTGGAAATCAGTTTAAGCTTTCTAATGTGTTTCTAATATAGGAGATCAACCTATTATTCAGTTGAACTTGTAATCGAGCTACCTCAAGTAGGGACTGTTTTAGGAAGATTTATAAAAAGCACACTAATATGAATTAATATTTACAGTTTAATCAAAGAAAAATTTCCACTCTTAAAATACAACAGTCCGCACGGCACAGTTCTTGTCGGCTAACATCTTAAATACGGCCCTGACTTCTGGTACACGTGCTGAAAAGAATAGTCCCTTCCGCTTTACAACAGGCGGATATAAAACTCATTCCGAAGTAAAAACGATAAAAGTTTGTAAAAGCGGTATATCGTTTGGAGAACTCTATCATCATAGAAAATGTATACATACAGTCATGGCAATAAAATATTACATGGAATAACAAATTTACAACATAATATTGAAAACATACAATATACATAAAACACAAAGAGCTGTGCGAGCATCTGGACAAGCAATAAAGTTGATCGTAGATTATCACAGAAACTTATCACCGAAAGCGGGGAGTCGAAGAGGTGCAATCATCTGACAAGATATTGTTATTGATATCTTAAAAAAAGATAAGTTCCTTTAAGCTGTAAAAAGCTGATTTAAAAAGTCTTGACTAAATTTTTGAACCCGTTTATTGTGAATTGTTTTGTCTCTGGCTTAAGTTTATTAAGAAAAATGGTTGCAGTAGTAATTTGAATGAAGCCATTAATTCGGAACAAATCAGGTTTGAGGTTGTCCCTATTCCGGGTTCTGTAGGTGTGAACTTTATTCACTTTTTTCACCTTTATTCATCTTTAATTCTCGAAAGCGTAGACTAGTATATATAGTATAGAAGCGCTTGGCATTATAAGGACTTTAAGCACCGAAAATTACTTTACATTGTAGGCCAAAGACTCTTCTGCACCAGTAGCCTGGCCCCAGTTTATCAGACCATAAAGCAAGGAAGCCAATTAGAGCATGATATGTTACGATCAGCAGTGTCCTTTAGAGTATTTTTCTTTAATTTTTTTAGCCACCTGGTCTGTGTGGTGACACCAATTTAGTTTAGGGTCTAAATAAAGTCCCAAGAGTTTTGCACTCTGTCAATTATTTACTTGGTTAATGTTCCTTTGAGAGACGATTACAGAAACTTTCTCCCTCCGTTAGCAACAGGATGTGCTTCAGTAAGGTCTTTTTTTATTTATTAATAAAGTTGTGTCGTCGGCAAACAACGCCTGCCATTATTTTCCAAAAAATAATAAAATTATGGTGCTTTCTTTTGAACACAAAAACAACATTCAAGGATTTTTTTTCCTTGAAATTGTTTTTTTTTAATCATAAAATATTAACGCACAGCTATAACGAAATTAACCTCAAATCGGTCATTAGGTCCTTATTTGACTATCTAATGACATAAAAAAGTAATATTGTTGCATTCTTAACGTCCCCAACTTTATTACAAAGCGTCAAGCCGTTTTGGAAATATTTTCAAATATCTAGGACTCTAGGACGTCCTTTTTTTTTGGAATTTGGGAACATTTTATGACTTACACTCTATGGTTGTAATCGTCGAAGTCTATTCTGAGCCTGTCCTTGTCGTGTATAACCGAGACGACATGCCATTCGCCATCATCGAACGTGTCCTTGGACACCAATTCGATTTTATTACTAATAACCTTGACGCGACCGTCAACGATCGATAAGGAAGTGACGCTGCTTTGGTCCGGATTTTCGATGTAGAAAATCAGACCGTCCTTTTCTTTCGTTTTGAATTTCAGGCTCGCTTTGAAGTCGTTGTTAATCGCGAGACCGTCCCACCCGACGTAACCCCTCTGCGAATTGTTAAACGACACCATTGGAGCAAACTGAAAACAAAAAATAACAGGAGTGAGTAACATTTGGCGAAGGTGCGGAAAATCATAAACATACCTGGCGTTATTAAAATGAGGTTACACAATTTAACCAACCGATCTCATAAAAGAAGGGTAAATGGAAAAAATACTGGTTATAACGGTATATGAGCGATTGGTGCCGGGTTGAGAAATCGTGCAACCGCACATTTAAAAAACTGTTTAAATGGACTTACTACTTTGTCTACTATCATTACAAAGAGTTCCTCAATAATTTCTAAAGGGAACGTTGCTAATCTCATGAATTCAAACTCCAAAAAATATTTTCTTTAGAATAAGTAATGTCAAGATTTTGGCAAAAATCAAAAGAAAAAGTGATAAACGATCTTCTCATTATTTACTAACGCTGCAAAGGATTCCCGCTTAATTGTAAGCAAGGACATTGCTAATCACACACTCCTATGGAATAACGTTTCCAGTTTAACGATTAGTGGTGATTACGCTAAAACTTCCAGTTCATTCTAGATTTGACTTGATTAATGACATATTGTATGAAATGTTAATCAAAATGGTAGCATAATATTGATAATTCCAAATAAACTCTGATTTGTTCACAAATAATTCGTTGTGTCTCCACAAATAAATTCTCCAACAGACTTTTATTTGTAACAAAAAAAAATAACTAAAGGGTTTTTCGATTAGTGCGGGATATTTTACCGGCTCGTAGCTGCCATTTACGACTGTAAAATCTTCTGTTTATTATTTAGTTATGCCAAATCACCATGGATGCGTTATTTCATAGGCGTTGCGATTGTCGGTCTGACAGAATAAAGTTAGGAAAAATAGCTTTTTTTATTCGATTTGGACAGAACAAAATATCGATTCGGCGTCATGGTGGGCTTCAGATTCGCTAATTATATTATAGGATGTCAGCGAAATAACACACTGTATAATATGTTGGCGTTTGTAATCGAATATTTAGAGAACGAGATATGAAATATGAAAGAAGAGATTCGAAAATGTACCTACCTTGGCAGGACAACCGGGGGTTACATCATAAGCTTTGAGGTTGTTTCTCAAATCGACGGGCTCTCCTGTGATGGTGACGTTATTGATACATCCGTCGAATTTGATGTTGGTGACGTCGCGGAAATTGTGGATATGGGGATACCCCCCAAACGATACGGTTTCCGTAAGCTCGAGGGAGGCACCCGTCACCTGTTTGGTCCTGTCCGTGACATCTTCGTCGTCGACTCTCAGTTTGCCACGGGCGCCATCTCTCGTAGCGGTTATCTTGTGCCAGTTGCCGTCGTTGTACTGTTTAGATGAAGCGAACTTCTTCGTTCCGCCTCCGAGATTGTACTTAAAATTGTATCAAGAAACAACTATGAAATGAAAACTACTCCTGCTGGATTTTTGGTGAGATGATGTCAAAATGAGAAAAGTGGTTATTGGCAAAATATATGAGGAACTTAAATGTTTTCACATATAAATGAGTTTCTAGCTAACCAGATAATCACACTGGATTTTATTCAGACACGTACGGCAACGTGGTTTATGTTACATTGCGCCCAGTCATTTTGAATAATTTGAAATTTTCGAGTGAGCTTTGTACATTAATTATAATAAAGGCTTATTGGCGAACGTTATAGAAAATAATGTAGCAAATTATGCAAACTTTGAGAATAATTTTAATAATTTCGTAAATATGTATGAGATAAAGTTCAATACTTTTTTTATGAATAATTATAAACTAAAATTATTTTGTTATTACTTAAATGTTCGATCAAGTTGTTGAGGCTTTTTACGAAATTTAATCAAGATTCTCTCGAACTTGATCAAAATACCTTCCAGGAAGTATCCGAGCACATAAGAAATTTTACTTTTATTTACTCCCCCAGAAGAAGGAGATTTGATAACTAACCACTAACTAAAGTTATGTTATTTCAAATGGAACACCCTGCATACATACACAAAAATGTATAATTGTCTAAATATATATTTTTTAAATAAAACATACGTTCTAGAAAATATGCTTATTTTCACTTTGAATTTCATTTCAGTGAATATTATTATTATTATTTTACTACAAAAAAGTAACAACTGATTTGCACAACCTGCCAGATATTTTTCGCATAATTTGCGAATTCTTCTTTGACCAGTTACGAGGATAATTGGGTCTACACCAGAACGTGGAACCTATTGGTGTACTCAGATTTTTTATAAGCAGAAGGTATATCAAAAAAAGGTATTTTCAATTTTTTTTTTAATTCGATTGAGTTTTTTATAAGCTTTCTTAAAATACACAATAGACAATATTTACACTTGTTGATTTGCTTCCATAAAATTTTGCTATATATTGCAGATTACTCTAATTTATTATATATATTTTTTTAACAATTTATACAATAACCATGGAAAAATGTTTACTATTCCTGGTACTATGTAGTTTGTATTTTTTCTGATAATAATATTACAAATAAAACCAATAATCTTATTGTTAAGTGGAATAATATTGGGATAGAATAGAAGTACATCTCCCAAAATGTGAAAGAATATGTTTATTTAAAATAATATATTTCGTCAATTATAAAATTTAATAGATAAAAAGGCTTATAAGATCCATCATCCATTAGGATATAGAGACTTTAAAATACAAAGGGAAACTGAAATTGACAAATTTTCCTGTATCTCAAAAACAAAATCAACTAAGTACTCAATACTCAATACTCAATATAATTTATTTTTTATTAGTTAGTTTGGAATTGGGATTTTGGTTGATTATTTATTTTCAGAAAGTCGTGGTCAAGCATTATTTAATCTTATTTGTTAATATTTACTTTTCCAATTAAAGAAAATCAATAAAAAAAATATGCGTACTTGGTACAAAATTTTTCCATTCCTAAGTTCCAATGCGATGAAGGTGTTCTCTCTACCGGCCAAGAACAGCAACCCTTCTGTCGCGAACGTCTTGAACGAAAATATAATGGAAGATTTGGACCGCACCTGCAACGATCTGGCATCGATGATGACGTAACCCTGACCGTTGAATCTAAACCCGGTACTCGGTTGTAACACCACCAAACGATCTCTGCAATTCAACAAAGTTTACTCATAAAATCCGTTTATATCGAATTTAAAGTGTAATGTGAAAGCTGGACTTTTGTACAAGTACATTTTTAAATTTATTTCTCAGGTAATAATTATTAGTGGAATAGGTGTAATACTTGATGATTTTGGATACTTACAGTAACAACAGGATAAAATTAAAAAAATAATAAAATCTGGAAAAAAAATGTCATTGTAGAACTTTAAAAAATTCATGCTACCGACTTGGAACCGGCAAGGTGTTTTTTTGTGACAAAGGTTATTGAGTTTAAAGGTTATGAAGTATTTAAACGAAACGTCGGAGAAAACAAAAACCCATAAAAAGAAACTTTTTTTTGTAAATAAAATATTGCATATGGTATTTTATTCAAACTCGATTTCTAGCTATTGTGCATTTTATTTCGGAATGTTAGACAAAAAGTGAATACTATATTTGTACAGTTCAAACAGCAATATAGCCTCCTTTTGCAAACTAACCAGCTGTTTTTAAATACTGACAAAAGTTACTTAAGTAACTATAGACACAAAACTTAGTTTTGAAATTCATATTGAAAACATAGTGAAAAGGGCTTACAGAAACTTGGGTTTTTTTACAAGGATTGACAAAGAATGTAAAGATCCCCAGTCGCTGGTCGTACTCTATAACGCGTATGTGCGGTCCCACCTTGAGTTTCCACTGTGATATGGAGTCCCCAATATCATAAATATGTAAACAGAATTGAAAGCATTCAAAAAATGTTTATTTTTGTCATGAGCTTTAGGTATAACCACAATCTAATAGGTGTATTGTATGAAGCAAGCCTTGACTTCTATCATATGTTGAAATTATCTGTCTGTTAGGTATTTGCACAATATTCTTAATAACAAAGCAGACTATCCAAAACTGTTGGAAAAATGATACTTTAATTTATTCTATGCGCCGAAAGACAGTACAAATTCAGGAATCAACTCACAATATCTCTTTTGTAAAGAAATTATGACAGTTACTTTATGCACACAGATATTTTTGCTTTGTCACTCAATTCATTTAGGAATCAAGCAATAAGACTCTTTCGCTCGGACCAAATTAAATTTATTTCTACATTCTTGCTTTTTCCTTTGGGTTTAGAAATAGTTTTGCTTACCATTTTGAATTAAGATAAATGTACTTAGTTTTAATGTACCTTTGTAAATAGTGACGTTAGTTTGTAATATTTGTCATTGCTTGCTATAAAAACAAGCAATCAAACTAAGACTGAAAAAATTACTCTATAATGAATACTGTACAAATAACAACGAATGAAGAGTATGCAGAGTTTAAAAAAATTATATACAGGTTATCACGTGACTCTAGAAAGTTCAGAATGCTTGCTTCAGATTTTCGTACAATATTATAAAATACGACGGGATCAGTCAAGTTATACACAAAACGTTAAGACCCAATCAGCAATTTTATTTCTCTAAAAAGAGGACTAAATAATACCAATCAAAGAAAAAAAAGCAGGTGCTACTCGTCGTCATAACACGGTATTTTTTCAAAAATCTTTTCATATAAAACTTCTAAATCCTAATCCTTATTTAATTTCAAAATTAGATTGAAAACATTTATTTTCAATAATGAAAACGGTTTTGTATTAGAATGCTATTTACAAAAGTTCTGCATTCCTCCTGCTCTGAAGAAGCCAACAGCTAGCGAAATGTCAGCAAGTTCGACTCAACAACAACCGACACAGGAGGAATCCAGAAGTTTTGTAAATAGTATTACAGTATCCTCTGGAAGTTTTTTTGGAAGATTACGAATGTTTCTTTATTGTTTAGATTGAGGTTAAAAAGCTTCCTTTGGGTGATACCTCGCCATTTTAAAAATACGTTATTGTATGTTGTAAAAGCGTAAGGCAACATCTAATATTTTTAAGAATCTTGACGAAGAAAAACCGACCTTTCGATTGCGCCGTGGTTGTTTTCCGAGCCGTTGGCAAAGTTCCACAACGACAAGGGAGTGTTACCGATCACCAAGTCCTCTATTTCGCCATCGAGTGAGTTGACATCGATGTCCTTTTGCATGTCACCTGGGGCGCTGCCCACAAACAGCTTCGACCTTTCTTTGTCGAGGTTGAATATGGTGTACGGGCCGGACAAGTGTTTTTCCGCGACGGTTAAGTTTTCCTGTCCGCCCGGTAACTCTTCGCGAATCGTCAGTTTGGCGTTGTGACCCACCCTTAACGATAAAACATGGTAAAAAGCGGGATCACTCTTTTAACTCGTATCTCGTTTACCTGTCAATAATGAATTGATACCAAATATTATCGGACACGTTTTTTGAGTTGATTACTTGCTCGGGTCCGTTTCCTATGTCCAGTTTAAGGACCGGGTAACCGTTTTGTACTACCAGTGCCATATAATCGTCCTAGACGGAGTGAAGGAGTTATTTTGGTAAAGAACATTACGATTTTTTCTCATATAGACTCTAATATTTCAGATATCTAGAACATCAAAAACTGCGTAGAAACGAATATCTAAAACATACAAGGTGTTCCACGACGTGACTGTTGGGGTGATTTCAAGTAATAAATGTCAAATCAACGTATACAGGTATTTGAAATTTTTTAATACTTTTTGTGGAATTAGTTGCTCCAGTATTATCAATTATCAATTATCAATTCAATAACACCAGGAATTCACATTGTAGGACATTTGAAAATCCACGACTAATTAGGGAATCCCATTTTCAAGATAGAGTTTCGGTGAATATTTGTAACAGAATTACTTGATCAAAATTATACAAACCGGTGGATTGGTTCAGCAGTCCCTTGGGCAGCAAGGTCACCTGACCTTAATCCCTTAGATTACTTTTTATGACAGAGAACAACTGGTGCTGATCCTTAGACTGTTAGAAGAGCTACCATTTTAATTTTAAGAAGAGCTAGACTATATAAACAATTCGATAATAATAAATGTTTTTAACTTGAAATTACTCTAGCAAAACACTCCCAAGCTATGGCAGTCACCTCGTGGGATACCCTGTAGATATTGCGACATTCGTTTATATCACCACAACAATTTATTTGTATACTGCATGCGATGATAATAGTTGCAATTATGCAGTGGATCTCATAAGTAATCTCACGGCGCCGAGCGAAAATTTCTTGGTAGATTCCTTATACTTTATCTCAATAATTTATTAGAAACATGCAACATCACTGCATTTTGAAAATGCTAGAATCCTCCTTACGAAATTAATATTGAGAATTGATTTATGGCTTAAACTTTTGCATCTTTGAAAATTATTTAATTGACTGGTGAACTAAAATAGTTAAAGGAAATTGTAGGAAAAAAAATAAAAATGTCCAGTCTCGAAAAGCCTCAACGTTTTTCGTTGACATAATAACTTTTACAAAAGACTGAAAGTGCCTACTCGAAATGTCATCTTATTTTCATGTGAGAGATGCATTTGATAAACAAAAGGAGTAAATCGGACAAAACAAAATACTGGAAATTTGTCACTTTCAAATTTTTACTGAAAAGATAACTGAAAAACAACAAAATTCTATTTTGACTTGAAATGTCATTTGTCAATTAATATATAATAAAAAATATTTGTTATATTAAGGGATAATTAGACATTAGACATGGAAATAAATGCTTTCTAAAATTCAAATTTTTGTGAGTTCTACGTTCTTTCATTCATATTTTAGGTTTGCTGAAGGATTATGAGATGCAGTTATCACTGGGTTGCCGGGCTTTTATTTGACTATTTACTGATGTTAAAAAAGTCACATCTTTACAAAATTTATTTCTTTTGTGATTATACCGGAAAAGTAAATCTGGTGGCAAGGTAAACCAGGCAATCGCATCAAACCATTCAGAGCACTGTCGATAGTCTAGGAAAAGCCCTTTTAATAGCAAAAGTCCATTAAAATGCGTTAAGTCTTTTGAGCAGTTATTAACATTTTCTTCCTAAAATGTTCGAACATTCCCCTTCATTTATTTCTTTTCAGTGATAGAGCTAAAGCATTAAACAAAAATAATTGAATTTATCGTAGGTTTAAAACACTATTCACTCAACTATCATTAGTATACGAATATTGTGCCTATATTACGCTTCATAGTGGTCAGTTCACAAAGTCGAAAATAATTTCCAGTCTTGGCCGATGTACCGTGCGTTCAATTTATCTTGATAACATTTTGATTGGCTCCAACTTTTTTGTTTTTAGAGATATCAAGGTAAACAAAAAAAAACGAGAAGTAGGGTTAGTGGCCAAGTTTTTTTTTGCAAGTGACGTATAAAATAAAACAATTAATTTTCTGACATATGACACATTTTTTTAAATGGAACTCCCTGTATATTATATGTGTTTAATAGAATATCTTACTCCGATTACAAAGATGTAACATACGTTATATTTTAGTCCACTCGTTTTTGACAAATCGGCAAAAATAGGAAATTTTTATATAATTTCAAAGAGTGCCGTGACTGAATGCAACGACAATAATTATGTACAAATTAAAGTAGAACAAAAACACTAAAAATGGCACACTAAAGTAAAAAATTCTTTAACTATTCTAAATCCTGCTGTGTGTAGCCATCATTTTTCTGAACACATTTCTCATACACTCTGTTTGCCTTGCATTTAGTAACGTTTCCGGATTGTCTCTTAACTGATTGATTGCCTCTGAAATTCTTTGCAGAAGTTCCACGACATTATTACAAGGAGTTCTGTGCACATGATTTTTTATGTGCCCCGAAAAGAAAAAATCCATTAAAGTTCAGTTAAGTCGGAGCTGTCGGCTAGCCAATCCATAGTTCCGCCGTTCCCTATCCAACCTCTGGGATAATCCATGTTAAGAAAATTTTTAATTTGCACAACATTGCACATTTGCACAATCAGCCCTGATATATTTAGGGGTAAATCTTCTATATATTGTTCTAGTTGGTGCTCTAAGGGTTGCAAATAATGATCTCCAGTTAACTTTTGATCTCTAAATATGGGACCCAAAATGTGCCCATCCATGACACCACACCATATATTAATTGACTGGTACCCCTGGGTTTTTATTTCGTGTATTTGTCTAGGATTATTTAAAGACCAATATCGTGTATTTTGTCTATTACAAACCTATCTTGTAGTGAATGAACTTTCCTCAGTCCATAAAATGTTTTTCAAAAAATTATTATTCTAATTATGTCTGCATCTCCTTTGACATTGTTCTGCACTTGATTTTTGAGTTTTACGAAGTTTAAATGCATTATATTTATATTATTTCAAAACTGAGTAGATTGATCCCCGAGAAATACCTGTCTCTTCATATACTCCAGTAATATAGGAAACTGGATGTGCTTCATAGAATCTTAATATGTTTGCCTTATTTTCTTAAAAGATTATGATTCCCGCATACCTTTTTGGCATTTAATAAATTACCGTTTTTTGCAAATTTCTTCGCCAGCCTTGGAAATATCTGTTTTGAAGGAGGCCGAGCTCTGGATAAAGTCTAATATACTGACGACGAGCTGCGGTTGTGCTTTTATTATTCAGAAAGTATACTTGAAGCATATCACTGCTTTTATGGATACTAAATTCGCGAAAACTCATTTTAACAATAATGACTTGGACAATAATTCAACCATCAACGTTGCATACTAATATGTCAAATATAAACATATTTTTATTTGTCAGTCAGGACACTCTTTGAAATTATATATATTTTTGCTGATTTGTCAAAAACAAGTGGACTCAAATATAAAGTGTGTGACATCATTGTAATCGGAATAAGATTTTCAAAAATACGATGTAGGCTCATATGTCAGAAAATTGAGAGTGTTATTTTATACGTCACTCGGAAAAAAACTGGGTTACTAACCCTACATTTCGTTTTTTTGTTTGCCTTGGCATTTCTAATAACAAAAAAGTTAGTCAATTAAAATGTTATTAAGATAAATTGACAGTACTTATTCAACAACATGCATAGTCTTTTCAGCTGTAAATATAGTGTGACTATTTTAAAAAAATGTAACATCAGTATACCTTTTTTTCTTTAAAAAACTCGCAAGGCTTTTTGAAATTCCCTTATTAATCTATTTTCGAATATACTACAGAAAAATATTTTTTTTCTAATCCCGTCCGTAAAATACCTAATTTCCCACGAATCCGGGCCATTTTGGACATTTCTGGGATTTTAACGCACGGATTTGGGAGCGATCGGATGGTTTCCGAGATATTTCCCACGCTTTGAATTTTGACGTTTGTCAATTCTCGTTTATTAAAAACCCGTGAGTTACGAAAAAACTGCAAAAATGGAGAGCAACCAACAGTTTCCTCAAATAATAAAAAAAAATAAAAAATAAATAAAAAGAGAAACAATAAGGCAGATAGTTTTCAACTCACGGACTTGGTTTTCCTCAGGTTCGTTCCATTCGGATTGCCGAGGTAAAAGATGAGTCCATTCGGTTTGGCCGTCCTGAAATATCCACTTATTTTGGTCGATGTAGTCATGTCGTCGATGTTGTCGGGATTCCTGAGTTCGAGGGTAGTGTTCGGATAGAACTTGACGCCGATTTTGATTCTGTTGGCGATATCTCTGGCCAGTTGAATTTGCTGGTTCAATTTATTTACGCTGTTTTTAATTCCGTCGGAGGTTTTGTTCCGTACGGCTTGAGCTTGCGGCAGCTGTTCCAAACTGTCGACTATGGCCGGCAATTTCTCGTTTACCGTTTCTATTTGCTTATCGGTTTGCACGATGTTCCGTTTGATGTCGTCCAAATCTTTCGGAAGGGCCTGAGCTTTCTCCTTTTCCTCCGGGAGCTAAGGTAAAATTTACGACAATATAGACTTACGCGCGAGCATCTTGCTGATTATTGTCAATTTAAAAAATTAATGACCAACGAAGTGGTTGATGTGTGACGTTGCGTGTAATAATTAGAGATCTTCCTGACTTGTGCACAACACAACAATTATAAGAAAACAAGAGCTAACAGAAATTTGATAATTTGGTATCATATTAAAGCTGGCATCTGCTCCGATGATTTGGCAACGTTGGGTGAGTTGACAGGCATGATGATTGTCAGTCTGACAGCAGAAGTGCGCAGATGCTGAAAAAAAGCAACTTGTGTCAAGAGACAATATCCATGTTAGGCTGCATAACACGTCCCGGGACATAGTGGACTTAAAGGTAATCAAAAAACCACGCAAGAATGAAAGCGGAGAGTGTCCTACGAAGAAACGCACAATCGATACCCTACTAGCATCTGCGTCGGTTGTTGATGAACTAAACTTGCTGACGTTTCGCCAATCATCCTGCTGTATCTGTTTCAATGAAGCTCTTCACAGTAAGAGGGCTGTATCTGGTATAGAAAGTTAATAATTCAGGTGGTGTCTCAATAGATAACCAGGACACGGCGGAAGGCTCCTAAACTAAAGACGCCCGATTACGAGGAAATGTAAAAAACAAAAAGGAGCTTTTACTAAACTTATTTCATAGGATTACACCTAAATTCTCAACATTTTATCATTTGACAGCCTATTGACTTTTTTTTGTTTAGTGCTTATTTGATCAGATGTTAAATTATAAGCGGCTTGGTGACACTTACGGAAGCAAACGATGTGTTGACCCTCTTCTCGATCTCCTCGACGTGGCTGCTCGCCGCGTCCGCCATGTTCGAGGCATTTTTAAACGCCTTGGCCAGCGACACGGGTTGGATGTTCGTCAAGATATTCTCTATATCCTGCAGCAGATCTTGATTATCTTCGTGGACCACCTTCACAGGAGCGAAGGCGTCGACGGCCTTTTCAAGCTGCGGCTCGAGATCGCCGCTCGTCCTCTGATTAAGCTTGTGCGCGTCGTCCAGTGCTTTCGACGAGTTTGAATCGGACTCCAACGTCCGGTCCTGAACGTTGCCTAAGATTTCGACCGCGTGATTAGTATCGTTTTCCGCCGTGTTTGCCGCATCCCTGGCGCTGTAAACCAACATTTAATGTTAACCTTATAACGTTCTACAAAACGATTAAATAATTCTTATACAACCAAAATGGGCCGATTTTTATACAACGGTTTGTTAGCAAAAAAGTTCTATTAAAAGTGTATGCGGCTATGCTATCTATATAAGTCTACTATACAATGGTTTTATAATGCGTCACATATTCAAAAAAAATATAAAAAAAATTTTGTTTAGTTGAGCACAATGAAAACATTTTATCATTTAGTAGTTTAATAAATCCTAAGCCACTAAAGTGTAAACCATATTCTAGAAAATCGTTTGCATGCTTCGAAGAGCACACACAAATGGGACACTACCGTATCTCAGAAACTATAGGGGATGGAGCCAAGTTGAATTCAAAAGGTAATTGGGGTATTACAAATCTTGAATTTATTTTAATGTAATATATACAGGGTGTTGCGTGAGCGAGTATCAACTTTCCTATTTTAAAAGTAACACCTGGTATATTACTTCATTTTTAAATTCTAAACAACATGTTTAAAAAAGTTCAAGAAGGCTTACTAACGCGCTCTCTACATGCGGTAGGTGATTGGTAGAAAATTTAGAGTATAGGTTCATTCCATACAGTAAAAAGCTCCATTAATGCTGAATGTGTAATATTATAAAAGGTTGCCCAAGTAATAGGCCGTTTTGTAATTTCAATTTTCGGTTTCTGAAAGCAATTTTACATGTTCTTCTTCGTTCACTAGTAGTCGTATTGTCGTTTTCATTATTGAAAGAATTTTCCTCAGATTCCAGATTTTGGACATCTATACCAATACTATTATTACCTAGTTTTGTGTGATTGAAGGAATGTAGTATGCAAAAAGTATAATGTAAAATCTCTGAATTCATTATAATAGTTGTTACTTAAACTGAATTTGTCATATGTCACACATTTGATAAAGACACGGTATTGTCGAAACAATTGTCATGTCATAATATATAATTTCGTGAAAATCTGAACTTTTAGTTTAGTTATTTTGATAAATGGATTTTCATCAAGTAAAAGCCACCGCAGTTCAATATCAGCCCTTCAAGAATTCCATTTTGCTAGTTGGGATGTTTGAGGTTCAAGATTTCGTCAATGAAGGTCATTCTGAAAAGATAAAAACAAATGGAATTCTAACTAAATAAAACATGAAAAACATCTTGTAGTTATTATGTAAATCTCGATCGAACTGGAAAATAACCAGCCCAGTGTCACGGTCGATAATGGTGGCGGAGAGGTGAATAAAAACACGCTCCGGAAAGCCCTCTGGGAAACTGGAATCCAAGACGGAAGGCAACGGAATCAAGAGAAAGGAGCGGGATCAGAGAGGCTTGGTAAAAAAGCGGGAGCCTACCACCTAAACCGTAGATGTTGATTGCGGATTGCTCCTGGTATAGGTATTAGAAGAACTGCTAATCATACAAAAATTACTTCTGGGAAACTTTACTTCAACCACCTTTTTTGATTCTGGATTCCCTCTCAAAAATCACATGGAGAGTGTTCCCAAAAAACCCAATCAACCTCCTAAATTTATATCATGAAAACCCTTAGTTGCCTGTCCTCTGGCGTTACACCATAAAATTAACAAAAATAATGCAACAAACTCAAAAATTAGTTTAAAATTGATACTACAATATTCGTGACTAAACCGAAATGTACTTACCTCCGGACGGCTTCGACGATATCTTTGTACGCCCTCGCAGCCTTGATCGCGTCGTTCGACTCGAACTGACTTTCGGAGAGAATGTGTTGCAGTTTCTGCACAGTGTCCGACAAATTGACAGCGTGTTCCTGTACTTTGGGCCGCAGCCGTTTTATCTGTTCGATTTCTTGCTCGTTGTTGTCGAGTCGCGCCAAGAACTCGTTGTTTCTGGTCTCCAAATCGTCGGGAGTTACTTGAAGCGCTTTGAGTTTCCCTATTGCCACCTCTATCAAGTCCGACGCGTTCGCCAGCAGCGCTTCCGACTCGTCGAGGTTTACTTTTGATTGCCCGATTTGATTTTGTATGTTGCTCAGTTTGACTTTGAGGCGGTCCTTTCTATAAAGCGAAAGGAACCGTTTAAAACGACAATGGAAATTAATGATAAACCGATCGACAAAAGAAGTTTACAGCCTCGTTTCAATCATTTAAAAGCTATTTTTAAGTTTCGACTGTGATTTTCTATGCCTTGCATTGTTTGTTCTCACCCGTTAGTTTGATAAATGATCGTGAATAAATTTCATCAAATTTTTTACACAATATAATTTGTCATTCGGGGAGAACCTGCAATATCATCATATGCATTTCTAAATATATATTAAAATCAAGACTTTTTTTTTGGGTATATATTATGGTCCGTTACGTAAAACAAACGAAGAAAGTTTCTAATTCATAATAAATTTATTAAACGTTTCGACCGGTCTATTCGATCTTTTTCAAAAAATATCTAAAAAATTGACAGGGTTTTATACAAGGCAACGAGAACGAAAGTAATAAAACTTATCCTAATTTTAAAATCGATGTAGACATAAAAACATTTAGATACAACACACGACGGCACGATTTAAAATTGTAGAAATAAAAGTGTAGATATGAAATTGTAAAACAGGAATGTAAACGGTGTAAATATTGACAATAACAATTTGCATGCGCGTGTCTGCGAATCTATCGTGCGGACTGAGATATCAATTGGCATGCGAAGCAGATCTACGAAAGTACGTTTGTTTTCCCAGCGATGTTATTTATTTACTTCATTTTTTACTTTAGATTTAATTTTATACCAGCTACCCTTATTTATTTAGTTTTTAGATTATATTTTATATTTAAATCAGAATTGTATGGTAAATTTTACTAAGGCCTTTTGTATCGGTTTTAAAGTTTATCGATTTATTGTTTTTTTGAATTTCTATCGATTCGTAGAGTTCTCTTTTCTTAGTATTAGGCTCTGTTTGCAGTATCTTTACATTTTGAAAATCGAATGAATGTTTAGTTTCACTACAGTGTGTATGAATAGCTGTTTTGTTGGTTTTGTCAAATTTGTGTCTATTCATTCTATTTTTGAGATACTGACTCGTTTGTCCAATGTACACACTGTGGCAACCCGAACATGGAATTTCATATACTATGTTACTTCTTTTTTCATCTGATATTTTTGCTTTAATTTTAGAGAAAAATTGAAAATGAAGTAAATAAATAACATCGCCGGGAAAAATGCGTACTTTCGTAGTTCTGCTTCGCATGCAAATTGATATCTCAGTCCGCACGATAGATTCGCAGACACGCGCATGCAAATTGTTATTGTCAATATTTACATCGTTTATATTTCTATTTTACAATTTTATATCTACAGTTTTATTTCTACAATTTTAAATCGTGCCGTCGTGTGTTGTATCTAAATGTTTTTATTTCTACATTGATTTTAAAATTAGGGTTAGTTTTATTGTTCTCGTTCTCGTTGCCTTGTATAAACCCCTATCTATTTTTTAGATATTTTTGAAAAAGACCAAATACACCGGTCGAAACGTTAAATAAATTTATTATGAATTAGAAACTTTCTTCTTTTGTTTTACGTAATGGACCAAAAAAAAAGTCTTGATTTTAACATATACAGAACGGTCCAAGAAGAAAAAACCAATATTCCAATAATTATATATATATATATATATATATATATATATATATATATATATATATATATATATATATATATAGGGTTATAAATTTAAATTTAACAAGAGAGGCGCACTTAAATCCAATTTGTCATTAAGTAATATATAACTTCAGTATAATATTCCGTTTTTTGCTTTTTGATTGATTATTAAAAAATATAAAAAATCAAAATTATCGTCAAACTAAATTTAACTGAATAACATAGTTAGAATAAGAACTTTATTTTTATACGCCCTTTTATGTTCGTTAATTTTCTTAAATGTTCTAGCTGTTTGTCCGATATAAATTTTGGGACATGATCCACATTTAAACTTGTAGAATTTTTCGTGATTTAGTTTTTAGATAGATGTTTTCAAATTTTCTTGCTAGATTTACATATGTATTTTATCGTTTTATAAATTTTGGGTTCGGTATTTAAAGTGAGATAGATAGAGTTCAGAGTTATTTGAAACTGCTTTTTAGTTACAATCTTATCTATCAAAGAGCGGTCCGAACCATGGTTAAAAACTATTTGTTTTATATTTAATTATTTTTCAATTTTTTTTGCGGAAAGTGGTATATAAAGTAGTCTGTAGATAAAAGCATAAAAGGCAGTCAATTTGTGTGTGTGAGGGTGATTTGAGTTATTATGTATTATTGTGTCCGTGTGTGAGGGTTTATGGTATATGGAAACATCTAATTTGTTCTTTAGTTTAGTTATAGTTATGTCCAGATTGTTTAAAGAGTTATCTAGTTCCGTCTCTATGGTAAATTTTATACGGTTATGTATGGAGTTAATATGATTCAAACAGGACTGCAGTTGTCTTTCCGTTCCAGTGAAATAAGAAAAAACGCATCTGCGCGTCTAATTGTCCATGAGAATTTCCGCAAGTAGTGGACTTAGTGGGTTTCCCATAATTAATCATTCTTTGGAAATATAAAGTTGACTATTAAATTGAAAATATTTTTTTAATTTATAAAATACTTTAAGTTCGTCTTAATCACCCCGCTTGTAAATGCCTCTCGACTTACACCACCTACATACTTCACATCTCTATTATGCTGTTGTATAAGTGTTAACTTAACGCCTTGCAAGGGACGTGCATGCAATTTTTACCGGGCGGTGCTATGTTTCAGGACAAGTCTAGGGATTTCTGTGTTACCAACTCACTGTTTGATATTGGTATTCATGTTTTAAGTGTGAGACTTGCATGTTGTTAAGCAACATGCAACATCGAACTGTTTGATCTAAAAACACATTGGAAAGACGGAGAATATCGCTTCAGTTATTGTGAGACGCCAAATAATAGATTTAAATTTTTATATTTTAAATAACCATTTTGGCCAATAAAAAAAACGTTTTCATTAATTTGTTTAATGAATATAAGAAACAATATATTCTGAACCAAATAGCTAAAGGATAATTGACTCGCCAAATCGGTAACGCTAATCTATTTACATTTTCTTATTATTGTAGGGTACACTCGTACCGCGTGCAAATAAATAACTTATAAAAACCAACGTCAACGTAAAACTCTTGACACCTGCGCTATTTCGTTCGCACTTTGCACTCCTCCTTCAACTTCCACTTAATCAGCTCCATGCAAGTGATAGCGTCCTCGGCACTGTCGTGTCCGCTAACGTCATTTTGAATAATTTTTTTCAAATATTCACTGGCTAACGCGCGCAACGCGCGTTTGTGAGGCAGGCCCATTTTATGCGGAAACAATATCGACGTATCGATGACAGAACTGTGAACTATTTTTAACGCCTTCATGTCCGACTCCAAACTGTGTCCGGCCAAAATCGTCTCCGAGTTGCACAAATGTAGAATATTGGCCTGAACCTGTAATATACTCGTACTGGTCCTGTCCATTTGTTCCTTTGTGATACCAGAAAACCGAGTGTTGTAATCGACGATCGGATTTAGCGGTTTCACCAAACTTTCGTAGATGGTTTTGCAGTCGGCATCCACTATCGTCACTCTGGTCAACTCCAGACCTTTGGTCGTGTAACACATTTCGCAGTCCAGCGCGTAGACCGCGCAACTCCTGGGGTCGTTCTCTCTTTCCGGGGGTAGAGTGGTTTGGTAGCCTTCGAGCTGATGGCTCGCCGATCCCTCACAAACGTGAGTGTCGGACGTCACACACCCGGTGTCATCGGTACTTTTACAGCATAAGAATACTTGTTCGCCTCTAATCGTCCGTTTTTTGAGCGGATGATACATGCACTCCTCCTCGAATAATGGCCAGCCGTCATCATCGACCTGATAGATTTTCGAACACCTACAAGAAAATATGCTGGAATAGATTACTGTCTAAAAAGCAAAAGTTCAGAATAATTTTTAAAAGAACAATCTTACATCTTCAGAAGTTTGCGCATATAACTTTTTTACATTTTGCCTAAAAAAACAGCAAATGCATTGAATACAAAAATAAGTGAATTAGAATACTTTCTTCTTTAAATTCTAACATTATTAAAATAATTGATATGTAATATTTTGAAAAGGTCCCTTCAAGATGAGCATGCGCAAGATTTAAAATTTCGTTTTTAAGCAATGGCAGCTTTAATTGCAAATTCTGATTTTCTATCCATAAGGCATTGCGGCTTCCAACAACCAACATGGCCGCTGGCAGGTCGTTGAACGCCAATAAGTATGTGGAAATCCCATTAAATTTTCAGGTAAAAAAGGAATTAAGGTGTGGAAAACGTTGGTAAAAAAAAGCGACAAATGGAGGGTTAATATTATTAGTATATATATAGTTAGTATTACAGCACACGAATCGGCGCCCTTGGTATAATTCTGTAAGTAATTTGACTATAGACATGATACCAGCTATTTTTTCCCGATTTTGTGCCTGTGAATCGGTGCAAACCCTTTTTTTTTAATACATTTATAGATTCAACCTCTATTGCAAATGTAAATAAAGTCGAAATTACGAAATGTGGCTCTATATAACTTTGAGGTACTAAATATCGCACAGGAAACATCCAACTTTAAAAAATGTTCAACAAGTATCTCTTATAGACAGAATGCTCATTCCTTCATGGCAAGTCTAGCAATTGCAGTTTCGCCTTCCAAATATATACTTATGAAAAGTGTCTATGGACAATTTGGTTACAAAAACTGTAGGTCTTGCAAAATATAACCAAGAAAATTAGAAACTAGTATAAAACAAGTCAATAAACAATTAGTCCTAAGTTTAAGAGAACTGCACAGAAATTAGTTTTAGAGAATTAATAAATTAATATAATTAAACAACATCCTCATTTCCCTTGTTTCTAATATTGGGATTATGGATTTCTCACCCACAAGTTATTATATATTAACCAAAAAATTTGTAGAAGTTTGTCCAGTTAACAAACGCTAAAAAATAGATAATCACAAACACCGCACATAAAATCGCACAGTATTCTGTGACATTACCGCCAACTTGGCTTGGCGTTGCCAATTTTTTAATTATTTATTTCATATTTAATATTATTAAAAATTCCAGGTGGCTGTGAATCTTATGTATTGTAACTGTAAACGTCAGTTAAATTAATTTTGAGTCTTCATTTTCGTGTGTTACATTAAATTACTGTTCAAGATATAATATTTACGTTTTCTAACGAAGACTTTGCTTAAGGATTGTGTAATGGAAACAGACGAGCGGCACTTGATGAGTATCGTCGACGATTTCCCACTCGTAAAGTCCCTTGTAGAACTGTTTTTAGCAATGTCTATTGACATTTGAGAGAAACAGGCAATCCAAGGATTTGTCGGATAATATTATTGAGTGATGAACACTACACCAATAATTCACATTGTTGGGCACTTGAAAATATACGACAAACTCATTTTCAAGATAGATAGATAGAATGGTTTGGATTTATTGATGACCGCCTCATTGGTTCGTTTAATATAAAATATAAATAAATATAAAAAATAAAATAAAAAGTGAAGGGGTTTCTTTTAAATGATCTTTAAAATTTCAAATGCTTGTAGCTCAGTTAGAATAGCGTTTAGGGTATATGTTCATTTGACATTTTAAAGTTGAAATCGCCCCAGTAACATCGAAGCTATGGCAATCATGTCGCGGGACACCCTGTATATCAATTACAATACATATGTAGAGATAAGGATCCATCGGTAGCTATTAACATTTGCTTCAAAATTAGTTAGGTACAAGTTAATCAGTTAACAGAAGATTAAAAGTAGATATGATTTACTAATATCAATAATTATTTTCTATTTCTATTTCTTTTTGGTGGGATTTGGGTTATTTGTTTGCAAAAAATCATGGCCAAGCATTTTTTACTATTATTAATATTTACTTTTGTAAATATATAACTAAATAAACTTATATAGTTTGCTATCAAATATTATTCATAAGGAGGAATATCTTTTTGTTTGTTAATTAAATTACAAACTATTTAATGTAATATTGTAATATATTTGACTTGCAATATTCAGTCATATCGACCCTATCCTTCTTAATTAGCCACCATGAATATTTTTTTATAGAATAAAAAGTTGATTGAATGAAATCTTTTTTTTTTTTAAAAAGGAGTCTATGATGCCTGCCAGAAGCTCCAAAAATCCGATATGCTTAAATTAAGAAATCTTCAACAGCGTATGTCAAAAACAATAGTTACCTGCTACATTTTCTCAAATTCTCATCCACAATAGAATAGTCCACGTCTTTTTGATTATTAATGACCGCCTTCCCCTTCTCCCTGCTCTCTCTAGGATAACCGTGCAAGTCCAGTTCATCTTCCGTCAACACCCACTTCTTGACGTGATCATAAAACATTCTCCCCCTGAAAATCGAACCTTTATCCGCGGACGTCGACTCGCCGCTCATCAGGGGCCCCAAAAACCGATTTTCCCGCTCCTGGATCTCCTTCCTCAGCCTGTTTACCGCGAGCATCGCCGAATTCCTGTAGGTCGTGAGAACAGTGCATTTTTCGTAACACGAAAACTCCTCGTTCAACGCTCTGGTGTATGCGTCCTGTTTGGCCGCGTAGAGTTTGCAACATTCCTCGACTATCATCGTCAAAAATCGGGTTCTAACGTTAACCGGCAGCTTCGATTTGTCCGCCTGCAAAACGTCGGGTATGTCTGGCAAAGAAACTTCCGGTACGTGAGCCACCCGACCGCTTTTCTGGGTTTGAGCCACGGTCCTCGGAGGCTCGAGCCTGCGCTGCTTTATCAATGAAATCCGCTCTTTCGCTTTCTCGATCAACGCGACGTTCGGTACGGCAGCGATCTTCTTTACCGGCAGTTTAACTTTCGAGACGCCCGGCTTATGAGCCCCATTCAATATGTCGTCCACGACGTTGGTCGACGGCTTCTGCGCGGCGGCTTTCTCCGCCTGCTTTTGACGCTCCAATCTGCGCAGCTTGTGCATCCGAGCCGCTTCTAACAGACTCGGGGCCGAACGTATCGCCGTGATCTGTCTCACTTCGTTCATGATGTTCTCCTGTTCGTTGTTTGCCTGTGCCAGTTTCGCAATTTTGTACCGGTTGCTCATAATTTGACCGGGCGTTATTACAGGTTTCGTTTTGACAGCGGCCGGTAGAGGGAGCAGCTTCGAATTTTCAGCGCCGCTATGAGCGATACGCTTCCTAATCGACGCTGACTGAAAATTACAAACCGGGTGGATATGACTAAACAGAAGGAAATTAAGATCAAATCGAGGGGTAAACCGTGGTGTACCAAGAGAAAATGGGAGAATGTTTTATTACCAATAATGTTGCAAAGCTAAGATAAATTCGATTGTGAATGTCAATAACTTTCAACACATTTCGTCAAACTTGGAGTGGTTTTTTTTTGGCTATCGATGGTGCCTTGAGTAAATTGATTTAGATTGCTTGTATCTCCGCCAGAAGGCGTTTTATGAGGTCACTGTAAGTAAAATTTTGTAAAAATAAAAAAGTAAATGCAACGATATCACTTTTATTGCAAAGGAAGATAGCCAAATAAGGATCTAGTTAAAATCGCATTTGAATATCTCTTTCCTAATATACTTTTGGTATAACTGCTAGACAACAATAACAAGATTGAATTCCAAATCTCGTATTTTAAAGAAGTTGCTTTGGAGTTTCTTATCCTAGAGAAACGCATTTTTTTCTATAGTGCTCCTGCGGGCCACTATGGAGATTTCGCAAAATCAATATAATTTCATATATCTGTATAAAGTGTCTTTCACTTATCGCCGAACTTCAAAGTCAAGGCAAACTGTGATAATTATTAAAATTTGAACAAGTAGTAACAATTTCCAATGATATTTTTTCAAATATCTCGCGCATCCTGTATAATAGACGAAAAGTGAAACTCTTTTTCCACACAATTTACGATACTGTATGAACCAAATTATCCCACATTTTTTAATTTGTTTATTAATGGCTAATAATTTACCAAAGATAATGGCAATTTTCAGGATCTTTTTGAATTTTTGCCCATAATCGACACACCCTGTAGATAATTGAAAAAAATGCCGTATAGTTCATAGCCTCGGATCTCCCACATTTCCTAGTCCATAAATTTTTCAAATAGAGTAAATGGTTTTTGAGAAAATAATTTTTATTCTGAAACTATTCGGACGCGGAATGGTGATTTTCATATAGATTTTTTTAAATATCTCGACCGGAGTATATGATACCTGAAAATAGTAAATTAAATACAAAAATTGTAGCTCTTAATGCGGCCTATAATACTGTTTTTTAAATTACTAAGAAAAAGAAAAAATTTCAGGGTCTTTCGCGTCTCTTGGTTGGTTTTCTGGAAGCCAAAACAACTAATAAATAAAAAAAAAAGATTTCACTTGATTTGATTGTGTTCAATTTCTAGAGTTTAGATGTAGGATGAACTTCTACTTCTTTGCTAAATTTGAAGTCGATAGCTGCAAATTCGACACACCTACTACATTTTTGGATATAGCACAGAATATCCCGAACTCCCTGTACAACATGTGAAAACCTAATACAAAATACAAATACAAAAAATTAAATACAAAAGTTTTAGCCGTCTACATGGCCATGTATTAGAAACGACAACTGAAATACAGCCTTCTAGTTATGGTCAATTGTTATTATAAGGAGAACCCAATTTTCAGTTTTTTGCGAATACCGCGCACACCCTGTATAATTTTGAAAATTACCAAGAAAGTTTTAGCACTGGATCTTGCGCATCTTTTGGTTCAATTACTTTTTTGTTTTCAGATTTCACTAGCATGTAAGACTCTTATATGGCTATCTTTTGTTGCAATAAAAGTGATATAGTTGCATCTAATTTGAGAAAATAAATGTTATTTGTAGTGTGTAGTGTAGTATACATTCATTAGTTATCAGTAAAAAACGGAATTTAAAATTCTAGAAACTTAAAAATAATTTCCTGCCTTTTCTCTTGGTCGCTAAGTAATTCCATTTTCCATTTTCTTTTCTGTTTTTTTCCATTTTCTTTTCGAGATAGTAGTAGAGCAGTTAGTTATATTAGTTGAAGTATTTGTGACATCAGTTGAGGGATTACTAGAATTAGTCTAGCAAATAGTGAATTTTGTCGAAAATAAAAAATATGAATTACAATAGTACACTAAAAAAATTATTCTTAACAAAAACTTAATTAATATGAAAGTGAATTAAAAAATTATATAAGCTGAGGCAACAATCTCCATTTTGACTATTATATTTTGTGGTTTCTTAGTTATAATATAAACTAATAACTAAAGATACATTTTTTTTGATTTGTTTAAAAAATAAACTCCAAACTAGTGATGAACCTACCAACCTGGGAAACACTTTCTGTTCATATCCTCTGATAATGTCATAAATTACAAACCTAATACCTTTCCATTTCCGAAACTGTTTTTAAACTTATCTACCATAATTTTTTTTTAACAAAAACTTGGCATGGGCATTATTTGGTTTTAAAGGAATTAGTGGGTATTAGAGGTATTAATAAGAGAATTAATGTAGTTATCTAAAATTGGAAATTTCTAGGAACTGATGTACACGTTTTTGATTGCAGTTTACCCTTTGGATGAAATTAACTTACATGGTATTCATCCTCACTTAAAAGACTTTTGTCTGTTTCTTCAGTCTTTGGGGATGAGAGCCTCAAGGGTTTAGGCTTATATTCGTTAAATATCCTAAAACATTCTCTCATTGTTTCATCTTCATCATCCAAGTCTAAGTCGACATCAGACAGTCCTAGTTCATTAGTGTCCATTGAAATTAGTTCATTGTCATTATCACTATCACATCCAGTCGATTTATGTGGTCTCTCACTGTTAACTTTAGTAGCAGACTTTTTCTTAGCACTACGTTTATCACCATCACGATCAGAATGACTGTTTCTATGCCTAGCGGTGCTTCGTTCACTTTCACTCCCAGAACTGCGCGATTTTTTTCGCGGTTTTTCACCGCTTTCTTTTTTCCTTTTATGACTTCCTCTTTCTTTTTCCCTAGTTTTGCTTCTCCTCCTGCTACGACTACGCTTTTTATGTTTTTGCTGGCTACCGCTTCCACTTCTATCCCTTCTATTCGGCTGATCACTGTCACTGTTATCACTAGAACTATTTTTATTATTGCTTTTATCCTCCTTTGGACTTTTATCCCGATTTTGACTTTTACGCTCATGTTTCTGATTAGGCTTGCTTTCCCTTTTTTCCTCTTTACGATGTTTTTCACGTTCGTGAGATTTGGAGTCCCGCTTTTTTTCATCCTTAACTTTGACTTTGAAGAGGGACCTCTCAGAACTATTCTTTTGATCTTGAGAGATCGTTTTAGTTTTAAGTTTTTCCACTTTCTTGTCAGTATTGCTAGCTTTTTTATCACTTTTATCATTAGGCCTTTTCTCAGTTTTGTTGGGAGAGCTTTCACTAAACAAATGTAGTACATCAGCTTCTGATTTTTTAACATCTTTTCCATTGCTTTCCTTCTTTACATTTACAGGTTCACCACTTTCACGTTTTACCTTTTTGTCCCCACCGTTGGTTTCTATTGCAACTTTTTCATTTTTAATTATTTTCTCAATGTTGGAATCAGTATTTAAATCATTTTTTAACAGCAGATTTAAGCGATTCTGTTCCTTTTTTATATCACTATTAATCTTGGTCAAATTTTCTGATATTAAGGTCTCAGGCTCTGCATGATCAGACTCATCTTCATTAATAATCTCATCTATTAAATCAAATTCACTAGACAGATCTTCAAAGTTAATTTCAGACTTCTGAGGATCATACTCATTATTGGCAATGTTTTGTTGTATATCTTTGATTGTTTCCTGTTGCTTTTCATTGTGTGCAGACAAAGCATTTTTATTACTTGCTGAAGAAAGTAAACTTAAAGGTGTTGGCTTATAAGTTGGTTTTTCAAATTTTGGAAAAGTTCTTAATGGTCGATCATTCCTAAAGGCCAGGTCAGGTACATAACTTATTGGTATGTGCGTTTTATTTTGAATATTCTCCAATTCACTTTTAGGTGTAGGTTTGTAAACAGGTACATTCGATTTAGACGTTTCAGCAACAGGTTCATCTATATTTTCAGCAGGTCTTTTCCTATGTCGAAAATGACAGTAAGGCCGACCGCAGGGTGTATCGTTAAAAGGGCACTCGATGTCTTGAAAATATCCTTTCGTCGGCAACATTGTTTTACTCTATATTTTTATTTAATGTTTAGATCTCAATATCCAAATAACTGTTGATGTTAAAAAACCCTTTCAATAACCTCAATTTAATCGCCACTGTCATGAGTGACAGTACCATTGAAAAAAATTTCGTATTTCTACTGGCCAACATTATCAGAATCATTCACCGATTAAAAAATGAACAAAATCCACCATCCTTAAATCCGATTATGTAACGGCCTGATAATCACCGTTTATTTTTTTTTAATCTCGACTAATTTTTTATGGTGTAAAGAAAAATGAATATAGACAAGGAAAAAAATTAAAATATCACACCTTCAAACCGCCACCAATTTTCTTACGCAAATAAATTAACAAACTTCAGCTTCAATTATTTTTCAGCACCGACAAATTATCTTATAAAGCTAAACATCTGTCTGGCAAATGAGATAAGTTATATTTAAATACCCGGAAGACCTTCGGCAGCGGGGAATGACTTGGTTTAATTTTATCTGTGCCTACATAGGTTAACAGAGAAAATACTGTATGGCTAAACAGATTAAGTTGCTGTACTCAGTAGCTGCTTACCATAAGTAACTAATGACACATCCATTCCGAAAATTTAATGTTGCTCCACATTACTAGTGCAATGACCAATAATTAACAAAGAACAATTTGAAAATTTCATTTATAATGGATATATTTACTATTGAAGAAGCCCAAAACGCAACTGAAATAAACCAGGTGACGTCACTGCAGCAGGACTCGCTCTCACGCAAATAATTACACAAACATTTATTATTTCTGTTAAATTGTATTTGCTGAGTGGTCTGTGTTCGAAAATGCCTGGACCACAAGTGCTGAAATTTAAGTGTCTGTTCGATTTCATCTTTTAATCTTACTAAATTTTGCGGCATAGTGAATTCAATATTTACGTCACTAAAACTTGGTTTATCGATTTACTTACCCAGAGGTTGCATTATTGATATTCGGTTGTTCAAGAAAGTAAGCAAAATACTTACCTCTGTATCAATACTTAATATCAACACTACTACGTAACTTTAACACAAAAACTTCTGGGCGGATTCTCTATTTTATTTATTCCATTTCGGAAAATGGGGCACCAATCCTATTTTAATTTAAAATGGCCGAGAACGGGGCCATTTACCACTTACAAAATTTTGTTTTTTTTACAAACCTTCCCTAAGGAAATAAAAATTAAATCAAATCATTTTGTTGGTAGATTAAAATGGGTATACTTGCTCCATCTAGTATGCCATACTTATGTGGTATTCTGTGGGTACCATACGTTGTTTAACTTTAACTTTAGTGGCCATTTGAACCAACTATTTGCATAATTACACACTTATTGTTCTTGTAAAATAGTGTTCCGTTTCCAAAATAACCTTTTGGGGACAGTTATATATTTATTCTTCATTAGTTAAGATCGTAAGTAAGAGACGTAAGTGCTCCAAATATGGTATTCTGATAACCGGTTTTAACTGTTGATTTGAAGTACATGCTTTTGGGCTGGAACGACGTGCGAACAACATCCATATATTTGTATTTGGTTTCGTGCATTTTGGCACAAGTTAAATAGAATTTTGATCTAAATTTTTGGCACCAGAACTCGGCAAAACATTATCTTCAAAACTGCACACTTACCGTTTCCTAACTGAAACTTTAAAAACCGTTTTGGATGGGAAATGCATGGTAAATTTCTACTATGCTCACGTCCATTCGAGATTACTCTATGGTATTCCCTTTTGGGGAAATTCAAGTCATGCGATATGTGTTTTCAAATCCCAAAAGAAAGTTCTATGGTGTTTAAAATAATTCCTTTCGCGTGTATATAGATATTATAAGTTTGTTTATGGGTGCATAAAAATAAAAATAACTTACAAAAAAATGGAGATTTTCACGACTATAATACGCTTAACAAAGACTGTTTTTCTGTAAAAAAAATGGACTAGAATATTTTAAAAACTATTTTACGAACACCGGTGTTAGAGTCTATAATAAACTTCTCCCAGAGCTAAAACCCAGTAGTAATATAAACATTTTTAAATTCATACTAAATTTTTTTTCTACTACAAAACTGTTTTTATAATTCAAATAAATATTTTACTTATTAATGTTTGTTGGAGTTCTTTAACGATATACCGTTTGTACAACCTTTTATGGTTTTGACTTCGGATTGAGTCTAAGACCGAAATGTTGTAAAGTGGAAGGGACCATTCTTTTCCGCACGTGTACCACCAGCCAGGGCCGCATTTAAGATATTAGCCGACAAGAACTGTGCCGTGTGGACTGTTGTATTTTAGGAGTAGGATTTAAAAATAAGATTCGATTTTTCACTGCATGGACTCATAATAATCGAGGAATCTCACTAATGAAACTCTACACAAATCCATTAGCTGCCAGCATTCTCATGCACGAAGTATCGAAGTACGGTTCTGGGACGTCATTGTGGAATTGGGAATCTATTTATTGAGGGTTACAAAGAGAAACCCAAGCGAGCTAGGCCTGTGGTTAGACCTTCATAAAAATTTACCTAAGTTAAAGACCGGATTAATGCCGTAAAAACGGTTTATCGTTTGGAGAACTCTATAGCTGCATTGTTGTGCTCTGTCACATATTTTTATTATATAATTTTTTAATGTGATTTATATTGTGTACCTAATTTTGACCTACTTACCATAATACACTGATTGTATTCTAAAAATGTGGGATAATGAATTATATATGATTATTACAAGAAAAATGTGGTTTTCATTTCTCCACTATGTCATTCAACTCGATGGTTTTATTTGTTAGTGCCAACCGCCTTAGCTACAATGTTGGACAATTTTTGGGGAAACGCTGCCACCAGAGAGCCTGTATATACTTACCTTATACTGATATTAACAATTTTATTTCACGTGCGAACTCAATTGCATTTTAAAAATTTAATCCCGTTTTCGGTTGCAGATGTCATACTTACCCGTTCCTACTAAAAATGTTTTGCGCTTCACCCGCCATGTTTAACGAGTACTGTGTGTGATTGTACAAATCGTCTAGCTTCTCATTGAACTCCTTAATATCCCCCTTAATCTCTTCCACTTGTTTCTGCAAGTCGTCGACTGGAATTTGATATTCCGTCACGTTTTTTAACAACTCCTTGACCTTTCCCAATTGTTTGTTTGTGTTAGTTTCCTGCTCGGTTAAATTGTATTGCTTGATTGCGTCTAGATCTGCCTGACCTTCTTGGAGGGCTTTATCTATTTCGTTTCCTGCAAATAATAGCGTCGCATTTTGGTCGTGTGTTATTTTTATTTATGTTCCCGCGCACCTCCTTTGTCGTTAAGTTCACTGGTTATATTCTCAATGTGTTGCAGTGCCCGAATGGAGTAATCCTCAGCGTCGATTAGTTCGTCCAGCAACACCTCCGCCAAATCCTTAAGTCTCATCGACTCGTTCCTCAGATCTTCGCTGTTCTCCAAGGAATAGTTAGATCTTCGGTTTAAATTTTTTGCGTCCATTTCCAAACTTTCCAACTCCTGCAGCGGGCCGCGCAAACTAACTTGCTGCGGATCGATCTCGTCAAATTTAGGTTTAAGTTTCTCCAATTGTTCTCTTAAGTTGTCCAGTCTTCGACGTGTGAAATATCCCGATTGAGTGGACTACAATGGTCAGTGCAATTAGAGTCGTGAATGGATCATGACAAGGTTTCCTACTCACGTCGAATTCGATAATGATCGGGTCAATCATGGTCGCAAGCGCGTCAGTCTCGTCCAGAAGTGCGTGGTGACAAGTGTCGCATTCGTGGCATCCTATATCTTGCACAAAGACCCATCGATGGGGGCATTGGTCGCATTTTTCTCCCAACACACCGGGCAGGCATTCGCACTGGCCCGTTAACGCGTTGCAACCGACTCCTAGCGAGTATTCACTCTTGCAACCGCAAGCTGAAAAATTACAGATAGAGATTAAATGTATGATACAAAACAAAGTACCACGTATAGTTATGTTGTCAGCTACATATTCTGGAAACGAATTAAAAAAAATAGAGGACCAAAACGCTTAATAAGCTAGTGAGTGATTGATGCTTAACACATTTGACCCATCAACATTACATAGTTAGGCTTATATGTGTATCTTAATCTGGTTTACCCCATCACATATTATCATCTTCCTCAATCTTGAAGCTGATGGTAACAAAAATATTGTAGAATCTTATATTGACAACTTGACGGATAGTTTTTTTTATAGTGACTTTTAAGAATGTTCTCATACCATTTGTATGTAGCCACATATTTAAGTGCTTGTTGTTTGTATTTAGATTAGGATGATAATTTTATTTTAGTCTGCGTCTTAGACCTTTAACAGTTGATAGTACTTTGAAAACACACTGAAGTTTATATAACTATAGACCAACGCCCGTATCTCAAACTATAGTTTATAGTCAGTCAGATGCTCTCTTATTATGATTCATAAAAAAACAAGGAGGCACCACACCATTGTTTTCGCGTAGGACAAAGATCAAAAATTTCTTTTTATTATTAATTTTGTCATTTTGACTTGTCAGGTTGACGTTGCACGCAAATTTATCCCACTACGTATATTTGTGTCGTGCCTCTTTTCAGCAGTGGTAGATATGTATGTGTTTAATTTATTTATCAAAGTAATCAAAAAACCTTGAGAGTTTGTTTTTGTCGCATAATAAGTCAGCTTCAGGCTATTGGCATATTTATGTGTCTTTAGTTGTTACTACCAACTATTCAAGTCTTGCTACAGTGGACTGAAATAATACTAATTCTTCTTGCAGTGTAACAACGATAACCGATCATGTTCGCGCTCAGATTTATTATTGCTGTGTTATTGACTGCTGCAAGGAATAATTCTCGCAGGTTCCTGGCAATTTTTCCCTGCATTATCAAACGAAGGAGTTTGTATTTTTTTGGGTGTTTCATTATGTGACGAAAGCACTCCATCTTCTCCAATATCTTATTCACTTGAAGGAGTACGTCGCTGTTTCTTAGTTTTTCCACCCAGTTGATTTTCAGCAAATGATTATCCTCTTAAGCGTGTGTCTGTTATTGTTCAACCTTCAAGAACAGAGCAGACGCAACATTTTACCGACATTCTTGTAAGTTGTTATCTTAGATCGTGACTGCACAGAACATTCCTTATCCCTACGAATGCCGCCCCCTCTCTATCCAATAGACGGGTCCTAGTGTATAAAGTTGTACCATTAATGGCTATGCCGTCTCTTGGGTCAGTTTGCGGAGGATCATATTTTTTAGTCAGTTACTTTTTGTTAGTGCAAAATTTAGACCAAATTATTCACTATTCTCTGTAAGTGTGTTCAATCAGATTTGGTTCTCACTACTGTTTGTCAGTATTAACGTATTATCGCTTGTTGTTAATTCTTTCGATAGCTTCAGCAAAGAGTTTGTTGAATATATCCTCCGAATATATGTTGAAAATTAATGAAGATAAGATGCAGGCGAACACTCTTCTTTATACTAATTGGATGCTGTCCCAATCTTGTATTTGTATTATCTTTTCATGTTTGACTTTTTCAAAAGCCCTATTAAAGTCAACTGCGCAGAGAAACACGGTCTGATTGATATCTCTTAAGAGTGTGATTATTCAAGCCCTTGGTGCCCTTGATGCTTTTCTTTTCTTTGGGTATCATTACAAAGGTTGATCTCAGCCAGTGTGTTGGTATTTCTCCAGTGTCGTAAATATTGTCAAATAGTTTCGTCGGAGAATATGTTCGGTTGTTCCCAACCACAAAGGAGTCCGAACTTTTACCCTAACTTTTAATTGGTTTGTTTGTTATATTTTCGTTTCTCGTACAAATAACATTGTTATTACTTACATATACATCCCTCCGATGTGTAATTCCAAAAGCCGGCGGCGCATCGATCGCAAGCCCTGCCGGTCACACCGGGACGACATATGCACTGACCGGTAACGTCGTGGCAACGATTGCCGGTTGATGCCGTGCCACAATCGCACCTCACGCATCCCATGCCCGAATCGAATCCGTAATGTTCAAGCTCACACCTGTCGCATTTCTCCCCGATAATGTTCGGTTTACAGATGCAACGGCCGGTTTGGTGGTCGCAACTTTCGGTGCCGGTTTTGTCGCAAAGGCACGCTGGAACATGGAATTTTAAAGTTTATCCCCTTTAGCCGAGCGACCGCTCCTCACACCTTGACAGTTTTTCAGGTTGATGGCGTCGCCAAAGTGTCCAGGGGCGCAGAGCGAACAAGCCTCCCCGAAAGTGTTATTCAGACATTTCAAACATGTGCCGGTAGTGGTGTCGCACGATCTCGGATCGTCTGGATCGATGTTACCGGAACACTGACAAGGTTTGCAGTAATCGCCTTAAAGAAAAGCAGTAAATTTATTAAAAAAAGTATAAATCATGTTCATCCAAATACGCGACAAAATGACAGTTTTCTTGCTGTAGTCGATACGATTTATGATGGCGTAGTTGGTATTAAAATGCCAGACAGAATAAAATAGAAAGTGCATCTCGCTGACATTTCAGCAATTATTTCGTCTATAGCATACGGTAAGTTTGTTTTGTAATTGATTGGTGTTATAATTTCTCATTCCAGTGCCATTAATTCTTTACCTTAAGGTGAGAAATAAGTAATTAAACGAGAAGAGAGCGCTTCCCTCGTTTCAGCGGAAGACCATCAAGGTAAGGGATTTATTGTAGTGGAAACTACTGTAATTATCCGGTAATTGGTGCTATCTCTGTCGATTGTACGACATCGAACCGTAATAGACAAAGGTAGAACACTGGCAGGTAAATGGGTTTTGCCATTCTTAGCATATGAGTGGAAGCAGATAAAACACTGAGGCATCTTCTCTTTTGGTTTTATGACCGATTATGGCATCGCAAATGAAAGGGAAAAGGAAAATAAATTATTAGACATAATTCATGGCAGTTCTAACAAAGTTTAATTTTTGATGGAGGGAGATTTTTATTATTATTATATTTATTAATTATTATATTTCTTAAGAACTTTTGAAATGTGGTCAGTGATGTTTTGTATGGAAGAAAGGAATGCAGTGCCAAATGTGGGGTGGCTACCGGATTTATTTTCTCTGGGAGGTTGCGGTGAAGTGTATTTCGTAATGAAACGCTTAATATCTGTAATGTGGGAATTAATTTTATTTCAGGTTCAGTGATTCTGGTTGCCATAGTTTTACGGCTCTGTAAACAAGAGACTTAATTACTGATGATTTTTGGGCCCGATAGTTGTGTGACAATGAGTTAAGGTATCGGTCTGTGGGCGTAGGTTATGTGTGATTTCCTATTCATTAAAGGAATGAGAGGTTATTATTTGTTTCGGTTAGTTTTTAGAGCTTATACGGTTAGGAAAATCTCGTTTCCATAACTTTGGTTTTAGATAGAAGGTGTCGAGAACTTTTTAAAGTTTCGGTAAATATATTTCCAACTGACAATTACAAAAAAATTAAACTATTAGATATAAGTCAAGACGGTTCTAATAAATAGTTTAAAATACATATTTAGACCACAGATATTAGTTATTTTATTATACTTCGAGTACATTTTATCAATAGAGCATTCGTTCTAGCTGCTGATATGTAAAAATCGAGATCCGAGGTATTAAGAAATTTTATTTGTTAGTAATTCCGTTAATGTTTCTAAACAAATGTATTACCGCAAACATTACTTTAAGCCTCAGAGCTCCTAATCGACTTATAAATCATTAAATCATGAGCAAGAATTGCACGTTCAACATCAATAACTTCGGATATGCCTTAATACAAAATAAAAAATAATAGTGGTCCAAAATCAGAGCACTGAGACACGCCTGAGCTATCCATTATGCTGGACATACTATTCTTGACCCCTCAAGTATGAAGTAAAAAAGGAAAGGAATAATTGTAAGTGTTTCCAATATAGTGACCGCCTATATGCGTTATCTATCGTACAAAGCGGTCCCTTACCTGCGACTTCAGGGAGTCCGTAATACCCCGCGGCACATTTTTGACATCTCGCACCGACGTATCCCTCGACGCATTCGCAGCTAATCCTTTCGCCGTCGTTACTGACGTCGCAAGAGGTGGCGAAGCTGAAAATGTCAAAAGTGAAGGGATCCGGTCTCGAAAGCGTAGCACTATCCTTACTTGTTGCTACCAATAGGCAATGGGCACGCGCAGATTAGGCAATCCTTGGGGGTGCCACCTAGCGCGTTGCCGTGGTAACCGATGTCGCACAACTCGCAATGATCGCCCCTAGTGTTGTGAACGCAATTCTGGAAAAGAGGTAATGGATCTACTATACTTTTGCTTTGCGCGAAGATCCGAGATCAGTGTGTACTTTTACAGTGACCACAAATTCAGGAAAAAATTAAAAGAATGGTACAAAGAGAGAATTGCATATCTAGATGCATCAGATATTGAGTTAAATAGGACAAGTATTCAGGAAATGAACCAAGGGAATTAGTTGCTACACGCAATGTGGAAGAAATAAACATATTTGCTATGATCGTAAAGAAATTAATTTCCCAATATGAGTTAAGAAATTTTATTAAGAGCACGTTGGAACAGCACATGATGAACAAGTGAAGATATACTGATCCCTTGGTTTTCAATGTTCACACAATGATTACAGAAGCAACCTTTTTTGATTTTTGGTATACAAAATTTTCATTTTTAAACGAAAATTTATGCAGGGTGTCTTACTGTTAAGGGAAAACTATGAAAAAGTGAACTTTTGCTAGTGAGTTCCCGTTAGGAGCCTCTGTGTGGTGTCTTCTGTATGGAATGGAATGACATGTATTAAAGGACGTTTTGTATATGTTAAAATCAAGACTTTTTCCTTAGATATATATTATGGTCCGTTAAGTAAAACAAAAGAAGAATGTTTCTAATTCATAATAAATTTATTTAACGTTTCGGAGCCACCTCCCCTCCCGCACAAGCAGCACCATTACCATCTCCGGCGCAGGGTATAAATACTGCACGCACCGCCGATAACCTCCCAGTGTTCGAAGTGTTTTCGGAGCGCGAGCATTGAAGATGCCAAGTGAGATTTTGGCGAAACCTCTGCAGGATTCCAGTCGGAGTTCAACAAGCGAACGGATGATATCCCTGAATATAGTGTCATCACATTGTTCCATCCATGAATCAATACTTGAAAATATCATACACCTTTACGGGAAGGAGACCTTTACGGTCACCAAGTGTTATGAAAAACTAAGACAAAGGAGGGTTATTTCGCTGTGCAACTTGAATTTTCTTATAAATTGCTACCAACATTTACAAGGTTGTCTTATCACACACGCACCAGAAAGACACAAGCTATCCTGGACAAAGCTAGCAAGGCCCTACTCCAAGACCAGATCAGGCGGACCCGGTATGAAATTAGTGAGACTGAGCTACAACTTTTTAAACTCCACCTGAAACTGAGCAACAAGATCCATCAGTTGCTGTGGGACCGCATAGAATTATTAACATCATGGCGCACTGAGAAAGACAAGGACATCCTTCAGTCAAATTCCAAAAAATCAGGACAAGTGCCAAATACAAACCGAAGCAGTACAGTTCATAATATTTCAGCATACCATCTTTCCGATACAAAAGTCAGCGTACTGAATAAAGGATTTAACTATGCAATAGCTCCAAAAAGAGTACCCGTCGAAGAGATCGTTTCCAATGTCGAAGCAAGTCTTTCCACCATAGACGAACAAGATGCGGAGTTAATTAGGAAAGATGTCGCCAGAGTCTTAAGACAGTCAAAACCACCGCAACCAAACTTAAGCAGAGAAGAAATGCAAGCCTTAAGGAATCTAAACAAAAACGAAGATATTCTAATAATGCCAGCAGACAAAGGAAATGCCACTGTCGTCATGAATACGTCGGATTATAATGCAAAATTAGAGGATATTTAGAACGACCCAATATACAAACTAGTCACCAGAGATCCCACGACATATTTGGAAAAAACAACTAAGTCCAAAATTCTTGATTCATCAATAAACGAGGATACAAAGAAGAAACTTATTCCGAGGGAAAAATCGAGTCGTTGCCCAAAATTCTACGGGCTCCCAAAGATCCATAAGGACGGGGTTCCCCTGCGTCCAATCGTAAGCGCCTTTAACTCACCATTAAGCAAGCTGGAAAAACATCTGGCCAGTGCATTTCAGCCTATAGTGGCAAGGGCAGATTCCTATGTTAAAAACTCAGAACATTTCACTCAGATTTTAGGTTCTCTCAGGATGGACAAGGACGACATTATGGCAAGTTTCGATGTCAAATCCCTCTACCCGAGTATTCCAGTAGAAGAGGCACTATTGCTTATAGAAGAAAACGAAGATCTTCCGCCATACAAAATGGATCTGTCAAGACATTGCCTGAAAAACGCTTACTTTATGTACAACGGGAAAATTTACCGACAAATAGATGGAGCAGCAATGGGATCATCTCTCTCACCTGTGATTGCCAACCTCTTCATGATTTACTTCGAAAAGAAAGCAATAGAGAAGGAAAATCTGAAGCCAAAACTATGGACAAGATACGTTGATGACGTATTTGTTGTATGGCCTTTTGGCAAGGAGGAGCTTTTGAAATTCTTAGATCATCTGAATTCCATTCCCCCAAGGATTCAATTTTCAGTAGAACTTGAAGAGGATAACAGTCTGCCCTTTTTAGATGTGCACATCGCAAGGACCGAAGATGGACATTTGGAACACACTGTCTATAGAAAACCAACACACACTAATAGATATCTGAACGCTAAATCTCATCACCACCCATCACAGATACAGGCAGTGGCAAATACATTAATTGCTCGGTCCTTCAGGCTCACAAACGAGAGGAACAGAGATGAAGAACTGAAAAAAAAATAGTACCTGTCTTCGACAAAACGGATACCAAAGGCGTATATATATATATATATATATATATATATATATATATATATATATATATATATATTAGGAGAAAAGTGTATGTTTTAATGTTAGTACGTTAGTAACATAGTAATCGAAAAGTACTCACTAGACATTTTCCAGTGTTCACGTCGCATTCGGATGCGTGTCCGTTGCACTGACACGGCACGCAGTACCCACCGAAAGGCCCTTGCTCGATCCTGTAGTAACCGGGAGCGCATTCTTCGCACGAAAGCCCTTTGTAATTCGGTGGGCAGTAGCACTTCTCCACGGAATATACTCGAGGTAAATCCGGATTCCTGGCCAGTTCCGGATACAACTCTTTGTATTCGTTGGTGGGTATCCCGACTTCTTCGACGACTTCAATTAATCTCGTGGTAACGCTTTTGGTCCAGTACGTCGCTCGAATGTACACGCCCTTCAAATCTTTCAAAACGTCCATTACGTGCTCTCGCTTGGCGGACTCGCCCGAGGCGGTGTCGAAGTAGCTCTCGACTAGTTGGACCTCTCCGAAATACTTGATTGCGTGCAAGGGCTGTTCGAAACTCGAGAATGTCAAATGGGTGTCCGCGCCCTCCAAGATGATGTCCGCGCCGCTAACCGCAGATCCGTTCTGACCGATGCTGTAGTAGATGCCGTAGAGAAGTCGGCCACCGTACGCTCCGAGCTTGCGACCCAGGAACGCAGGAGGTGCGGAAAAGTAAGCTACGACGTTGTCCGACTGATTGAATTCGGTAAAGTCGGCGCCCACCGTGGGAGGATAATCTATCGAAACAATGCGTATCAGAATATAGAATTTCACGTTTTTTACAAACGTAATATAAAACGGGCAACGATAAGTGGCGAGAGAGTATTGATATAAAGGACCGATCAGAATTGTCCTTGAATGATATGCAAACAGCGGTTGAATGACATTCTCGCACATCTTCTACGGTCAACAGATGCTGATGGGTTTGGACTTAACTTTAATATCAACAATTTTGAACAAATTCGCTTTTCAAGTGCAGGACTCAAAATGAACAAACGTCATTTCCCGTTAAAAATGACGGTTCGTGTAGTCCGATGCTACGTGTTCACGAGTCTCTATTACGTCAAATACTGGACATTGACAAACGTAGATTTACTGAAAGCGTCCTATGCAGAACTGGAATACCTGCGCAACGACCATCGATACATCCTGCTACAGCTCATCAACGACCCGAGAAAGTGGTTCTCTCTCAGAATAAACATGTTAATGCGGTGTAAGGTATATAGAAGCGCAATACACAGCCTCTCGTATACAAATGCCAGCCTCACCTACACGAGCTACAACTTTAGTTGTACGGTGCACCCTGTCCACTAACTAACGAGGATATGACGAAAGAATAACTAACGCGATAAGTAGTCTCCCACCTAATGGTCAACAGCTTCGAGTGATTTGACCACAAAGGCGGAAGAATCACTGTAAAGACAACGGCATTGAGATGTAGAATGCAAAGAGAAACCAATATATTAAAGATCCACTGGATATCTCAAGAACAATCGACATAGCCATGTTCAGATCAAATCAGTCCTTAGTTTCAAGCTCCCCAATGGAACCTGACTCAAACCGGAAAAATTCAATGTGCTCTGAAAAAAAAAAGGATCGGCTAAAAATAGAAATAATGGGCCTCAGTGAAATGAGAGTTACTGCGACATTGACAATTACAGAATATATTACTCTGGAACAACGATGGAAGGTACGAGCATGGTGTAGGAATAATCATACAGAAAAAAGTGGATAAACACGTTATCAATTTTATACCTGTCAATGAAAAGATTATGCTTCTTCAAGTGAATACTTCGCCTGTGAACACTAAAATAATTCAAGTTTACGCACCCACCACAGAGCACAGTGATGAAGAAGTGCAAGAATTTTATACCAAAATTCACGACTTGATAAGAAAGTAGCCGAAACATGAACTCCTAATGGGACGCTAAAGTACACAGGATAAACGACGCAAGTGAGCAAGCATGAACATTAGTAAAACCAAGTTCATGATAATAACTAGACAAAATATCCAAAACTGTGAACTATTCATTAGAGAGAGATCAGTGGAACGGGTTCTTAAGTTCACTTATCTGGGAACGACAACTAATGAACAATTAATTCTCAAGAGAATTAAGTGCAGAATAGAGAAAGCAAGGCAAGCTTTTATCAAAACGTCAAAGCTTTTTAAAAGCCACAATCTAGACCTGAACATTAAAATCAGACTCTTAAGATGCTACGTTTTCTGGACAATCCCCTATGAGTCGTGGAGACTGACCAAGGCAACATAAAAATGAACAAGGAAAAGGAAGTGATAAGCGCTATATAGAGACGAAAACTTCAGTACCTAGGCCATATAATGCGAAACGACAGCAAATATCATCTTCTCAAAGATATACTCCAAGGAAAAGTTTACTGTAAGAGAGGACCTGGAAGATGAAGAATATCATGGTCGAGGAATTTAAGAACATGGTTTTCCAAACAACCACTGAAACTCAATTCTTGCATTCCAGCGGAACACGAATAATGGTGTTCTGTTTATTAATGATTAAGGTTTCACTTACTATCAACATTTTCCACGGTAATGTTCAGTTTGGTTATATTTAGATTTTCACCGGAAGTACTGATTTGCACGATCGTCCACCCGGTCATATCCGATATGGGCAAGTTTATCAGATCTGCACTTGTGCATCTCGTAGTTTTCCCGGAACAAAAACATTCCGTGCATCCGTCCGGATTCGTTTCCTAAAACGAACAGTTTCTGTAAACTTGAAACCAATATTTTTCCGTTTCGATAATGCTTACTTGCAAGTTGAACGAGCCTTCGTTACAGAAATTGCAGAGAGTACCGACGACGTTCTTTTTACAGAAACATTCGGCCGTCTCTTGGTCGCAAATTTCGTTTGTTGTTCCTTTGGTGTCGCACTCGCACGAACTGCAGTACGGGAACGAGTAGTGACCTGATTTGCATACGTCGCATTTTCTACCGACCACGTTTTCTATGCAACTAAAATGAATATAAAAATTAGACGTTCTTTGTCTGACCTTTGACATTGACAGGACAATAAAAATTAGGGTGTAGACCGAAAATGCAACATAGAACAGACTGCCTTAAGTAGAATTACAAATGCTCAAAAATTGTTACTCGTCGATAAGTGTTATCATTTAGCCACATATCGATTTTTTATTCTCGACTCCTAAATGTGATTGTACCTAACAGGACTTAATGGAATCTGAAAAAGTCATTGTCACAATCCGTTAAAAATCAGCTTCTATTAAAAGAGCTTATAATCGAGCTGCTACTGTGATGGCCCATCAGGAATATTCAAATACTGAATATGCATTTTTGCTACGGAAGAGCAAAAGGACGTGCAGATCAAGCACGACGGCTTTTTATCGAGACTAAGACATTCATCAACATACACAGAAGACTTGGTGAAAGGGGATTGTTATATAACTAGATAATATCAATAAAGGGAGACAAGGTATAAAAGAACCGCTGCAAGGGAAGAAAGAATATTTCAAAATCTGGAGGCTGACCCGTCAACGAATACGAGAAAACTTGTTGGTCAGGAAAGAATTGCTTGCTCTAGTGATTGTGAAAATGATTTTGTCAGGCGGGAATTAAGACTACTTTTCTACTAAGGACATAATTGAGACTTTCATACACCATACAGAACAAAGCTCACTACAAAGGACGACTGACTATCTGTGCCTCTTAGTCTACCCCAAACCAAAACAGAAATTTACAGTCGCTTTCTCACGATGTCCACAAACATTGACAAGACTGGCGGAATATGAATCTGTCAATCTTGTCTGGATACTAGCTCATGTATGTGTTTTAGATAGTGTGCTGAAGAAGCGATTGGCGAAACGTCAGCTATTCCTCATGAAAGTAGAGTATTTTTTAAGAAAAGGAAGCGCAGATGTTCGGACATAGACATTGGAAACATTGAACGCGGCAGTGTCAGTTTAGCTCTGAAGAAGCCATCATGATGATTACTTGCTTTGCTTGTAATATTGGTTATTGAATATAATGTTACTGATTAATTAAACCCTAAAATTGCCAACCAAATGTTTTTCTCAAAGATATTCGAAAAAGCTACTCACGGACAGGCACCGCTCAGCAGATCGCACTGCAGGATTCCGTTGGTGCCCAAATAATTGCAGTTGCACGGTACGCAACCGGTAAGAGAGTCGTAACCGTACGTCAATCGCTCGCACTGATCGCATTTTTCGCCCGTTACGTGGGGACGACAAATGCATTTCCCGGTCTGATGCTCGCAGTCGGCGTTCGGCGGACAATTGCAAGGCTTACAATCGGGAAAGCCGTAATAACCCGCTTTGCAGGCCGTGCATTGTCTACCGATTATATTGTCCTTGCACGGGCACTGTCCGCCAAATTTTTCACACTCGAAGCTCTTGGAACCGGAAAAGTCACACTGGCAGGGCAACGCGCCGGTATTGTGGGCGGCCGTTATCGAAAACACAGAGTCCCTGCAAAATCCTGCCAAAAATCGGTGGTACATTATGTTCTCGAAACGTCTGAAGCGCTTACCTTTATGGCTCGTGTCAATGTTGAAGTGGTTACTGCCGCACGTGGAGATAAACTCTCCCGTCCTGTCTAGGTCTTCCTCTTCTAAATTTCTCTCCGTGTAAAGATCCACTGGTATGACGATGATGTAATCCAAGTACACGTTCTTGTTACCGGATTGCTAACGTTGAATGGATATGTTTTATGGCGGATTTTAAAAAAGTTTTCTCCATATTATGTTGACATAAGTTTTGCTTATTTGACTTGGGAAGCACAGCTAAACCTAACATGCAGCTCGAGCACTCTGTGGATGAAAACGGTTTGCGCCGCTCGTTGCGAGCATTGCCTTAGCTTTCAGGAGAGAACGTAGCGGCACGGACTTAGTTATTATATAGTGAAATAGAACTTATTTTTGAATTTGCCCAATGTTAATTTTTGAAAAAATATATGCTCTTTGAATGACAATTTAATATGCTTTAGTTTAAATTGATTAATAATTATTTCTGCTTTTTAGGTTTAGCATAGTAAAATAATGCACGAGTCAAATTAACTTTTTTTTTATTACTAAAAACAAATGGGGTTATTGATTAGCAACTCAACACTTATTTTGTAATAATGGGTCTTGTCTTAATAACATCTCTTACTCGATTACGCAAAGACATAATCAAGTTCATTATTGTTTCTTGTGGAGCCATTCTTCATATACTGCAACAATAAGCTCTGGAATCTCTGGTATGAAGTTTTCGTTTTAGCTCATTCCATAAATGTTCGATCCGATTGAAGTCCGGACTGCATGCTGGCTACTCCATAATTTGAAAACCGACTTCTGTAATGTAATCTTGCGGTGTGCGGCCTAGCATTGTCATGCATAAAATGAATTCTCCAATGTAGTCGACATATGGTACCACGTGATCTGATAAAATGTCCTCAATGTACCTAGCACCTGTTAAACCATGCGTTCATGCGTCCATAGGAATTGCACCCCTTATCAAGCAGGAAGCACCTCCATAAGCGCTCCGCTCTTCATTCATTCTGGAAATCGCTCTCCTGGTCACTACCAAAAAGGCATATTCTGGTCTCATCTGAGAACAGAAAAGACCCCCATTCGTCCAATGTCCAATTCAGGTGATCCCGTGAGAAGCATAGGACTACTTGAGCTGAAGTAAGATGTAAGTTTTGGACCAGTCGTAGTTGTTTTTGGGGTCATGTAATTTTTTCCTTCAGTCTTCCTCTCAACTGACTAATAGCCACTCTTCGAACTTCATGGAGCTGTTGTTGCACTTGAACCGCATTAAGGTGACGATTTCTTAATATTGTTGACACAATAAAGCGGTCATCATGAGCCGTTGTAATTCGCCTTCGGCTTGTTCCAGGGCGCCTAGCAAACAATCCAGTCTCCTTATACCGTTGGCATACTCTTCGAACTGCTGCGCGTGTCATATCCAGTTGTCGAGCAACAGCTCGCTGGCGAATTCCACATTCGATTAAAACGATAACTTAGCGGCTGTCAGCGGTGTAGTATGCATCAAGCTAACACAATTAAACGCTATGCAAGTGGCTAAAAACGAATAACATGAAAATTTCAATTGCAAAGCCGATTGATTAATTTAAGTGTAACAAGTTTGTTACTATCACTATAACTACTGCATGAACACATTTCATTTCTTTAACCGTAGCTTCGCAATATAAAAGACTCTTGACAAATTTAAACTCATATTAAAGCATATTAAATTGTCTTCCAAATAGCATGTTTATTTTTTGGGTCAGATGGCTAATTTCTAGAAAAAAAAAGTAAAGTCAACAATTTACAGTGGGCCGATTTCTATGCACCCAAATTTATAATACACACAGTGATTCGGGGTAAACCATCGTGTTCTTTAGCCTAGTCATATGTAAAGTAAACAGTTTTATAACGCTGAATAGAAACTATACCAAAACGCAAATTTAGCTTGTTTCCAAAATTAAAAAAAATTAAATATACAAAAAAATAAAAAATGTTCAAGTGGTTCACGAAGTTTAAAGCTCACTGGTATTGGTATGACTTTTTCGAATGCCAACCTGCAGCCTTTAAACATTGTCCATAGACAACGTCATTAGAATTAAATATGAGCGAAATTTTGCGATCGCAGAGAACCGCTTGGTTGATGATGATGATAAGACACATTTTTTGTTTCGGTCTAAAAGTATAGGCAGCCATTGCTGATTGGAACCTCCAAACACTAGGGCACGAGGATTAATTGCCCGAGCTGTAGGTTCAGCTGTGATGAAAATTCCGAAAATATTACTCACTTTGAATGTAATCATGAAATTTTCGGTCAAGTTGAATTTATTATTCCTGTCGTTTTGTGAGATCAGCGCCCTGCAGCCAGATTCCGAAGGACAGTGTTTTACAGGAACGTTCGCTTCATAAAATTGTCCGTTTTGAATAATTACATCCAAGTCAAACTCTAAAATATAACACCAGTATTATTCATTTCGTTTGTTTACAGACATCTAATGGTATAGCAAAGAAAGAAAACGCCCTCGTGGGTTACAAACATGGAGGGGCACAAGTAGGCAGAACTGGTTTTAGTTCAGCGCAAACACTGAACTTAAAAATAAATCGAAGCTAACTTCTGAAAGTACGTCGTAATCTGAATTCGACCACAAATATCAACACTAAAAAGCCTCTGGTTAGTTAAAGTCATCTTTGTGGAAAATAGTGACAATAAAATCAGAAATTCCCTACAAATCTCTTCATTGCGGGCCCAATTATCGTAGTAACTTAAAAAACCCGAGAAAAATAATTATTTTGCACGATTTTCGGGAAATTAATCCCCTTATCAGTCAACGGTCGAAGGTCGACATATCGGACATTTATTATTATAACCGCAACTGCATCGGGCTGGCAGTACCACACCAAAACTCAACGGAACTACGCAAGTGTAAGATGGCTAGAGAAAATGGAGAACCATCGCTAAAAAATGTGTACGACGTAAATATAAATGTACAAAAATCTCTAGTTTGCGGGATTCAGAAGTTAAAACAGAGGTTAGAGAGCGCAACAGCAATCTTACGGTGGTACAAGAAAAGATTGAATCACTGAAACAGGAGAATATAGAACTTAAGAAGAGAATCGAGAATGTTGAACGCCAGATGAAAAGAAAAAATCTGGTTTTCTACGGACTGGAGGAAAATAACAAATAAATTGGGAATTTCGATCACTACAGCAGATATAGCGGACTGCTATAGACTGGGACAAAAAGGTCAAAAATCGCGAACGATTTTATTAGAACTACTATCGGTCTTCAAAAAGATGGAAATTCTTAGTACGAGGGCAATACTTAAGGGAAGCAAGATTTACATCAGCGAGGATCTATCAAAAGTGCTATATCAGAGAAAAACTCTTGTCCAAATCGTAAAAGGCAAAAGGTTCGAGGACTGTCAGAAGAGAATAAATGGAAACACTAATGATGGTATAATAGAAAAATAGTATATATTATGTGCGGTAAAAGGTATTTGATTCACGAGTTTATTTAACTAGAGCGGAGCGGGTATTTAAACGTATTGCATACTATACTTTTTCTACGACCATTAGTTTTTGGGTACATTTTCTCAAAACAACACGAATACATTCACTGACGTGATCGTCAGAATTGACAAACGTCAAAATTCAAAGCGTGGGAAATATTTCTAAAACATCCGATTGCTCCCAAACCCGTGCGGTAAAATTCCGGAAATGTCCGAAGTGGGTCGGATCCGTGTTTAATAAACTTGACTTAAAAAGTTTGCCGAACGTGTTGCATACTATACTTTTTCTACAACCGTTAGGTAATTAGGTATTTTACAGACGGGAGTAGAAAATACTATATTATGCAACAAGTGCGGTAATAGTATATTATGCAACAAGTGCGGTAATAGTATATTATGAAAACAAGTGCGGAGTGAGTTTTTAGTAAATGAGTGAGGTAAAATCCCGGAAATGTCCGAAGTGGCTCAGATCCGTGGGAAACGAAACTGGCGTGATCAAGTGACGCTTCCCGCACGCTTGATCGGTATGTAATTAGGTATTTTACAGACGGGAGTAGAAAATAGTGTATTATGTCAAGAAGTGCGGTAAACGGCATTTGACTCACGAGTTTATTTGACACGAGCGGAGCGTGTGTTTAATAAACGAGTGACATAAAAAGTTTGCCGAATGTGTTGCATACTATAATTTTTCTACGACCGTTAGTTTTTGAGTACATTCTCGCAAAACAACACGACATGATTGATATGACCGTCAGAATCGGTGTGTAATTAGGTGTTTTACAGACGGGAGTAGAAAAAAGAAATTACCACTCCAGTTTTTGGACAAGACAAGTCCTTTACGAAAAAGGGCAAATAGTGCACCATCTACATCAACACCTAAAAAGACAGGGACAGAATCAGATGTAACTGAAGATCAGCAATCGCTGAACCTTATAGAGAGTGGCGGTAGCGGAAACCAGAAAACACATAACACTTCAATTCAGGTGGGGCTCCTGCCACTCTCAGAAGTTCGAAGGATAGTGCCAATAAATTCACCTACGAAACTCGCCAGGAGTCACAACAGAAAAAGTAAACTATTTTTAGTTTTTTTTCCTTTACGTTATTGTTGGCCCTATACCGCTAGCCTAGTCTTTGTTTTTGTTACTTGTTATTATTTGAGTTGCGATAGGATTTTTATTTATTTTTTAATTTTTATTTATTTTTTAAATTTTTGTCGATATTCATATATATATATATATATATATATATATATATATATATATATATATATATATATATATATATATATATATATATATATATATAGTGTTCGAAGTGTTTTCGGAGCGCGAGCATTGAAGATGCCAAGTGAGATTTTGGCGAAACGTCTGCAGGATTCCAGTCGGATGCAGGATTTGCAGGATTCCAGTCGGATGCAGGATTCCAGTCGGAGTTCAACGAGCGAACGGATGATATCCCGGAATATAGTGTCATCACATTTTTCCATCCGTGAATCAATACGTGAGAATATATATATATATATATATATATATATATATATATATATATATATATATATATATATATATATATATATATATATATATATATATATATATATTCTCACGTATTGATTCACGGATGGAAAAATGTGATGACACTATATTCCGGGATATCATCCGTTCGCTCGTTGAACTCCGACTGGAATCCTGCATCCGACTGGAATCCTGCAAATCTTGCATCCGACTGGAATCCTGCAGACGTTTCGCCAAAATCTCACTTGGCATCTTCAATGCTCGCGCTCCGAAAACCCCAGTGTTCGAAGTGTTTTCGGAGCGCGAGCATTGAAGATGCCAAGTGAGATTTTGGCGAAACGTCTGCAGGATTCCAGTCGGATGCAAGATTTGCAGGATTCCAGTCGGATGCAGGATTCCAGTCGGAGTTCAACGAGCGAACGGATGATATCCCGGAATATAGTGTCATCATATATATATATATATATATATATATATATATATATATATATATATATATATATATATATATATATATATATATATATATATATATATATATATATATATATATATATATATATATATATATATATATATATATATATATGTATATTTTTTAAAAATATTTTTGTCTCATTTTACTCCGCAAAAAAGTGGGAAAAATTGTCAGTTGCATTTTCAATGTCGGCTCACTAGTAGGCCATTTTATAGATATCAAACAAACCTTATTAACAGGATAGTTTGAGGTATTTTGTATGTCAGAGACTCTACTGAGTCACAAGGTAACTAATTTGTTTGTCCCAATACCAGACTACACTCTAACACGAAAAGAGAGGTATGGGATTTTATAGCATCGAACAAATTTGGAATAAAATAAAAATGCTTTTTTAGTTTGTCAGTTAGGTAAGGCTTAGGGGCTTTTTGCATTATAGCAACTGTTCTATAATTTAAAGAAAGTGAGCTGCCGATAGTAAATGAATACACAAGGGAAGGGATAATACGTCAACTCCAGCCACACAACGGACTGACCAGCCCACGGCAGTTTTTGACACAGCCAGTCCGATGTCATGGGTAGAAAACCTGTCTTGAGAGGTTACATTAACCGAAACGGAAGAGATACTATGAGAAAATTTGAACTTCATTTCCTTTCCATTTTAGTCAACAACTGGCTTGGCCGCGCTACAACGAAAATCAAGTGTACGACTGCGATGGGATCTATCTGAACAGATCCAAAGTCAAAATATAAGTAAACCGTATTTTTCGGAAGGTAATTTAATTAGTACCTGTTAAGTGGTGTATTAATTGGACTTGTTCATACCTGGAAAATCGGGTTGATAATAGTGGAGAACGAAGGTATAATATCCAGGCGTGTTCACTTTGCCTTTGAGATCAATGGATTTATCGCCTTCGTTGAGCCAAATATACGTTTCGTTATTGAAGATCCTGACCGGCGGTCGATTTTTGCCGAGTTCGCCTTCGATTTCTTGATCGAAACTGATCGTTTTCGATTCGGGGAAGTTCCTAAACGAACCGTGTATGCATTTTCCATCTTTACGGATACAAACCGGCTGGGGTTTGATGTAATCCAAGGACCATTCTTCGTACGGTATGGCGTAAACCGAATGGATGCCGACGTTGCTGTTGTCGCTCTGAAAAATACATCTCAAAATATGATTTCCGTTTTCAGTGTAAAAATCAAGTCACCTTTAAATCGATAACGATGGAATTTCCGTCTACGTCGTAGACTGCCACGCCATTTTTTTCGTTGGTGACCACTTGCCTACACGGCGTGGTATATGGGCACGAATACAAAATTACGTTGCCATTATCGGTCTTGTTCTTGGTGTGTGCGACGACGTCGACTTTGTGAGTCCTCAAGTCATCTAAAGGCGTAATATAATTTACTATGATAACGTAACTGCCTGGTTTAAACACGGTCACGTTGAACGATATGTCTGGTTGATCAAGGTTGAGGAGAGGCACCCTGTTGAATATGTTGATACGATGCAAGTGCTGCAACATAATTTTATGTCAACCGGAGTTTTCGAACCCGTGAATGGAAAAATTTCACTCTCCAGGAAGATTTTAGCATTTTTGAACCTTAAAATAGAAATGAAACTGGCAGAAAGGATTGTGTGGTGTTGGCAAGTTTCTTAACAGCATTTCCAGCAATGAACGTCGTAACATATTATGATTTGTTAGTCAAGTAACCGAAAAAAAGAAGTATGGTTTTAATAGAAATACAACGAAGAATAGTAGTCCAATAAGTAGTTCCACTATTTCTATACCGACTTTCGTGAAAGTATCTGCGCTCTTTAGTATACTCGAGATCCTCAGACCTACGGGGTAACGGTCCGTACAGAATAATCCATCGAAAAAAGAGGTAAATTACTTAATCCAAAAAGAATCCAGTGAATTGCCTGGAAAGCCTAACTGCAATTGGGACAAGCCACTGTAAAGTTCAAAAGGTCACAACAACAAAATCAACCCATTAAAAATTACAATAAGTGGGCTAGAAACGACGAAGAAAAAACAGATGATTTTTCTAAACACGTAAAAAACGTATTTAAACCCTTTGCCTCAGAATTATCATCTGAAAAAGAAAAAGACATAACAGACTTTTAATCAAGAGTAATGAAAGAAATTAATATCAAAAAAGCACCGTGTGGGCGAGAAACGCCAAAGAAAAGATTTCGCTAAACACGCAAAAAACGTATTTAAACCCTTTCCGTCAGAATCATCATCTGAAGAAGAAAAACGTATAACAGACTTTTAACAAAGAATAATGAAAGAAATTAATATAAAAAATTCACCGTGTGGGCTAGAAACGCCAAAGAAAAAGCAGATGTTTTTTCTAAACAGGTAAAAAACGTATTTAAACCCTTTCCGTCAGTATTATCATCCGAAGAAGAAAAAGACATAACAGACTTTTACTAAAGAATAATGAAAGAAATTAGTATCATAAACGAACCAGGATTCGATATAATCCCTGGAAAAACACCAGAAAATGTTTCATTCTACCGGCCTCTAAGTTAATTACCTATGCTTTGCAAAGTCTTTGCGAAGATGTATGTATTCCGAAGCAACCACGGTACAGTAGAGCAAGTACACAGACCCGTTAACTAAATAAACAGGGACCTAAATGCCAAAAGATAACGTTCAGCTGCCTTTTTCGATATATTCCAGGCGCTTGACAAGGTGTGCCAGTTCCAGCATTATTATTACGATTTTGACTAATATTAATTAGTAGTAACCTTGCCCTTTTTCAAATTCCTATCATTCATGATTCATGACCAATAGAATTCTACCTGAAGAGTAAACATTTCGAGAAGGCTGCGTTTTAATATTTTAGGGAAACACGCCCATTTTAGGCTATTTGCCAACAACATTTCTATTCCCTAAAAGCGTCTTACGTCTCCGTCCTTGAAAAATTCGTTCAGGGGGTCGTTATCTACGCCGTCGCGAATATATCCCCCCACTCCAAACGTTTTGTCGAAGAACGATATGTTGGGATAAGCGTAGTGACGGCATAGGTCTGTCTCGTTGATGGTGCAGGGCGTCTCCACTTTCTGAGATAATACGCTGGCCAGATAAAAGTCCTCGGGGAGAAGAACGAAATAATCCTGAAAGCAGTCGTAATAAATAGGCGAAATTTTCAAACAATGCGGATAGGGCATACCAGAAGAACACTTTCGTTTGCCATAATGGTAACCGACCATCTTCCTGGGTTCATAACGAAAGGAGAAGGGATATTGCCCTTCGAGACTGTAGTGAACGCGGGCTCCGAGGTATTTTTGAACTGGACTTTCAGAAATTGCTCGTTGTCGTTTGGATTATCGGGAGTGATTTTTACTCCCCCGATGACCGTATGGGGGTTATTGTTTACGAACCTAAAGGTAATTTTTACGATTTATTTAAGCGTTTCCACAGGAAGTTTTTTAATTGTGACAGGTCCGATAGGTCAACTATATTGACTATAATTTTGCTGAGTGTGGGGATTTGATCTCTGATATTCTTTTGGCGCCTTTTTTTGGTTGTCTGTGGTCGGTGGTTTATCGGACGGACTGACAGAGAGAGGTTAATGGCGCTAAGAAGAGGAGACACACGTTATTTAACACGCACAATATTATTTTATTTTTATGTAGTTGCGAGAATAAATACTGTCGTGTGAGTTTCCGAGTTTTTATCTGGTCGTAATCGGACGAGAGCCTCCTGGGCCCTACACTGAGCGATACCTATCGCGCCATCTAGCTTCGAAAGTGTGAATCATCACAGCCCTAGAAACCGCCGCCAGAACGCGGACGTGAGTTACTTATTGGTATCGAAATTTTTTGCTCGACTGAGAATTACCAACAACATATATTCTTTATTCTTATTACAAAATTAGGTTTATATGGAATTAAAGACACTGCACTAGTATGGATAAAGAACTTTTTTACTGATAGATCTCACGAGACTAAAATTAATAATAATGTTTCTAGTCATAGGGATAGCGATAGGGTGTACCGCAGGGAAGCGCGTTGGACCCGCTTCTATTTAATATTTATATAAATGATATGTATCAGGATTAAAAAAAACTAATTTGATAACTTTTTTGTCGATGACACGCTTATCTCAGTCTCTGGAAACGACTGGATAGAAATGGCTACCAAACTAAATACCGAAATAGAAGAGCAAGTTTAATAAGCTATTATCTTGATTCGGATCTAAAGGCCATCATCGGTTGGAATTCCTAACGTTTCGCGAGCACGAGTGGCGAGTTTCTTCAGAGGTCCTTCCATCTCCCATATTGGACGTATACTACGATACTCGCTTATCAACGGGCCGCGCAAGCCTTAACCATTTTATCAGCAAGTTTAATGTTGGTTGATGGAATTGCGTACGATCACCAATCGGGCTACCTCAAATTATGGTTAAAAAAAAAGTCAAATTTTTATGAGTTCAATCAACAGTTCAATGTTTCTATAGTAAAAATTACAAATTTACAGAAAACTCTATTCTACGATAGTGTTCGTAATTTTAATGAATTGCCGAATAATATTAAAAACGCGTCTTGTCTAAGAGGATTCAAGGAGAGGCTTACGGGGTATTTGCGAAGTTCATAGTTTGTTTATGTAAATTCGAATTGCTTATGTAAATAGCCCAGTCCTAAATAAATTTATTTATTATTATTATTGTTATTATTATTATTATTATTATATTATATATTAGAAATGACGTATACCAGGGTCACTTCAAAAGTTTCCGACCTCACTCTGAAGATGGCGGAACTACCTACTAAAAGCTAGTGATCGTAGTTGTGCACCTCTAAAAGTTGAGTTGGGCTCTGTATATGGGGACTCTGCACCGTTATTTACCACAGTGAAATTTTGAGCAGCTGAATTAACATGTGGCCGAAAAAGCTTAGAAGATGATGAACGTTTGGGATCTCCAAAAACTGTGACTACCGATCAAACAGTGAACTGCGAAGGGGAAACAGACTCCGAAAAAAGCAAAAACTGGGATAGCCATGGAAAAATTACAGGAGCATCATTACTTGGCAAGCTGAAGACAGAAATTGCGGAAAACGGCCACATTTGCAAAAAAAAATCGTGTTTCACCAAGATAACTCATACCTCAGCGGTTGCCATGGCGAAAAACAACGAATTACGGTTGGAACTGCTTGACCATCCACCTTACTCTGGCCCCAAGCGACCTTTTTTCGTTCCCTTATCTGAAAACTGGACTTGGAGGACAAAGATTTTCATCAAATGAGGAGGCAACCTCCTTCATGAACAATTATTTGCGGAGAAAAACGCTGCCTACTATTTGGATGGGTTAGAGAGATGGGAGAAGTCTATAGAGTTACAAGGAGACTATGTGCAAAACTAAAAAAAGCAATGGAGGAAAAATATCTTCTATTATTATTAGGTCGGAAACTTTTCAAGTGAATTATAAGAAACATTTTTAAAAGAACACAGTTTTATATATTATGTTGTCCCAATGAATAAATAAACCATTTTTAAATGACAGATACCGGTATTTTTTGTTCTTTGAATTTTTGGTCAATTTGGCCCTAATTTTTATAGACTATAAAAAATATCTTTAAAATGTTTCTGCTGTTTTAACCTATAGCGAAAACAGTTTGGATAAACCCAATTCGGTAATCTGCTCTCTTTAATTGGTTTGAACTGACATTGTGAAACGGACAGTATTTAATAACCGTTTTATATAGTTTCCTGGCAAAATCGAAAAAAAATACAACAGTTTGGCAAGGGTGTGCAGCTTTGTATCATGTCGCGGTCACAGATAAAATTTTCCCATCCACTATATACGCAAACTGCAGGATTATTGCTTTTAACGGTTCAGACCAAGGATTATTATTTTTTGAATTTCTCTGGATCTATGGATTATTGAAGGTTAAGATTGTTATGACGAGTATTTTAGGTGATTTTCCTTCGACCCTGAGATTCGTTCATTAAATTATATGATGCCATCACAAAAACGAGCTGTATATGATTCATAAAAAAATTAGGTTACCTGAAAACCATCCTGTACAGGGACGGTTTGTAAATATATAGGTCCTGGATAACTTCCGTTTGCAAATTCGAAAACACGGCGTATCCCTTCCAGGAATAGTTTTTGAAAACGTTTGCATCGTTGTCGTATTTCAGTCGGTTACTTTCTGGCGTGCGGCCTTCTTCGATCTCGTACTGATATTGGTACAACGTAGGGAAATAATGCGCCTGAAGCGGTTCTCTGCATGTCTGTCCCGTGACTCTGGACTGGCATATACACTGTCCCGTCTTTTTGTTGCAGATGTTGCTTACCGCACCGCCAACGTCACATCCACAATCTAAAAAATAAAAAAAGGGTTTATTCGAATTGGCCATTTTACAATTCAAGTAGACCTTTGAAGAAGTGTGCTCTCGTTGCTTTTGTTTAATTTATATATACAGGGTGGCCCGTTTGAGAGGGGCCTATACCTTATCTCGAAACCTATGGGGGTTACGAAAAAAATGTAAATACAAAAGTTGTTTCTATTAAAATGACCTTTATTTTTTTTATTTTCCTAATCGTCACTTTTTTATATACAGCGTTGTAAGAGTTATTATTATTATTATTATTATTAATATTACCGCAACACAGAACTACTATTGTTTTGAAAGCTACTGCGATGATTATGTCAAAAAAGCCAACATTAATAATATCATCAATTTTGTGTTTGTGTCTTTTAACAGGCAGGTTTCTATATATTTTTTTAAGACATTTTTTCCATTTAAGGACCTTATTTACAAGATTCTTAAATTATGAATGTAAAAGAATTTATGAATTATTAGAAAATACTTGCCAATTAAGCCAAAACGATAAGTCAGAATCCCGTACTATGCTATGTAATTGAAATTGCTATTAAATATACAAGATGTCTCATTTAAGAAAATTGAGAAAAGTATCATTTTGCGAAACGTGAAAACACTCGCGTATTTTAAGAAAATATTTTAAATTTGATCATTGGCTAAAGAAAGGCATTATTTTCGTAAAAATAATATATGGAAAAAGTTTAAAAAGTTAATAAGCAACCGAACAATGATGGTTTAAACATAACCCGAATTCTGAAGATGATCATAGACCCATACTCATATATATATCGTTGAATTTGTCTTTGAAAGGACTATCCAAAAATGCAATAAAATGTTGTTGTTAAGTTGAAAAAAAAACTTTTTTATCACGCTCTCTCACCTTTACATCCGAAAAGATTTTCCTCCTCTAAACTGTATGTGCCATCCGCGCATTCCGAACAGCTCCTTCCTATTACTGAAGGTTTGCAAACGCATTGTCCGTCTTCCGTGTCGCACACTGCTATGCCGCCCAAAACTCCTGCAGGGTTGCAACCGCATTCCTCGCAACCTTCCGGATTATTGGGATTTAGGTTCCAATATAACGGCCTAGGTCAAACAAAACAATATTATTTATGAAAAAAAAAACTAATGCTAAAGATTTTTTTTAATTCTATTGAAGACTACTTTGAACAATGTATTATAAAAGTATTAATTAAAACTTTTGACGACTTTCTTGTACGATTTTTCTTGTAAAATATCATAAAACTTCTTTAATGACAATGTTTTTAGTCTCAAACTTGATACTGGCGAATAAGTTGCGCAACTAGCATGAATATGCAAGCTTTCCGGTGACATGCTTTCATTAGCTCCCGTTGAATTTATCGTTGCCCCTTAGGCAATGTGTTAAAGCTTGTGTACACCAACCTCAACTTGCCTATTAAGTAGTTGATCCTCTAGGGAGGTTGAAATTAGGTCTAACAACGTTGGAAATGTTTTTTTAAAGCTCCATAACCAAGCAATTGGCGAGAAAATATTGTATTTTAAATGTTATTTATAACCACTTAAGTACAGTTGATATTGACGTTTCCTCTCTTAGTTCCTCTCATTTTAAGTCACTAAATATAAATTTTTGTTGCGGTGAATATAGTTCACTATTTTAGTGGAGAAAATATAGTTGAATAGTGACAGTTTAAGTCAATCTTTTAGTCACTAAATATTAAAAATTAAATAACATACCTGCATTTATTGCAAATACGTCCCTGAACTCTTTCCTTACACTGACATAGCTCCCCCGCGGGTACCGATCCACAGCCAGCGAATCCAGCCACAACTCCGGCAGGATGGCAGTTGCAATCTAAGGTTTTTCTTTCATAATGCCACGCACCCGATTACAACGCGAACAACTCACCTTCACAGGCGGGAAAATTGTAATACCCCTCCTTGCACAAGTCACAGCGCTGACCAGCGAAATTACTGTGACATTCGCATTTACCTTCAGCGTCGCAGGATATGCCGTTAGATCCGTCGTAGTCGCATTCACATGCTATATAAACAGTTCGTGGACGGAGGTTCCAAATTAAAGAGAAATTAGCAGAAGAAAATTCAATAAGCTAAGTAGTATATTAAATTTACAAAAAATGCGATATAGTATAGCCGCGCAAGAATTTCTAGAAGGTGCTATGAATATTAGGCATTCAAACGCACAAACAACACTTCTGAGCTTCATTTTGAGTTCAGATTACAAATCGGCCTCCCCCATAAGACACAAAAAAGAAAAAAAAGTCTAGATACCAGAAGAATCAATGAACGTGTTCAAAGACTGTAGACACAATTATTAACACCACACCAGACCCAGAAAACAGTAGACTACGTTGACTATCACTCTGTAGATGCTTAGATGAAAGCTCAGAAATGGACAAAAAGCTTCAATTCTGGCACAGAGCCAAAAAACTACTCAGAAACCAGAACAACAAACTTTAAACTCTAATGATAGAATTTAGAGAAAAATGTGAAATAGTGGAAAGTGACGCAAAATAAAGATAACAGTCCAGGGTCAGGAAACATCCCAGCTCTATTGCTGATCAATTGCATTGATGTACTGATGCCGTAGATAGTGGTAGGTTTGGAGCGTCCAACATACCCGCGAAAGTATATTATGTCGAGTATAATCATCTGATTTTCTACTATAAAGCCCTGTAGATATGTCTGGACTACCAGAACGTTACATGAGAAAGGGAAAAACTTTTGCCCTGGATATACTTAAACCTATAAACAGAACTTGTCAGATGCGTTAAAATCAATGCAAGCGTGAGTAGCGCAGCGATGTTTACTAGGGCCTCAGCTTTATCACATATATCAGTATTTTATGAACCAAAATTAAAATAAATACATATAAATGACTATTTGCATATGACACAAATATATCCAGTAATCCCATTATCCAGTGTAATGATTTAGGAATTAGGACATCACTTGGTGTGATTGCAGTTAATTAAAAGTGTGAAGAACCTTAATTTCATGATACTGAAACAACGGAGATAAGATATAGGTTAAGATATAGATAAGTTTCTTAGTAATCGTATGGAGTATAAAAACAATTTCAAAAATCGATTAGACATTAACATGAAGCCAGTAGGTTAATAACAATAATAATAACTTATTGTTGTTCATTTGATTTTAAATATTAACAATCAGCAATTACATTACATTACTATTAACAATTATAGCACACATTATCAAAAGTTAACAAGTATAACAGTAACGTTGTTTAAACAATTAAAGGTTGTTTCTTTAATTTAAAAGTTATACTATATAGCTTTTATTATCATTTTCTAGTCTATTCCAAATAAACTCAATCAAAATCGCTTAGCCAGATCCAGTCAGTTTTTTACTATATCATTTGATGTAACTCTTGGTTTAGGAGACAGGGCATTGAACACTTCTGGTCCAGTGCAGTATATATGTTTCTGGCACGCTACATGTTTGAGGTTCTGTAGATCCAAATCGTGCTGGGGCACCAGATCTTGTGTTAATACCACGATTTATTTTGGTTTTATAATAGTTGGTTTTTAACAGAAATCTTATCACTTATTTGATATACAATTGTTTAAAAGTAAGTAGATTTCTCTCCTTAAAGAGTAAGTTAGTCCGGGTATCGCTTTTTTTAAATACATCGTTTTTATAACCCAATATAGACTATATTAGTGAAAAATATACCATTCTTAGTCCCTCCAAGGATAATATATTACTTAATTCATAGAACTTATAGATTAGTTTTCTGATTTTTCTAGTTAATAATAATAATTAATATGATTGTTCATCAATCAGTGTGCCCTGATATTTTGTAAAAGTTTTTCTTTCAAAAAAGTTTAGTTTCTGAATATTCGTAGGTAGATATTTCCTCGATCAAAATGTGTTTTATTTATATTTAAGGACAAGAAACTATGGTCTAGCCATTTCTTTAATCCTGTTATTCTAATGGAATCCTCCCAAGATTTACCCGATACAATCAGTGGTGTATCATCAATAAACTAAAACACGTTCCTCTCATTAGTTACAGACATTATTCCGCTAATGTACGCCAATTAAACATCAGCGGCCCAAGCACCGTGCCCTACGGCACACCAAATCCTGTGGCCTGTATTGTACGACCAAAAATATAGTGCATTTATTGCTTTGACGTTTTAAGCATTTTACAGTACCTTAACCGCAGGCCTTTGCAGGACCGTGGTAAAACCCATCCCAACAGATGTTTATTCTGCATTGAATAGGTCTTGTCTAAGATGGACCGTAACGAATATTTGTAGAAACGTATAAATGTAAATAAAAAATAAATAAATGGACCGTTTTAAATTTGATTAAGCATTGATATAAATCGTTCTTAAGAGTTTAATCTAAATTGCAATATGTTCGTATATATTATGTATTTAAGTACCTGATTCTAGAGCTTTTTGATCCTGCGAGGAGGTTGTCGCTGGGTAGTTCAAAGTGTAAAGGTACTCTATTTATCTTACATGTAATTTTGAAAATAATATTTTTTCTCTTGTGTGCCTGTCGACTAACAATATTCTTCTTCTTGTATTTTTGACTCTTCTACATAGTTCTTCGATTTGTAAACAACATTTTTTTTAAGATTATAGATTACATTCGCGGTAGATAAACGTACGTCATAAGAATAAAGATAAATATATAATAATATATAAGGTTCCCTTAAAATGTGGAGACAGTGGAATGAAGCAGAATTTGAAGACGAAGTGGAGATGGTAGTCGAACTGTGGGGTCTTATGGTGTACGTACAAATTTACGCACTTGCCATTAACTTGTTGCGCTGGTGAAGGACCATTGATTGATTGAATACTTACAAAGTGAACCGAACATTTAATGTTGTTGTACATGTTTCAGGAATTGCTCGGCGAAAAAAGATTGAAAACATATCCCGCTTGTTAGTGTAGGTAGATAAATTCCTAGGACGGTCCTAGAAGTAAGGTGTAAGGGTCTGCTCGGCAGGGTGTTCTATAAGGGGCTGCGGTTTTGGGGTAATAATCAGTAGGCAAAGTTAATAACGGGATCGGTTGTAATAGCACTATACCTGTAACCTATCCAGGTTGCAAGCTATTTTCACACTCCGTGTTCTCTCATTGTAATTGGATCTAAATAGGTTAATTGCTACTCCTCTTACACCAATATCATTCAGATATATTGAGACCTTATACTTGATACACTTTTCAATTATTTTATTCACAACCGGTCTATAGTTACTAGTAATTTTTTTGTTGCCATGTTTAAATAGAGGAACAACAACGGCATTTTTGAGAACATCAGGTAAGACCCCAGTACTGAACACACAATTTCGAATATGCTTTTTAAACTTAATTTACTGTAGAACTGGTGAACTTTGGCTCAAAAAGGGACATTCAACATCAGAAAAAACTGAAACTGCATGCTACTTGAATTATCGGACTTTCTGTTTTATATACTGCTGATGACAATAATAAAAACAACTTACGCTTGCAGTCCGGGTAGCTGTAAAATCCGGGACTGCACTGTTCGCAAGTCTTGCCAGCGTAGTTACCGAGGCATGAGCACTTTCCGGTGGCGCTGCACGTCGACCCGTGAGAACCGACTTTACTACAGTTACAGGGTTGGCAATCTGGATAGCCGTAGTAACCAAGTATGCATTTATCGCATCGGTCACCGCCGTAACCCTCTTTGCAAATACACTGCCCCGTCGATTTGTCGCATATACCGTCTTTTGTACCCTTGATGTCGCAGTTACAATCTAAAAGTAAATGTAGTCACGCCACAAGAACACTATACAAGGGTCTCACGATTGATGGAACGTTAGACGTTGTAGGAAAACGTGACGTGACGATTTGGCCACCTAAGTTTTTCACGCTCATTTTCAACGTGACAGTGTTGTCGATTGTATTGAAAAGTAGCGACAACTTTGTTTTTTTTTTAATTGACAACTTGTGTATATAGCGTGACATATTTCTCGCCAACTATTTCTAGCTGTTTTCCAGGTATTAATTAATTTTAAAGTGATGTCATAATCATTCAATTCAATTTAATTTAATTCAAAAATGAGTTTTCGCTCATGTGGTTTAAGACAGAAAACTATATGTTTGCAAATTCTCTGTACAGTGTGTCCATTTTTCGGTGTCATTAAACGATGCGATTTTTTGGAGTCCAGTGCCGTACTCTAATTTTTGTAAGATTTTCAAAAATATATAATAGTCATAAATATTTAATGAGAGTTTAGAAAATGGTCCGTTTAACATACAGCGATTTTTATTATTATTAGAAAAAATTCGAACTATATAATACTCAAACTGATTTGCGTCAGGCATTTTTCGCACACTAAAATTCTTTTTTAAGGATCTATGAGGACAATGGGTCTTGTTGCTATTCATTAAAATACCTGTCTACATGTTAGAAACCGTATAATCAATCGAATTTTAGAATATAACCCAGTGCGCCTCTATCTTCTCACCCAAAAAATGTCGGCCTAAACGAGAGTACATTTCCCATGAAAAATTAAAAAAAAATCCAGATTTTCGTCATATTTTAACTCGACAGATATTTATATAAAGCCTTGTGGTGGATATACTCCGTCAAACTTATACCATACATACTTCAAAAGCTTACGTTGAATTGTTTACAGGCTGTTAATATGACAATTGTACCCAGGAGACCAAACTACTGCCAGTACCTTATTAACATGAGGAACACAGGATAATTTCGAGTCGAATATTATCCCCGATTTCACAGCTATATTTATGCTGGTAAAACTACTACGTTGAAGAGTAAGACAGTCCTCTGAATACCGGATTAAAAAAAAATTACGTCATTTGCATATATCAATTGCCCCAGTATAGGCGTACTGAATGTGGTTATACAAGTATGAAGAAAACAAATTAACAAGCGATTCAGAAAATCCAAAAGCACTGAGCTTGTGGACTAGAATTTTGTGATCTAGGCGATTAAACGCTTTGGAAAAATCAAAACCTATGACGTCTATTTGAGAACTTTCATCAATAGCTTCAGAATGGATCTTCCATTAAAAAATCCACGTTGTTGGGGGACTATTTGGTTCTTAACAACATGAAATATTTGTCCTCCGAATAAGGTTCAAATTCGTAATTGTCATGTCGAAAAAAGTAAAACCGCCAGTTTCTATTTTTATGCTATAAAAAATTTCTCAATTGGTGAGAAAACTCACAATAAAATTTAACTTTGAACGACCTGTATCTCTCTCTCCCTCTAGTACCATGAGTTTAGAGATTCTTACTTACTTATGTTTCAGAAATTTTGACTTATATACAGGAATAGAAAAATTAATTTAAATTAAATTTAAATCTGTATGTTAGTAAGAATTCTTGTGAACGCTTATGTTAGCTTGATTCATAGTAAATTAATAAGCTACCTCATAGCTTAGATAGTTGTATAATTTAATTGATTTTGTAGCGGTTTATCTTTCCAGAAACTCTGACTTATTTTGCATAAATTCTGATTATTCTTTCAGAAATTCTTATTTCTCAAAAATTTGTCTTATTATTATTTATTTTTATTGGCCTTTCAGCCAGATATTTTACAAACATTATCAGAAAGTGACATCAGTTTTCTCGATACGAGTGGCAACACTGCGACCCCTAAAATATTTGATATCGATAGAGGAAAGTCAAAAACTCTTGTAACCAAACCATCCAAAGTCCTACCAACCGCGAGACACCCTAGACACGTGGTCGAACATTACATTGGCATGACGGATAGTTGTAGTAGCCGTTCTGGCACTCGTCGCACTTTCTGCCAGAGTAATTTACTTTGCACGTGCAATTTCCGGTGTTCTCGTCGCACGACTCCGAATCTGCGCCGTACGTATCACACTGGCACGCTGCAAACAAATCGTTTCGAAAATTGCGAAACAACGACGTGCCTGAATTTGTTTACATCCGCATTCTGGAAAGTTGTAGTATCCGGGGGAGCACTGTTTGCAGTAGTCGCCGCCGTAGTTCGGTCGGCATGTGCACGTTCCGTCTTTGGCGGAGCACTGCAGGTCCAGGGTGCCGTTCAAGAAACACTCGCATTCTCTGCACCTGGGATAGTCGAAGTAGCCGAAACTGCAACTGTCGCAGTTGGGCGGGTTGTACTGTTTGCGACATTCGCAACGTCCCGAACCTTCTGCGCAGTTCCCGGTCGAGTAGAAGACGTCGCATTGACAAGCTGAAAGATGCGCGTGAGGTTCTTACTGCACCATAAACAGTCAAATTTATTTGGAAAAGAATTTTAGCCTTTTATCATTGATATCATGATACGACTTGGTCTTCATAGTTAAGAGTATACACGAAGGAGCGGTGTCCAACGCCCTTCAATTTATTCTTGATACCAATGAAAGTGGTACCATTCAGTCGGAAAAAAGGATTGAAAGATGCGCGTGAGGTAGTTACTGCAGCATAAACAATCAAATTTATATGGAAAATAATTTTAGCCTTTTATCACTGATATCATGATGCGACTAGGTCTTCATAGTTAAGAGTATACACGAAGGAGCGGTGTCCAACCCTCTTCAATTTTTCCCTAATATCACTCGGAAGAAAAGATTGAAACATTCCTTTCTTCAGAGTATCTAGGTGTGATTCTGGATAGAATGCCGTAGTAGAACTCTTATTTAGAGAGTGTAATCAGAAAAGGGGAAGTATCCCTTTGAACATGTCACAGGGTAAGATACAATGGTCATGATCTGGTATGGATCTATATAGTCTGCTTACCTAGGCTAAACTGCTGGGGCTGTTATTAACAGCAACCTTGGAAGCACTCCTCCCTGAAGGTCGGAGTAAGGTGGGCAAATGCTATATGAGACGACTGGAAGTGTGTGTTGTACCGAATCATATCATTCGAAAGCTGCGACTGATTAATTAAAACTCTGAAATCATTAGACTTTATAAGAAGGCTGAATTTGATGATTGAACACTGAATGAACTAATCAGAATATCGTGTGTTACGAAGATAAAACGGAAAGTAAAATCTGAAAGAAAATGGGTCAATGCAGATTGACTTTTGAAAAACAAAAAAATCGTTCACGCACCTGTTACAGATATTAGAAAAATTGATTCAGAGTTACCTGCGCTACGTTTGAGAAGATCTAATGTTACTATAGATTCTTATCATTTTTTTTTAAATATCAAATATGTTTGGAAATATTTGTTTACAAATAACGAAAAGCGCACAAACACATTTGCAAATAAATGTTACCCTGTATGGTTCGGTAAGATCACAGAAACTGGGTAGCTCAACGCTGGAGATAAACGACCAAAGACTATGAAAAAGGTCTGAAAAGGCGCCACTTTGTGCATCACAAGTGCATACAAAGGGAAAGTAACAAATTTTTTGTGTCTCAAGAGAATATGATACATTTCACAAATTAACCTTCACTTTGTGCCCATTTTCTTTTGAAAAAGCGATCTTTATTTCACAGAATCTGGTCACATTTTGAGAAAATGCTTCCAAGCTGAAATGTGTCAAATTGACTATAACTGTCCGCTGCCATGTTAGTTGTTGACGCGGCTAGGTCTTATTGGTCGAAATTGTCATTAGAAATAACTGGTCTTATTGGATGAAAATGAGAATTGAAGTTATCGCACAAGTTAATGTTTGATCCAGCCTCAGGGGATAGATCGTTTGATATACAAAAGGATGCAAAGCAGATCTAACTAAAGAGGCGGGAATATACGGGGGGGAGCAGATACATGTGACTCTGGAAATCTTGTCCGGCGCACCCTAAACAGAGATCTAGGCGAGTGTGTCCAATAGAGCCAACGTCGCTGCAAACAACTACAAAGGAGACTTCAATGACAGGGGCTGTCGACCACAACAAATGTTGGTTGTGTTTAGAAGAGTTTAAAATCCATATTCGTTTCGTAACCTGCTGCGCACCATTAGGGCGCAAACGATCAATTATTATGCTTGAAGAATACATACATTCCAGGGGAGGAAGCAAGATGAATGTCTGAACGCGGCGCAATATCTACACACACACAAACACACGATGGCACTGTGCCACAGATAAGTAAGGGTAAAATAGTTTCTTGATGGCCACGAGATTATTCTTAGGTGTATACTTACGTTGACAAACATCAGTTTCGTTCCACAGTTTGTGATATGGTCGGTAGAACTTTGGTTTGCACTTGTTGCAGTTGATGCCTTCGGTGTTGTGGCGGCAATTTTTGCAAACACCCCCACCCTCGTAATTTCCGTGTATGTCGAGGGAAAGTTTTTCTCTATCGACGTCTGGATCGTATTCGCATTCGTTGCTGTGTTGGAAGCAGTTACAAGCTAAAAAAATCGTTAATTTTGGAATTGGTAAAAGTGCAAAAATTTGTTGTTTCTTCCTACGATATAGCGGAGGCAACAATTAGCTCGCCTCAATGGTATACTATTAAACAACACAGGAACCAAAGAACCGCCGTTATTCATTTCACAAAGTAACGTAACACTACACGGTAGTTTTGTAAGGTTAAAAGTTTAGTACCTTTTTTACTTTGATTAACTATTAGTGAGTATCCCTTTTAACATCTTGTTATTCGTGAATGCTTGGCAAAAGAGGTATGGTTTATTCATAGATATAAGAAAGTGACCAATTGCTTTTGAATGGGATTATCCAACGGTGGTCATTAACATACAATGCAACAAGATTATTACCTAAAGTTTCGGAATTTAAATTCAGGTAAAATTGTGGTCCGTAATAGAAAATAATTTTATACCTACCTGTGTTTAATATTCTTTGGTTTGGAATACTACTTAGTTTAAGTTTATTAGTAATCATTCTCGTTTCGTGTGTAATACAGGGTGTGTTGAATCGTATGCGAATTATGCAAAATATGTGCGAGTCTAGTGTATCTCAGGAGATGCTCCCGCCCAAATGTAGAAAACACTATTCTATAGAGACTAAGGAGGTTATAAACAATGTTTATTCAACTGTATGGAAAATTGTGAATAATCCCATTTCAGCGAGGAAGAAAAGAAGCGATGCTGATATTTTCTCGAGTGTAGATGAAAGTGATCAAGATATAATACGGCGTAAAATTTACCAGTTATTCGAGGAACAAAGCGTGCCTACATTAGATATCTTCATTAGGAGGCTTGAAAAAGATGAAACCAGTGTTAAATGTTTCAGAACTACCTTATGGAAGTGTATTCAACACAAAAAAATAGGATTTACAGAGAACAACAAAGCCCAATTATTTACTTGGATGAAATCTGGTTCGACACTTATGATATCCCGGAAAAGGGTTGGGTTGACTCAACTGATAAGTGTAAAACAAACGCGCCATCAAAAAAAGGTAAAATAATAACTACTTTGCATGCTGAAAAATATTGAAGATTCTTCTCTGGATTACAATGAAGACACCACCGCTGATTTATTTGAAAGTTGGTTTAAAAACAAACTAGTTCCAAACATTCCTCCTAATAGCGAATTGTAATGGACAATGTAAATTATCACAGTAGACAGTTGACTAAAAGCCCTTCTTCATGTGACACAAAAGCAACAATCCCAAACTACATGTATAATAACGACATTTATTTTCACGAAGATTATACCAAAAAGCAATTAATGGAGGTTCTACAAAGCTTGAACCTACAAAAGGAATACGTCTATGATAATTATGCAAAAAATCTAGAGCATACCACTGTATATTTAATCCCCTTGAACATGTTTGGCACCAACTGAAATCTGCCATTCGTCGTAACAATGTTTTTCCCCGTGTTAACTCCAATGTCCTCAAACTTATAAAAACCGCAGTTTTAAACATCCCTCCACAAAGTTGGACAAATTCTGTTAAACATATAGAAAAAGCAGAACAATCGTATATCCATATTACAAATAATATAGAACAAATAATAATTAGAACAGGCGATGATAGCAATAGTGATATGGATATATTATGTGAATAATTTTAAGTAATTTGAGTAGATAATAAAAATATTGTGTAATTTTATTTTAGATTTAAACATAAATACATACATAAATAAATAAATATTGTTTAGTATTTTTCCTAACAGAACCCCAAATAATTAAATTCTAAGCAAAGTACAGACCTGTTCGGCCATATTTCATTCTTACAGCTTGCTCGGGTCTTTCCCTAATTCGTATCAGTTAGTCACTTTCTTATATCTATGAACAGACTTTACAATACCTGCTGTGCTACAAGAAAAAAGACTTTCGCAATGGTTTCCGATTCAGAGACTTCTGTTAAAGAGCACAGATGGATTAGCAGTTTAGCAGTATATTATGTAACCACATTTTTAGTCACATGGAATGATCTTCGGTGCCGGAAACTCCTATTTGTTTAGAGGGCAACTGGGTAAACATTTTATGCATTCTACATTCAGTCAAATAACCACCACTATTCTTGCAGGCATTCCGCTGTTATTTCTTATTGCATTTTTAGGAAATACGCAACATTTGAAATTGATGTTAACTTTTGTACCTGTCATTCCAAGACAGAACTTATTAATTTGTTATTTGGTGATAATTTCTAATGACCTCAGAATCTAGTGAGTGAGTGGTTGTGGTATTCTGTGGCGTTACTCAAAGTAGGGACAACTCCGAATGTTGTTATTTTTCTCCGCATCTTGCAGTGACTAAATGTGATACATACAATCACTTACCTTCGCATTTAAATGGATCCGCGTATTTTGATTGCCGCCACGCCTTTTGTTCGAAACCCGGACAACACCTGTCACACTTTGCGCCGCACGTGTTGTGCTTGCAGTTGCACATGAGAATTCTGTTGTCCTTGGGGTCGGGAAGGTCGCAGGTTTGCGCATGGCCGTTACACATGCAACGCCCACCAATGCTTATGTCTTTGATGGAGTAGAAATACTGAAAGCGTCCGTGACGTTTTGGTGGACCAGAAAATGGCAGTTTACTTACTCTCCGAGTGACGGTTGGATCTTGCCTGGCCACCGACATTAGATGGCCCAAGAGATTTTTTGTCCTCAGAAACCTCAAACGTACGTTAGTAGCTCTCGTCCATTCTTGGAGTACGGTTGAATTGAAGTAATGTGTTGCCGATGGTCGATTGGTTAGTAACGAGATGGGTATCTAAAACGGACTTATAGGTATTTTTCTTAACAAAAAATCGTCAGTTACTTCTCCGCCCTCAAGTGGAACGATTTTGGAGTACTCTGTGGTGCACACGACTGAATCGTCGTTAGTGATCGGCTGTAGCGTTTCCTTGCCGAAGTAGGTTTCGCAGTCCGCCGGTGAATCGGAAAAATACTGCCAAGGCTGGTACGTCTTGCCGTAATCGGCAGACTTTTCAAGCACCCACAAACCAGGTCGCGGCGAATTCGCCATGTAAATGTAGACGTATGCGACGTGGAATTCCTGCACGGAAAATGGAAAAGCCGAAATGAATAAAGGGTGTGTCATTCAATCGCTCCAGAAGTGAAAATTGGATGATCTGGATGGCCAACTCCAGAGTTCCTTTGACTCCTTTGACACACATATGACTAAAGCAAACGTGTCAACTAAATATTAAAAACTTTTAAGTTTGATTGATCTTTAGTATGAAAAAGCCATACAACTTTTTAGTGAATTTGTATCATACAAATTTGGCACACATATAACTAAAACCAACAAGTCAACTAAATAGGAAGAACTTTTAAGTTTTATTGATCTTTGATACAGAAAATATGAAAAAGCACGACACCTTTTTAGGGAATTTGTATCGTGCAAATTTGGCACACATATAACTAAAACCAACATGTCAACTAAATAGGAACAACTTTTAAGTTTCGTTGATCTTTGATACACAAAATATGAAAAAGCACGACTTCTTTTTAGGGAATTTTTATCGTGCAAATTTGGCCCACATATAACTAAAACCAACATGTCAACTAAATAGGACGAACTTTTCAGTTTGATTAATCTTTGATACAGAAAATATGAAAAAGCACAACTTTTTAGGGAATTTGTATAGTGCAAATTTGGCACACATAACTAAAACCAACTTGTGAACTAAATAGGAAGAACTTTTAAGTTTGGTTGATCTTTGATACAGAAAATATGAAAAAGCAAGACAAATTTTTACGAAATTTGTATCATACAAATTGTGACCAAATATCTTTCAAAATTTTATCGTATTTATCGTAAAGCAGTAACAAAAATTGAATAACATAGCGGATTTTCCATTTTAAATATCAAAGTTGGGTACTCTGAGAGCCTTACATTATAAAGATTTCACGTATTGTGTGATCAGAAATGGGTCCAAATTACACAAACAATAGTTATAGTGTGAGACAGAGTGATACTATGTATTATTCCTTAAATAGCGTCAAAAGTAAAAGTAGGTTTAAGGCGACTTTAAAATTAAAATTTTGTCCTAAAGTAAAAGAAGGTTTAAGGCGACTTTAAAATTAAAATTTTGTCCAATAAATACCAATATTTATAAGACTTTTTTCCCATCCTAACTCCATTTGTTTTTGGGATGCGGGATGTCAAAGTAGTTTTTTACTAATTATGCAAAAACCTTCCTTTTGATTTCGATAAAATTTGACATTTAGTTATATGTCCCATACTGCAGACGAAGCCCAAAGTTAAGCATCGCTGACACCGTATCAAAAGCCCTATTTATTCGATTGTCATATCGTAAAATGTACTCTTAATTATTCCAGCCTTTGTATCGGCCAATTCGAATAAAACTTTATTTCGCTTTCTGTGTAAATAAATGTTTTTAAAAACGCTCTCCCGGAATTTTATCCCAAGATGGACACCCAATATGCTTCGCATCAAGAACGCTGAACCCGGCAGAGATAAACTACAACAATTGAAAAGGAACTTTTAGCGATTGTTTGGAGCTGTAAATATTACACACCTTATTTATTCGGACAAAAATTCATTATTTTTACGGATCATAAACCAATACAGTGGCTAATGTCATTAAAAGAGCCAACTTCGCGACTTATTAGATGGAGACTTAAACTTGAGGAGTATGAATATGAAATTAAATATAAAAGAAGGTAAAAACAACCAAGCAGCGGACGCTTTATCACGATATCCAATAGATATGAACACTCTCGAAACTGACTCGATATTTAACAACTTAGGATACGGAGATGAAATTATAGGCGACGTTTTATTATACGATAACGACGAATTGCCGAATCTAGACGACCTAACGTTAGATGAAATTTTGTTTAAACCGGACGAACAAAAAATTAAAATTTTATCGGACATTCAAATCAAACCCCCATTTAACCAACGAGAAAACCTAAAAGATTTAAAAGATACAGTACATTCCTCAGCGGAAAATCCAATTTTTGAAATTCCATTTTCGGAAAAACCATTAAACCATTTTATAAATCAAATAATATTAACAAAAGGAGATGTAGGAAAATTCTTAATAAAGAAAGAAAACGTATTTAATAATAATCGATTTTATATCACAATCCCGAAAAATGATCCCATGCCAAATATTATACAAATCATGAAGGAATAATTTAAACCGAAAACTACTTATGCAATTTATTTTCAAGCAGAACATTAAAATTAGAATTTTCGCTTTAACATTGCAAAACACTTTCAAATATTAAGCATTTAAATTAATTCATTGTAATGGAGTTCTCGAAGACATCGAAACCCAAGATGACCAACAAGAAAAACTCAGTCTATACCATACGATAAAAGCGTGCCATCGTGGAATAAATGAAATGAAGAATTCTCTTTGTAGAAAATATTATTGGCCAAAAATGTCTGACGACATAGAAAATTATGTTAACAATTGTGACATATGCCAAAAGAATAAGTATGATCGAAAACCACCAGTGATAAAATTTAACTTAACCCCAACAGCATCAAAACCATTCGAACAGATTCATGTTGATACCTTTAGAATAATCCATGAAGCCTACGTTACAGTAATTGACGCATTCTCGCGCTATGGACAAGCGTATCCATTAAACAGCATAACAGGAACCGAGGTAGTTGAAAACCTTTTTAACTTTTAGAATTTAAAAACAAGGACCTTGAAGACTTTTGTAAGTTATACCGAATAGAATTACATTTTACGACACCACAAAATAGTAATTCAAACTCCTCTGTGGAGAGATAAAGAAGAAAAAAAAGATCTAACTACAGATCAACTCATAAAGCGAACAGTAATGGGATACAACTCTATACACACAGTAACAAAATTTACACCTTTTGATTTGATCTAAATGATATGTTCAATCGCATAAAGAAAACTGAAGTAAATTGTACGAACAAATAAAGGAATTAAATGAAAAAACAAAAGAAGGCATTATTTCAAAATGAAACGAAAATCGTGAAGAACAACCAGATTTTAGTGATCAAAAATATACTTTCATTAAAACAAAATTTAGAAGCAAAGAACTTCTTAAATTCAAAAAGATACCGTTAATAAACCAAACGGAAAATAAATTAATAACACCAAAGACAAGGATGCCAAAGGCTAATAAAAATCTATTCTTTCAGGAAACCAATGTAGATCAAAATGTTGACTCTTCTACTCCTAGCAGTTCTAACCGAACGAATAGTAACGACAGACGTACAAGTTACCAAACTCGTAAATTCTATACTTCCTATCCAGATAGGTAACGCAAAGTTAATTTATAACAAACATACATTGATCCATTATGTAGATTTAAGCCAAATAATTAACCACGTAGGAAGATAGAGAACGCATTCAAAATAATTAAAGATAAGTTTAATGTTAAAAATATTACCAATAATATTATGGACTTGCCGAAAATTTACTTTTAAGAACTGAATATTTAATGCAAATTACGGTGGAAAAATTTACATCCACATGTTCGTAAAGAACGAGGCCTAATTAACGCGGTTGGTAAAATAAATAAATTGTTATTTGGAACCCTCCACGCTGACGACGGAAATTATTATAAAGCAGCAATTGAGAAAAACCAAAATAATTTAGCCAAAGAATTAGAACTGCAAGTATCTTTATCAAAGGGCATAATGAATAATTATAACTAAATTATTGTGAAATTAAATGAAAGTCAACGAAAATTACAAACTGGTTTAAAAACATTCCAAAATGCAGTATTAATGACGATAAATTCTTTACAAGACTATCTTAGTTTTCACGGGATCATTACGCAATTAAACTTAGATTGTCAAAATACTATAATGTTTCTAGATAACCCAGAAGACGCTATTATGTTTGCAAAAGTTATGCTCTTCATAATAGTATTTTACCGATTTCAGATTTGAATAAAATGCTTAAATATTCAGCATCAATTTATAAAGAAAATCAATTTCCACAATTTAAAAACATTTTATCTTCTTATCAAATTTTGGGAACTCAGGTAAATTTTGTTGACTCGAAAGTGATCTTTCCATCTACCAATTTTAAGATTCGAAATATTTTCCTTTTACCATATTTTCCAATAATCCAAAATCAATCAGTTTTTAGAAAGAAGAAACTCACCCCCGAGATGTATGCGTGGAGAACTTATTTGACATCGGAATGGAAAACTGCCCAATTACGAAAATGAACCTGTCAGAAGCAATTATAGAACAAATCACTCAAAATTTAGTTCTTGTTTTGCCACAGAAGCCTGAAAAATTGCTAATCAAGTGTAACACGGATCGATATATGCAAATCGAAGTACCAGTACTGATTACGATATCAGTAAACTGTTAAATAGAAATTAATGAAGAAAAGTTCTTCTACGATGTGAAAATCCAGTTCAGAAAACCAATATTTTTGCCAAAAATCCAATTGACGAAAATGAACGCAATAAAAGTCCTGGATACCCCCAGTCTTTCAAAAATAAATCTTGTCGAAATATACCAGATTTAGCAGTGAAAGAAGAAACAAATACGTTCCAAATAATTGTTATTGTTTTTGGAATAATCATGGTTCTATTTTTAGTTTTCATCATTATTCGAAAAGGTATGAGAATTGAAGAAAATCGCATCCAAAGAGGAAACCTGCCAAGGAGAAAATCTTGAAGCTTTTTCGAAAAAACACTCCGATATTTTCGAAAGTTAAGGAGGGAGGAGTTATATGTCCCAAACTGCAGACGAAGCCCAAAGCTAAGCGAAGATAACGCATCGCTGACACCGCATCAAAAGCCCTATTTATTCGATTGTCATATTGTAAAATGTGCTCTTAATTATTCCAAAAAAACTTTATTTCGTTTTCTGTGTAAATAAATGTTTTTAAAAACGCTCTCCCGAATTTTGAACATTTAAGTATTTTCATTTACTTACTTACTGACTGTTTTTGTATGAGAAAAAAAAATATCAGGAACAATCAACAATGAATATTTGTTTGTGCCAATGTTTGACGGCCTGTGACGCTGTGACATTTTGTTATCAAAACAAAACGCGTTACGAAAAAA